CAGTGAGAGCCAAAATCATGGACAATCGGACATTCCACGTCGATGCAGCTGCCTGCATGGCTAGGTGTTCAAGGCGGCCTGTGACATCCTGGCCGTGAGCCGAGCTCTGATAAACCAGGCGTAGTCTGTGAAGCCGGGTACAAGCAGCTGTCTTCTTGCGAGCGTACCTGCCCTGCCAAGACATACCGCAGTGCCCAGCAGACTGAACGCACGCCTTCCCCGTCTTGCGTATTGAAGCGCTGAGGTGGAGATGTCTGGAGGAGGTGTCTTCCACGCTTCCGGTGGGCCACTCGATGGGCCGAAGGCTTTGGGGAGACGGCTAAAGCACATAGCAAAGCCGAGCAGTGTATGGTAAGCTGCGTAGATGTTCGAGCCTTGCAGGGGCGAGGATCCCTCTACGACGTGTGGGGAGCTGCAGCAGAGAAAGCGCAAGTGTCCCAGACTGACTCTCTGAGTTCAACGAAGTCTCGTCAACCGCCGTGACCAGCAACAACCCTCGACTGCCTAGATCCCCAGTACTTCAGAAAGTATGTCTGGACTAAGTAGCAAACGCATGCAAATGCCCTGGTGGCTCATGCCATAGTGGCATGCTGAGTGCAGCAGGCTCACCAGACAATGCGAAAATGCCGAAGGTGGCAACAGATCACAGCCCTTCATTTGCAAAGGTTGGTGCCGCTCAAGGCGCAGCTCAAAACTGGGGCAGCCCTGGATGAACATCTGCTGGACCTATTGCCTTGCGGACGTAACTTAGGATTTAGGGTGCCAGGATTTGTGGTTTCGAGAACTTGCTGCCTCGGCGCTTTGATGCTTTACTTCGTGGTTTCGTTCGGCACTGACGTTTTCAGAACCACGCAAGTGAAAGCACTGGCTCGGCAGGACCAACTGATTCTTCCGGCCAGCCTGGCAGCAGGAAGCTCGCGCTTACTCGGCTCCAAGGACCGTCGGTTGAGTCAGGGAGGGGTGGCCAATGTGGCCATTGAAGCTGGGAGCTTTGCCAGGATTCAGTATCACAGGCAAAATCTCGTGCAGCAAAGAAGCTCAAAACCTACCCTGACAAGTTTGCCTCACGAGCCCAGCGACGATGCCTTTCGGAGTATCTTTTGCGGCAAGCAGCAAGCAGACGAAGGCCGAGAAGGTATGCAGCAAGTCAATGGCACCGGTACCGGTACCTGCGATCTTCACCGCGAACAAGAGCTTTCAGTCTGCCTTTGGCCAAATCCCAGACCCACGCCGTCGAGCGGCTGAGAAGACGGTGCCAGAGTCCGAGAAGCCCATCATCATTCAGCAGTCCGGACGCGAGGAGAAGGCATGCCCTGCACCGTGGGGCCTGGTCTCCACCATTATGCAGGCGTACAACCGGCACCACGAGCTGGTCCTGCGGCCAGATGATGTGTGGCAGGCCATTCTGACCCAGTTCAGCTTCTACGTCAATGCCAATGCAGAAGCCTTGCGTGACAGGTTCGTAAACTTTGAAGGGAAAATGACCCTTGTTGTGATGATGGGTGGCACACTCTTCACAGCGGACTATGCCAAGTTCGCAGAGCGCATGGTTGATGAGAATATAGTACAGAACATCAAAGATCCAGAGATGGTGGCCTGGCTTATGCCAGGATTTAGCACCACCACGGTAAATGACCGTGTCGTTGCGGCGGTGTCTGTCATGTCGACGCTGCAGCACTACTTCGAGTATGTCTGTTGTTTGTGCTGCGGCATTCCGAAGGTGACCCTTCTGGGCACTGTGGAAGACTGGATGCAGCTGCAACAGAAGGCAGAACGCCTGCGCGACTTCGACTTGAAAGATCGGAGAATGAGCCAATGGCTCACGACGCTGGCGCCCGTGCTCGACCAGTTCGTAGCCTCAGCGTCTGGAAAGGCCGATTTAGATTTCTGGGACAAGGTTTGCTGCCACCTAGGCGGCGGAAGCGGGCCTTCTTACCTCAGTGGTTGGGTGACGGTCTTTGCAGTGTTCAACAAGGATGGCAAGTGGCAAGGTGATGCCGCAGAAGCGGGTCCTCGAGGGATCTCGAATCCAACAGGAGCCTGGCCTTGCATTGAGACTGGGTGCATTCCTGCTGGAACGCTGAGTGTACCAGTTCTGGTGGATGACAATGGCACGCAGTACGACACGCAGATGGTCGCAGGTGCCCGGGCCAGCAGGACGTAGGAAGAATTCATTCTTGCGGATTTGCGTTACTTAAGGTTGTGCGCACGCACCTTGGCAGTCCTTAAGCTGATGTAATGGTAGCATGTGCTTTATCATGTCTTCTTGTGTGGTTCCATGTGGAAGATCGAATCCAGATAGCCGCAGTTGCAGCAACTTGGGCGTAGAGGCAAAGAGTGAGACTTTGGTGCAGTGTGCAGGCCAGCTGGCTTCCGACGTTTGCTGCGACGGACATGGTCTATGCCCACGCACTGATTGGTGCATCGCCTATACCGGTAAGCCCAAAGCAGAGCCACGTGACTACCAGCACGGGGAAATCCGGCCGAATGAAGCAGTTGGAGAGGCTTGAGCTCAGCTTGGTTTGGAAAATGGTTCGGAAAGTGACTTGACAGCTGATGTGCACTTCTAAGCAGCACGAAGCAAATTTGTGCAGTCGCTTCGTGCAGCTGTCTGTGCACGCGGCACACAGCCAACACAGCCCGGTCCGGGCCGAGGGATAGCATGTACAGGCAGCTATCGCGATGACAAAAAGATGCGCCTGTCACAGATGAAGTCGTGAACGAGATATCCAGCTGAGGCGCTGAGTCCAGTCCGATGTTCTGAAGAAGCTTTAAAAGTTGACCCCCCGTATACTTGAAAGTGCCTGATTCCGGCGGGCAGAAATCGAAATTACGACAACCTCTGCTTTCAGAGCCGTGACCAGCAAGATTTTCAAGCACAGCAATTTTGACCAGCGCTTTTTTCCTGCGTTGGGGGATGGTAGTTCCAATTCTCGTCCGATCTTGCTGAAGTCTCCAGCCTTCGTTGGCCCACGCTTGAAACTTGAAGTGCAAGTCTAGCCTGTCAGCAATTTTTGAGGCCATTATAAGCTATGGGTAACATTGGCAAGACAGGTGGCTGCGTAGAAGTGCATGATGCCGACTGAAGGAGCTGACTTTGCATGTTCTCGACTCAGCTTTGGGACGCCCTCGTCAAGGCTCCTGTTCTTCACCCGCACCCGTGAGCCTTAAAGGCACAGACCGCTCTGCACATCGCAGAGAAAATGGTGCCCGGTGTGGATGTGAAGGCCTCCCAAATACAGTATGCCTCCCCATGTTCCCTGGTACAGCTTGAAATGACTGGAAGGTAACTTCTCAAGGCGGCAAGGGCCCAAGTGGCCTCAGCATGATGCCCTTTGAATTGCGCTTGAATTGCTATGCCGAGTCCCGTCCGCTGCTATCTGCTGCTCATGCTGCCACTGCTCCGGGGTTCAGCTTCTCCACTTCCAGCAAGCTTGACCTGGTGAACAAATTCCGCTGTGAAGTCGGGAGTCGGCAGCGGGAATCGTAGCTCTCAATTCCGATCTGCATCTTCGTCTCGAGCTCAGAGACAGGTCTCCAGCTTGTGGAGATCACGGGCATTGGCCGCAAAGCCGGCGATGCGCCAGGGCCGTCAGCACGCAAAGTGTCAAACTTGTTAGTGATGTGGGAGAACCATCTGGAGCCCACAGCCGTGAAGCTCTCGAGGCCCTTGTCGCCGCCTGGCGGCTCATCTGGTTCTTCGACTCTCCGCGCTGCTCTTCCGTCCGGTTGCCTATAAGCCACATTGTCCCAGGACGGCGGAAGCCATGAGCAGTAGAAGAGTAGCAGAGTAGCAGCGAGACCTTAGGCCTGGCACGCTCAGCAACGTCAGGTGCTGAGTCACTAGTCGGACTAGTCGAGAGTTGCGTTTTTCGACTTTAGACCTCTGATGCTCGGAGTCTCTCCTACTCCAAGCTCCGCTCCGCTCTGCTCGGAGGCGCCGGAGCAGCTGCGAAGCGACCTTCGCGGGGACAGCTCTCTTTCAAGCTGCTTTTTCGGGGTCTGTCTATCTCTCTCTCTCTTTCTCTCTCTTTCTCTTTCTCTTTTATTCTTTCTCCTTCTTCGATCAGGTGATGTGGTGCTGCACACGTTTTGCAAACCAAGGCCGCAGCAGCAATCTCTCACAGTTGGAGCCACGAGCGTAGAGATTCTGAAGCTAAACGTCCCTGTTCCTCCCAGCTCAACTCGTTGCCTTGACAAGTCTGAGAAGGACGAACACCAAATTTCGGGCTTCAGTCAACATCCCACGCCACCAGTCCGCAGGGCATCACGCCTTGCATCACCGAGCGGCGCGTTCTCGCCAGGACCTGGGCCACTTCTCTGCCGTGCAAGGCGTTCGTGCCGAGGCAGAGGCCGCTCTATTTGGGGGGAAGAAGAATCCTGGTCCCTGGTGCATCCTGGTGCTTTTTGCCGGGCCGGCAGAAGGCTTTCCTCCTGCATGTGCTGTGTGCCATGCAGGTCGGTGGCGACTGCATCAGCATCCAGGGCTGCGAAGGCCCTGACCACGCCTTGCGACTCCGCAAGGAGCTGGAGGCTTCGTGGAGAGCACTTCTGCTGTGGCAGTGGCCAGATCCAAAGAAAGATAAGTGCCAAAACGCAGGCCATTTGTGGCTACTATGGCTTTCCAGCTCCTCAGTGGGGTTGATCTGAGAAGGGCCTCTGGTGGCAACTTGCCCAACAGGGGCACTGCCCCGCGAACCCGACACGTGCTTTCACACCGTGGCCTAGATGTCTACAATTGTCGCAGCATGCTTTCTAGTGGGCTGCGCCTGTTTTCCTATCGATTGTGTCACCGTTGAGGAGAAAGGACTGCTTGCTGGTGGGGTGCAGGTTTACCACGCCGGTTGACATGAAGAATCATCCAGGTAGGGTGCCAGGAAACCTCAGACGAATTCCAAAAAGCAAATGCTCTTTCTTTCTGAAGAGGTGCTTGGAAGCATGTTGCTAGATGCCTTCTCGCATTCCGTAGCAGGAATGACAGCTTCTGCTTCAGTCATCAGGTGCAGCTACACACAAGCCTTGGAACGCGAGCTGCGATCCAGTTCTAGAACACTGCGCACTCTGGACGACAGCTCCTTGTCTGGGAAGCTTTTTTCGAATTTGCTCCCGTGAAGCTCCTTCCGCCCAGGTTGCGCTGGGCTTGAGCAGAAGCTCGCGGATCAGACCAAGAATGCCGTGGAAGTTTTGGCCGGCCGCCTCAAGGCGGAAAGAGCATTTCCAGGCTTCCAGGTCGTCAGGCGATAATTAGCACGGTGTGTGGCTGTTGGAAGGTCAAGCTGCGCTTCTCCGCCTTCCGGTGCTTCATGGCCTGGTCCTGGAGATCTGCCGCGGTCTGTTTGTTTGGCGAGCATGTTCGACTCAATGTGGTTCAGGCCTGGCGACAATGCCTGGTGTTCGGAAAAGCCAGCAGGCATGCTCCCTAGAGTCCATCCCATGGGGAACAAGCAGCGCTTAGTCTCGTGGTTTTGGTGTGTGGGGTCAGGAGTGAGAGGGCATGAATTGCTGCTGTCGAGGTGGCGTGAAGCAGAGGCCCAGCGGATCTTGGAGGAGCGTGGGCCTTGGTCTGCTGAGACACTTTCCGTCTTTGTCGTCACAAATTGCCTTCTCACACTTTCTCAGGTCGGATGCTCAACTCCTGCGCTTGCAAGGCCAGTCATGGGCCGTGATTCCAGTGGTTCGCTGTGTGTGGCCGAGCGTGGGTGTGCGGGCTGTGCGGCAGGCCGAGCCTTGCAAGGCCTCCGCGCGGCCAAGCAGAGGGCAATCGGCTTGGAGCATGTCCCGGCCCTTCGAGTCCGACCGAGAGCGACTGCAAGTCGTCTTGCCGGGCTTGCATCTCAGGTGGGGGACATGCTCTTTCTGTATCGCATGAAGATCCTGCAGGCACAAGCTGAAGCTTGAGAAGCCCCTTGATACCCTCTCTAGTAGTCGCCCGGCTCGGCCTCTTACCTGGAATGAACAGAGATGCCTGCAGCAGTATCCACAGCTCGGTCGGGTGGCTAGCTGATGTAAGAGAGCTACATACACCCTAGGGAGCGAGTATCAAATCACGTTGAGGGACCTTTCCTGGTTGCAGGTGCATCTTTTCATGTCCTGGAGGCTGCACTGCAAGGCTGGCATTCTTTATCATTGCCCATCCTAAGTAGACGAGCGATCCTCCGGGGGTCCAGTTCTTACGGTTACGGGGCCCTGCATCGTGGCCCTCAGAGTTGACAACATCATCAGTGGGCGGATGGGAGAGCTTCTCTTCAGGATTCACGGCCTTAGCTTGCATTTGCAACCTTGTGCCAGGGAGCGCTTGCAAGCAAGCTGCAATGTCATACCTTGCCTGAGTTTTGGCAGAGATGCACTCTCCAGGCAGAAAACTTCTCGAAAGCCTGGCAAACCCACAAGACGGAGCTACGAGAGAGTCGTCAGGAGGCTCGGAGCACCAGAAGTGGGGCTGGAGCTGCAGGGTGTAGAATGGCATGGGTTGGGAAAGCATGGACATGCAGCAGCAGTGGCACGCCGGGAAGGTCATTCGGCAAGCGCTGGAAACAGACGAGGACTTGCCTTTACAGCTGGCCCGTGTGGATGCAGTTCCTGTGTTGTGCGCATGTGCTTGATGCAGGTGCAGGATGCGATCGAAGACATGGATGCCACCGGGCCACATGGCGAAGAGGACAAGCAGCAGGCACGTAGCCCAAGAGACGGATGCATTTGACTTCGGATTTTGGGAGGTCGCCTTGCGAGCGTCAGAGATGCATCGGGGTGTCCAGGATCAGCTTGCTCAGCTGCGCGCGTTGCAGGCAGCCGCAGCCCAGGAGCGAATGGGGCAAAGATTTCCGCTACAGCACGGACCTAGTGACCTAGAACCCGTAGAACAACTTCAAAGGGATGAGCATGAGCAAGCGGCCGTGAATCCCCCAAGCAACGCGGACGAGTGAGCTTTGCAGGATGCCACTGCCCGTGCGGTGCGCCGAGCTGAGGACGAGGTGAGGCTTTGCTGTGGGAGTCTGTTGAAAACCAGTTGAAAATCCAAGTCTCGGAATCTAGGGCCGAGGGACTTCTGGCCTGTTTTGCGAGAGGCGATGCGAGCAAGGAGGGAGGCCCAGGAAGCTGCAGAACGCCTGCGTTTGGCGCAGCTGGAGGGGGCCTCATCTGATCAGAAGGGCTGTGAGCGGCACATCGGCAACTGTAGCGGGGTCAAAATGTTGCAAGCATCCACAGATGCAGGAAGCTCGGGAGTGGCTCGCTGCCTTGGACGCAGCCAGACTGGAACTCGCGAAGGCGCAGAGTTCAAACGAGGGCGGCGTGGCTCACGAGGCACGGAGCGAGAGTGGAGCGACCAAAGTCTTGCTTTCGTTTGCCCCTTCCTGCAGAAAAAGTCGCAACATTCCTCAGGCCGTCGAAGAAGCCGTCGAGTATTTGCAAGAGGTGGAGGTGGCTTGGCAAGATGCAGAACATTGCAAGACTGAGACCACAAGACCTTGAATCTCCTTGTACAGGCTGCGAAGCTGCGTGCAGATGCAGAAGTGGCCCAACTGCAGAAGGCCCGTGAGTTCGAAGCTGCTTACAGATCTTCTGTCAGTGCGGAGCTTTGCCGTTGAGGCGGCTGCAGAAGCCGCCAGCAGAGCAGCGGAGGCCGAGGAGGTACTCGAGTGCCTCGGCATTCGATGTAGGATTAGAAGTGTGGGCACTCTGTCGTTGCCAAAGGAAGGTTTCAGTCTGACACATGGATGTTTGTCTGCAAGGAAAGCGCAGAGTGCGGCCGCAGCTCAGCTGCGTGCCATGGAAGCTCGCAAAGCTGCAGAGGAGAAGGCGGGCGGGTCTCCTTCGAAGCTCAACTCGCTCTGGAGAGTGCTGTGGCTGGTGACACTGGTGCAGTCACCGTGAAGTCGCGCAGCCGTCATCCTTCTTCACAGGTGGCAAGCAAGGCGCGTACAGCGGCCGAGGCGGAGAAGAGAGCCGACACCCCAGATCGACGGAGTTGCAACGCTGAGTTCGTTCCATGCCCCTCCTTGCAGCCGTTCAAGGCTAAGCAGCGTGCGCAGGCTATGGCAAAGAAGGAGGCCAAGGTGTGGAAGATCAACCATGCGCATTCAGACGCGGGATCGACTCCCTTTAACATTTTGAGTGGCACTGTTTGCAAAGTCTGAATAGGCAGCCGTGAACTTGAAAGCTTCAGCAGGGAATGAAAGGAAAGGTTTTTCATCAGTCAAGGATTGGTTTATTGTTTGTTGTCTGAAGCTAGTGTCCCGGTTGGGTGATCTGCTCTGGTCGAGAAGATTCCAACATCAGGCACTGCCTGCTGCGGAAGCGGCCGCAGCTGCAGGCTCTCTGAAATGGGCAGGTTCTGCTTGTTCTTGGCATGGGGTACCTCGTGCGCAGGAGACGTCCAAGCCGAGGATTCTCAGGTGGGCGCGACGAAGAGCGCAAAAAAAGCTCCCACGGCGGTGGTAGTGGAGCGTTCCGTATCGGAACAAGCCGAAGCAATCGGGCCAGATCCGGAAGTTTTGCAAGAGCCCCCACCGGAGGACCCGGCTGTCTCCAGCCTGTCTTGTAGTTGTCCGTTGTCAGCGTGTTCCGCGACTCATGCAGGATGACGGGCAAAAGGAGGAAGCTCTGCGGCGAGAGGCGAGGCAGAGACAGGAGGAGGCCTGGGCCTGGGCTTTGGGCAGTGCTGGGGGGTGCTTTCAAAGCTCTGCCTCAGGAAGCCCGGAGAAGAGAAGAAGCAGAGAAGGCAGAAGAAGAACGCCGGAAGCAGGAGAGCATGGTTAGGTAGATCGAAACCCCACGAGCTGCAATTTCGAAAGCCTTAACAGGAAGAAGCCCGGCGCGAGGAGGAGAGGCTACTTGAGGAGGACCTTCTAGATAGTACTGGGCAAGCGGAATCTCATAAAGACGGCTGGCGTGCATGGACGGTCTCGCGATGTTGCGAGGAAAGAAGACGGCATGTAGAAGACATGCACCGAAGACAAGAGGAGGACTGGCTCAGACTCTAGGACTCCAGCAGCAGTACAAGTGCCGTGCAATGGACGTGGAAGGAGCTGCGGCAGGCCGAAGAGCGGAGAAGGTTTGAGGAGGCCATAGAGGAGAACCGGCGGCGCCTTCGGGAAGAGGCGCCTTTGGCGGATGTGCTTCAGCAGGTGCTAGCCGCTAGCCTCGCTGGCCAGGAATTGGAAAGAGATCGCCAGAAGGCAGAGCAACTCGCAGACCGAATGAGCGCCGAGCGGCAACAGGCCTCACTGGTAGCACTCCTAGGTTCCGATCCCCGACTTGGGAGTCAGTGAAGTGTCGAGAGCTGCGCTCTGTGCCCAGGAGCTTCTCAGCATATGCGTCAACCTTTGGCAGGAAGCAGCTTGACTGCAGTGTGTAACCATGCAGCATCGGGCATTTCGAGTGTACTTCGACAGCATCCGCGGTTCCTTCGATCCATGCTTAATACCGGAAGTCTGAATCCTGAGACGAGGAGACGCATGCGGCCGCAAGTGAGCGACAACGCTTGGAGGCCCTTCAGGGATGCTAGCGCTGCTCCTTCCACATTGCAAGGGACCCCAATGCTCGTGATCTCGCCTCGTCATGACGACTTGCTTCCATGCCAGCCACACATCACATGGCTCCAGGCCAAGCGCAAGCATGAAGAGGAAGTGCGACGGATGAAAGAGGAGGCTTGTGCGAATGGAAGTAGGAGTCATCACCCCTCTGAAGCAAAAACGGACCAGAGCGAGCTATGAAACTGCAAAAGTATAATTTTCCACCCCAGGCACTTGCAAAGGCCGAGCGGGCGGCAGACTCCATCGCTGAAAAGATGTACAGGCACCTGCGGCACCTGGATATGTGTCTTAGGCCTTAAGCCTTAAGACCCTCCAAACGGGCCATCGACTGAAGAAGCAACTGAGTTTTCCTCCCAGAAAACGCCTCAGATATGACAAGATTTCCTGCAGTGACCTTGCGTCTTGGACAGGCAGCACTGCGAGCTGCTGCTACAAGACGCTTTCAGGTGCTGGTTCGAGGATGGCATGCATGGACTTTGCGACAGTCCAGCTGCTGAAAATTCGTGCGCTGTCTTTGGGTGAGTTCGTTCTCCTGTGCGAAAGTTTCGGAGGACTACAAAGAGGCTATGGCAGAAAAGAAGGAGGAAGCAACCAAGAAGGCATACCAGGAGGCAGCTCGGAACACTACAGCCGTTGAACTTCACCCTGTCTTTCTCTGTCGTGCATTGTGCCGAGCCACGAGCGGTTTGCACCAGAAATCTGCACCAGAGATGTTTCAACTTGGGAGGAAAAGAAGCGATTGCAAAAGGAAAGAGAAGCGCAGGCTGCCCAGGGCTTCTGCAGAGTATCAGGAGCTGCAACTCCCTCTGCTTGAGTCGTTTGCCTTTCTCTTCTGTTTCGCAGGGTCCCATTGATGTGTTCCTTACGTTTCGCAAGTTTGATACAGGCAGCCGAAGCCGAGAGCAAGCGGGTCGAGGCCGAGCAGAAGGCGCGTGCTAGCCGAAAAGACTTAGAGTAAGTCATGCATCAACGCTCTCGGCAGTGGCAGCATGCCGGAGATGCTGAGAGAGAAATCGAGCCACAGATTGTTTGGAGAATCAGTGATCTTGCAAACTGCTGAAGGCATTGGCAGAACAACAAAAGCTGAAAGAGCAGGCGGAGGCCTGCAGATCGGCACTTCGTAAATAGAGATTGAGAGCTCTTGGCATGCTGTGATGATAAGGCAAGAGATACCATGAGACTGGTCAACACCGTTGTTGCTTCCAGGCCGCCGAGGCTGCACGTCGGCACCAGGAAGCCGAACTGCAGGTCCAGCGTTGCGGCGCCTGACGCCGGGGGGGATAGTCTCCTGCCCGCGAGAGGCCTTGGAGCAGCGAACTGCGGAGCGGCTGGCGGCAAGGGAGGCGGAGGCACAAGACTTTGAGACGCGGCATGCAAAGCGGGTTGGAAGTGAGGCTCGTGGCATGACGAGTGCTGAGTGCTGCTCACCAACATACTGATTGTTGTGAGGGTATAATGAAACGCAACACTTGTCTTACGGTGACATCCTACGATGTTCTTGTCTACTTGCACGACCATGCACCATCGTGACATCATGCATGGCTCACCTCTTCCTACATCTTTCTCCGTATTGCGAGACGATGGAGAAGCAGAAGCAGCAGGAGGAGAGTCAGCCTGCCAACGCGCCTCTGACCCAGGCCATGCTGATCCGTCCTGCTTCAGTGTGTCTTTTTGCAAGTGTGAAGGCTCTAAGGCAACACAAGGCAAACAAATCTGTTGATGTAGTCCACTGTCAGAAGCATGATGGCTGCTCAGTTTTTCATGAGAAGCCAAACGCGTCATGACCTGTCCGTAAATTGAGAGTCACCTCCTGGGAGTCACGTCATAGCTTCGAGTGCTCGTGCTCGGTGAGGTGGACACGCGGCTCAACGTTACTCAAGATGAAGACATGAAGCATGAGGCGCCTTGGGTCCGCAGCTCCTTCCTGCTTTGCCCGCACATAGCATCTAACATGGACGGGTTTTGAAGAAGGAGCATTGCGAGAGCGTGCTTTCCCACTGAAGTGTCGATCCTAACAACCGGATTAGTCGCGGTCATCTCGGCATCGGTTTCGCAAAATTGCACTGTTTCATTCCTCGTTGCTTGAATATCAACACCGGCTTTCATGCACTGATGGTGAATGAGCAGCCGGATGCCACAAGCCGCCAGGCGATGAAGGAGCGGGAGCTCGCTGCACAACGGGAGGCCTCGTGGTGGGAGAGGATTCTGCGGCAGTGAAAATCCACTTAATCATACGCCGTTTCCGCTCCTGACCTACGTAGTACCTGTGTCTACATACTCCCATCCGAGTGCCACAAAGAGAGGACTTGGAGCGGCAGCGCCGTGAACTGCAGCTGCAGCGCGACACTCTGGAGAGGGAGGCTGTCGAAGCTGCAGCGCTCCACGGGATCAGTAGCCGGCGCACTGCTCGCTCTGTCACTTTGTATCGCAAGACTCTCCCTGCAAAAGCTCCAGATTCGGTGCGAGAAGAAGTTGTTGCGCCGCACAGGCCATCGAGCGGCAGCAAGCAGCGCTGCAACAGCAGCGCAGGGCCGCGGAACAGGACGGGTGGCACATGGGGACCGCGGCTCCAAAATGGCATCACATCATCATTGTGTTGTGAAATTGGGGCAGTTTCCGGAAAAAGCTTCTTCAGTCTTTCCCAACCCCGCTGTGCTGCACAGGACCTTCTTCCGACTGCGCAGCAAAGCCAGCCCGAGGCCACACCTTGCTCGCAGACCGTGGCGATGAGTTTAGTTTAGTTTAGTATTAGTATTATGGATGGTGGGTGATTTCTTCCACTGCAGGTGCAGGAAGCGAGGTCTGGGCAACCACGTGCCGAGCAGGCCATTGACCTTTTGATGCCATGAAATTGCTGCTCTTCAAACGCTTGGAGACTGCCTTGGAAATTGTTGCATCTTGGCTAGGTGCTGCCAAGTCAGCATCTCGACATTCAACGCGACGCTATGGAGCGTGAGGAGACGGGGGGAGGGTGGTTCGAGAATGCAATGCCTCCGCGAATGAAATCTGAGCTGAAAGGTTTTCCAACGCCAGCAGCAGATCGCGGCAGCTGAGCGTGAGGCCAATACTCTGGGGCTGTTGATCGTGGACGAGCTTGTCAGAAGCAATGGGAGGCCCTTGTGGAACAGATCAAGGCGGCCAGACAGCAGCAGGCACTGGAGATGGAGATGCTGAAGGAAAAGGCCAGTGCAGAGCTGGCACCTCCCCGCGACAGAGCTGAGGCGTGCTTGAAATGTCAGGTCTCTGAGGCCGAGGATGCGCGAAAGAATCAACAGGCCCTCGTTCGCAGTGCCCAGTAGGAGCCGTTTTCAAGCGGGTCAGAGTGGCTGCTAGACTCCAGACTCGGTTGCATCGTAGTCCGGACTTGCAACACACATTGGCCCCTGGAACAACGAAGGCTGAATTGGAGCGACTCAAAGAGGAGGCCTGGCGTTATCCTGCACGACCAAGTTGAACAAGCCCCGCAGTGCAACTCCCTACGCACAACATCATCTCAGTTCACACGGCAAGCCTTGGCAGCCTTAGTCAAACTTGAACGTAGGGCGGATGGAGGCGGAACTTCTAGTTTACGATGCCGACTCGGGGGAGCGACAGCGTGTGAAGGTCACCAGAGGCTCCGTCTACCAGGACGCTTGTCGCTGCTGCACAGGCTACTAAAAGCTTTATTCGGCAGCAGCCTGAAACTGGAGTATGTTTTGTTTTCTTATTTGTGTGTTCGTTTTGCACCGTGACCTCCTTTGGTATGCGAACCTTGCGATGTATTTCTCTCGCCACTACATGGCCTGGCCCCCACGGGAAAGATGGGTGGCAAAAACTGAGAGCAATGATTGGTTCCCGCAAAGCTAGAACCTCCAACACTGAGAGGAGTGATCTCTGTGACAAAATTTTACGGCCATCCCCAAGAGGAGTAGGCCTGCCACGAATCCTGAAGGAGTGTGCCTCACGTCTCAATCCTACAGTGAATAGGAGATGCTCGATGAGTGGCAAGCCCAAGAACACAGTAAAAGGAACGTGTAAGGAGTGGACTACATCCGCGAACCCTAGAAGAGTGAACCCCGCAAGAAAATCAATGAGGGTGCCACCACAGTTTGAGAATCCCACCGGGGGATGATGAGAGTCCAAGAGCCTAAGCCAACCCACACACTGAAAGGAGTTTGCCAGTGTGCCATAGCCCGAAATTGAAGTACTGTTTGAGTCAAAACAAGCCATGGATTAGAAAAAGAAGAATAAGTCGTAATGACTGCGTTCCCTGGACGAAAAAGAAAAGCCACAGTGATTCAGAATTGACAAACACAGACTTTAAAACTAGCTGTGCATCCCTGTCTTCATTGCAAAAGCGCTCCTGACGAGGAGATCCTGCAGCACTTCAAGTTGACTCCTGCAGATCATGTGCAGGCCGTCCTCGTGTCTTGGGATCCAGGTGACTTGTGGCGGCGCGACTCTTTCCGTGGCAGGAGACACCACAGGTGCATGTCGCGAAAGCTGCCCCAGTAGTGGAGGCGCCACAGAACCTGCAGGGTTGAGTGACCCGCTCATGCACTCGCGACGGAATGTGCTCACCTGTAGATCTGCCCGAAGTTGTGAACGTGATCGACTGCATTAGATGCAGGTGGGCGTGACCCAGACAGCAGAGATCTCTACACGCAGCATTTCAGTCGAGGCGTGCTGCAACAAGGTAAAAAAAGATGCTGCAGATCTCCAGACTTGACATTTCCGCTGAGGCGGTTCCAGAGATTCCGAAGCTAAACCGGCCGCGTCGACCTGATCCGCATTCAATGGAACTCGGACTGCAACAGGCCAGGTTGCCTGGATTACTTTTGGCGCCTTACCTCTGAGACGATCGTACCACAGCTAGGGCAGCAAGTTTACTTTCCTCATGCTGTGTGGCAGGCTAAGATGCTGGAGCGGATGCTGCTGAAGGTGCAATGTCAGTGTTCGAGTTTGGGCAGAGTGTTAGGATCACTTGTAATGCAAGATTCCAGAACCGAGAGCTGTCTTCTCCAAAGCAGCGTCATCAGTTCGCAGGTATCGATTTCTAAGTCGATTTTCTGCAGGTGGTGGTCCAAGGATGGCAGGCTGCCGTCTTCGAGCGCTGGAGGCCAAGACTCAGACAGTCTTCGGCGCTCTCTCACCTAATGCTTTCGAGCTTTTTGGCCAGGCTTCCGCAGGAAATCCGTGTCCGGCAAGTTCCATGGCAAACGCCTCCCGAGGACCACACCCGGAGCTCTACTTTACCACAAACCCTGTACCAACCGGTGGCCTCTGCTGAGGATATATAAGGGTAGTTTGGGCGGCGTTCTTCAGGAGCCACTGGTGCCGCGCCCACGTGGGTCAAACTTTGCCATGCACGCCGAACTGGCCGCCCAGGGCTTGTCCAAGTGGCCGCGGCCTCGGTCGCACAACCGTCTGCCCGACCCACCGCTAGCAGTGCATCGGAGCAGCCTTCCAAGCATGCAGCAGCGAACCATGGTCGTGCACTTCCAACAAAGGTCAGAGCCAATTGCAGAGGGGCCGTTGAGTAGTGCGCTGGTGCCTTGGGCGCAGCACTGCAACCGACTTGCATTACAAGTCTGGTTCGAGTGCTGCTGTTGTTTGACTTGCAGCTGCCAGTGTTGGTGTGACCGTTTGAAAAGATAATCCGCTATCAGGGACCTCTACGAAGCCAACGCAAGGGCCCACGCCACGTTTGCCAGATGGGCCGTTAGCCGAGCCCTCAGCTGGACTTGACATGCAAGTGGTGCATGACTGCGAGGGTGCGGACAAGCAGTTTGCATCATTCCATGCAAGACATCGCCACTTTTTGCAGCGATCTCGACACCGCAAACTATAGACCCCCTGTATAGTCCTGGAGAGGCAGCAAGCATGGCCCCTCCAATCGCAAAGCTGGTAGAAACTGAAGCTCACTCGTTGGTGGCATGGAGCGGTGAGTTCGTACTAGTGCCCGCTTCCGTGTAGGTGCCAGCCAGCGGCATATGGCACAAGCCTTCGAGCCGGGTTCTCAGCGCTTGCATGCTTAATGTGATTATGAAGCACAGCATGAGCACCTCAGCAAGTGCGAGGCAGAGGCAAGCGGAAGCCTCAACTGCCGAAGACGAGGACGATCTGCGGACACCTGCCATCCTGTGCCTCCGAGTTTCTCCACGCCCGGTGTCAGGCAGCAGAGCGAGCCGTTCAGCGTGCGAGCGAAAGCATTGAGCAGGCGGTGCAGCAGGATCTCGCCTTGCTTTCGTCTTGCTGTCTGCGTCTCTCCGTCTCTCTGTGCCTGTCTGGTCTTGGTTTTGGAGAGGCCCGAGGCGCTGTGTGTTGAATGTAAGGCTGTGATGTGGTTCACTCATACTTCGACCTTCATGAATCAGGACATCCTTCTGGAAGAGCTGCGCAGTGGGACAGCATGGCCGCCATGCGCTTGGATCATGACTATGAGCCCTGTGGCAGTATTCCCACAGCCCTGAACAGTCCTTGCACCCTGCGAAGCTTGGCTGCTGAGTCCTCCGCTTTTGCCGCCACGACCGGTCCTCCCCGGCGACGACGGATGGCAGGACCCGCACAGGGGAGGGTTAGTCATAGAATGTACAGGTGTTATGGGACCGTTCCCTCTGCAGTGTTTGGACTGTAGGTTTCCTGCTTGTCTGCTTCGTGGTGGAAAGCAGACGAACTGTCAAACCCTTCTGGAGGAGCGAGTCCGGCAATCAGGCTTGTTTAAGCTGCGTTTGCACATGCCGAAGCTTTCTGTGTGGCGGCTCGTGAAGCATGCTGAAGATCTTTTGCGCCTCTTTACGACTAATTACGTTCGGCCTCGAACCCACCATGTCAGGGCGGCTATTTGCATCGGCGTCTGCAGCCGCTGACATGCAGGCCGCAGCTGCCTGACAGCACACTGTGATGCTGATGCACTGTGTGCATGATTGCGCCATGCTGCAAACGGGCCTCGACCCAAAGTCAGTTTCAACGCTTTGCCTTGCCCAGGAAGAGCAGGTTCTCTTTGTGCAGAGCGACGGTGTTTCAACAACCTTTCATGCACATGCTCCGGAAGGTGGGGTCAGGGTCGCTGTTTTAGGAGGCATGTGAGATCGACAGTACAGGTGGCACTAAGAGTGCATCAAGCATTGTAGCTGCAATGTGACGTCGACAGCAGAAGCAGAGTTGTGGACATAAGGAGATACTTGGCACATGCTGAAAACTCCTGCGTCAAGCCAGCCGCAGGATCCAGACTTCGTGAGAGCGCTGACGAACATGCATCAACCCCTGGCTGAGCATCTGGATGTGTCAAGTCAACCATTCTGTCTGTCGCATGTTTGGGGGCGATCGAATCTTGTCTCCGAGCGGATAGTCGTGGTCGCAGTCATGACCACGTGTCGCTGACAACGACGTGACATTCGTCAAGCGACACCTACCCGGCTGATGACGCCAGGCTCTGCAGTTGAACAGGCCGGTTAGCGATTCTGCGCTGGCAACGGGGAGGGTGTAAAGGAGAAACGGTGGTCGAGCTCTCTGCGACACACCCGGAGCTGAAGTTCACTGGGAACCCTGATGAAGATGCTCCGGGCTGCTATCACTACGTCACTACGCCGAAACATTGCTGCCACGCGCTCGCGCGTCGACGCTCTCTCGACCAGCTACTCCTTGGCCTGCAGTTCCTACACGTCATCTTTGCAATCTGTGGATTTCAAATCCATGGGACAGGATCGCAGAAGCTCTTCATTCTACAGTTTCGGCAAGCTGTCCCAGCAGCACTACATACAAGACGACGGAGTTGCTTGACAAGGCTATGCAGCCGCCAGCGTGGGATCGCAATTCAAGAGCCACGATGAGCCTGAAACTTTCCTGCAGTTTTTGAAGGTAGAGTAGACTGCGACGTTGGAGATTCACTCTGCCGACCTGTGTGCGCGATCCAAACGGATCTGGAAGCGAGGGGAATGTCAGACCAGACTTAGACACGCCTCCGACTTCGTGCCAGCTTGGTGCGAGACAACTGTGCTCTGTTCTTCCGAGTGCCAAAACCGGGCGAGCTTGCGGTGCTGACAGAACACGCTGAGTTGGAGTTGTGGCCGCAGCCAAAGCTTTTCAAGTGCATCCGCAAACCGAGTAATTGCAGGTGGTTGCTTAAGTTGAACTGACCCAACTATTCAGTATCTCATTCAACAGCTTCGCAGCTGTGTGGAATGACCTCTCGTCTCCAAGCCTAGACACGTCAGGGACCGTCAGGGTCTACTCTCTTCGGACATAGAACTCGTGCGGTTGAAGACTGAGAATACTTTCCCGAGTTCTTCATGTTGAGTTCCTCGAACTCCGAGTGCATCGAGCATATCAGCAGATTTGGAACAAATGACATGAAGACAAGCGAATCTTAATAGCACAGAACGATGAAGCGAATGCTTACAAGCTCGGCTGGAGTTGCGAATCTCCACAGCACGTTTCGAGACCCCACAACGCTAAAGGGACCTGTGAAAGTCAATCAGATGGCGCAGTGCAGTGGTGATTTGGCAGCCTCCTCTCGCAGATTCGTGCAACCAGCTACTGTACGGAAGAAACGCTGAGTGTTGTTGCGCACTGTCGATGAACTGACAACGGGGGATGCGGATATTCTGACAAGTAATCCCACGCGCATGTGTAATCTTTAGTCGAGGAGAAGGCTGAAGAGTAATTAGTGTGCGCGACACAACTGAAATAATTTGGGATCAGGCGGAAAGTTACAACCAGTTGCATGTACCTCCTTCGAACTCGAAGAGGTCAGCAAATGGCTTTTCATCTGTTGTAACGATGCAGAAGGGGCTCTCGGGTCAATTTTCGAGGCTTGAATACCAACGAAGTCAGCTTGGCGAAGGAATGGCAACAAGCATGAGCTGGTGAGCCACATCAGCATGCGATGTCCAACGACACGAGCAGGAATAAACAGATTGTACTGAAGAACGTGACCACTCCGGGCAGCAGACCTACTCCACTTAATGCCAATTGAATGCACGCTATCAAGCCTGCGAGATTGCTTGGCTTGCATGCGCATGTAAACCAAGCATTCCGGCAGCCTAGCTATCACAAAAGATTGGGTGTCGTTGTCGTTGGGAGCAAACGATGGCCATCTAGTTGCGAAGGGAGAGGCGTGAATTTGCATTGTAGTCATCGCTGAAACAAGAGCCTGCCTGATGCTGCCTGTGCAAATAAGAGCATCGGTGGCACATGGCATCACACTTCAGGTTGAGCGTAGACAGTCAAGCCTAGCATAATGCCACAGCAGATGCGAGCAAGCCGCTTTCTCACGTCAACAAAACCGGCAGTGAACCGCACAGTATCGTTGATGAGGGTCCACGTTGTCATTTCAGCGTGTTTGTTGCAGGCGGTTTCATCCAGAAGATGCGCTGGCATGCGTTGGTGTTATGGCTTCAGCTCAAGACATGCCGAAGATCCATCACGAATATCGCGTGTCTAAGCGTCCGACCCAGCTAGTAAAGTCCTTTGACAGCCGCGCTGGCTACCTGGATTCCAGCACACAGTCCTTGAACAGAATATGTCGACACTGCACGAAACCAATTTTCATCTTCATCGTGCCTTCTTGAAACGATCGATTTGCTCGGATTTGACTGCCAGAAGATGCAGGCAGGCACTTTCGTGCAAAGCATATCGAGCTGTGAGGATGCCAGACCCAGCATACATCTTGCTGCAACCTGGAGCTTCTCCGACACAAGCGTGACTGCTGTTGCAGGGCGCATCAGCCAGTGCACCTTCTGTGAGGCGAGCGAGACTGCCTGACCGAATGGCGAACCGAAGCTGATCCAAGCTGTAGATGCCATGTTCTATTGCAGGCATATGCAGACCGGACAGTGAGGGCTTGCGTTCCGACATGTTGTCATCACAGGTGTCCTTGACAGAATGCTCCGACAGGCGCTTGCAGCGCGAGCTTCAACTGATTCAGCAGTCGCCGAATGCCCAGGCCCTGCAATCCTTCAACAGTAAGCCAATAAAACCCCTCCACCCCTTGTGGATTGTCGAGGACGAATTGAAGAAAGCAGAGTAGTTAGGGATCACTGCAGGACAACAAAAACAGCTCGACTTGCCCTTGCATTCATGAATTGAATTGGGAAGCCCTACATGCGCCGTAGATCAGGGTTGTCAGCCTCTGACTGCTTTGCACGTTGACCATGAGCTTGCTGAGTGTAGGCTTTGGTCATGAGTTCAGCTGAATGGCAAGATCTGGCCATCAAGGAAGAATAGGACGATGAAAGGGATTCTCTCAGAGAGCGGGAGAGCCTAATTTTGCCAAGAATGTCCGAATTCTCTTTTACAACGGACCAAGTGACGCTCGAAAAAATGGACCAGCTTCTCATCTCTTGTTTCTGGTTTCAGCTTAGTCACGGAGACGTCTTGAGATTTCATTATTTCGAGATGGAATCGTTCTTGATGCAAACCGCGATGCAGTGCCATGCTAACAGCAGAGGCCCACATTTTATCAAAGGGCGGCAGCGCTCAACTCCAAGTCCGAGCAGCCTTTGGAGACAGCGGGGCAGAGTCTGGTGAAAGAAAGTTGATCGAAGGTTGCCTCGCAGCAGGATGCTGAAATGCTTATGCGAGCAGGTGGCTGTGAAGCCTTCCAGCGCGTCTTTGCTGGAGCAACGGCCTCAGGAAACACGCCAGTAGATCACACTGGGCTTTCTGTGTGACCCACAGCCCACAGGCATGCTGCATGACAGCTGCAATGACTGATAATGTATCATTTGTCCTGGCTGTCTGTCTGTTTCATCTTGTTGCATGACGCTGCAGTCGGAGGCCCTCTTCTTGCACCTGCATGGATTCCAAAGTTGGCAATCACAAACAAAGCGCATTTGTTGAAAGCATTGACTGGCCGCAGGTGGCATTTCGTACTGCATTCCCTGCCTGCCGATAGGTGGGGCGACTGGCCGTTGACTGCAGATGCGAGCTAGGTACAGACACGGAAGTTGAGAACATCTAGTGCGAGCTGTCAGCTTGTTCTGCTCTCGTGGGTGCAGATGCCTTCCCATTTCTTTGCTGATACTGGACCTGCTACCAGTCCTTACAGCGGCGGATGCTACCGCGGCAGGCTTCGTGCTTCGTACAGCCTCTGTGCAACGAGTTGACATTCTTGATCGGTTAGTGTCTCGCCTACGTATGAGGCTGCATCACTTGATCTGTGTTTCGATTGAAAGAAATGCTGCTGCAGGAGTTAAGTAGGCTAAGCTACCATCCATCGCCACATCGCAGCTTATTGATTTCTGCTTCGTGGAGGCTTCTATTTCCCAACGGCTACCCGCATGCCCCACCGACAGTGGCAGCTTGGTGCAAACAGATGTACTGGTCCGCTTCCGACTAAGCCTGTCTTAGCCGTTTTGGAGTGTTGTTACAGGTCCTCGGATTTCTGCGGCTCCCATTGGCCCATGGTCTGGAATGCAAGACTTCACGGATAATTAATAAGATAGGCGTTTTCAGCATGCTCAAGGACCTGCCGATCTAGCTCGGCTGAGGTCATGGTGACTCCAAGTGGGCGGCTGGAGACGGGTTGCCGCCTGTGCTTCGGGCTCAGATTGTCGCGGTGTCGGATGAAATTGTTTCGGACACTTCAAGGTTCCACAGTGGCCGGGCCTGTTTTTGGTCAAGACACGTTCTTTCGCCGAAGCTGTTCGTCACAGGTCTGAGCATGACGGACTTTCACCCAGAGGCTCTCCTGCGTTCTTGTCATGGTCTTGGCTGCATGCGAGAAGGGAGTTACAGCAGATGCCTAGGATGTGTACAGTGGACTCTTCTGCACAACACTAGAGTTAGAGTGATGTTGCGCTCTGAATCTGTCCGATCCAACTTGCAAAGCCTCCCATGGCCAAGCACCTGTGCCAGAGCTGGAATCCAGCCTGGTCGGTTGACACGATCCTGACGGGCTTATTGTCCTACTTTCTCTCTGATGCAGAATCGGGCTGCAACCTCAGACCACGGCAGGAAGGTTCGCTATCAGGTTGTGTCAGCAGGGAGATGCCCTTGTTTCCTGCATGATTGGAATGCTTCGCTGTGGTAGCGATACCCTGTGGTGACAGCTCCCAGGCTACGGATCGATCAGGGCTTCGTGGGAAACGCGGCGAGCGTTTGCAGAAGAGTCCTGGGTCCCTCGCCTTGCAATGATACAGGACACGTCTTCTTATCACTCTTAAACGACCACGCATGGCCGCAAGGCCCACAACCTCTCAGACCCCGACTTCACGCAGCTCTTTCCGGAGTTTCGCAGCCCTCAGCAAAGGTGCCCAGCACTCTTGCAGCATGTGCTTCTGTGGCAAGGTCGACTTCAGTGTCACCTTGATAGTTCCAATGTGTCTCCTAGACACTTCCTTTTTGCGGGCACATGTTGGATCTTAACTCTTTGCTAATCTGAGCCGTGGCTCATGAGCTCTGACCGCAGTTTGCCCTCCGCTCGGCAAGCTTCCAGCCAGAAGCTCAGGCTTGGCACTGCCTTGATCTTCCCAAGCAATGTCAGGCATCGGGTGTAGGCCTACGCGCTTAGTCCATGTTGGTCCTATGGAGGTCGTCTCAACAGGCTTGGCGCCAGGAGCGACACCCCGCAAGCGACACCGTGTAAGCCACCTTCTGTCCCATGTGAGAAGCTTGAGATGGACTATGCACAAGAAGGGCTCCCCGGAATAACCTTTGGTTTCTCACTGCTTCACACACATTCTCAAAGTTGTCGTTCTTGCATAGACAACAGACCGCGTAACTGAACCACTGCCCTGATGAGTCTAGGATAGAGGGATTGTCTACAAGCTGGTTAGAGAGATGTTCCCTCGGTGCTGGTGTACCGAGGCCAGACAGAATCGCAGGCCAGTGCGCAACAGGGTGCAAGGTTCTGAGGTCCGAAATCACTCTGTCAGGCTGCCCCAGAGTTGGAATGCTGCCGCACGAGTTGCTTTGCCCTTGAGAGTTTTTGTGCCGAACAGGCTCGAGAGTGCTGGATCTGTCGGGATTCCGGCCCTGAACCGCTGATCTACCCTTGTGCTTGCCGCGGGTGCGCCTGGCCTGCTGAACCCGGCTTCCCCAGCCTTTTCTGCAGAACTGTGACGCAGTCCGAGTGATCTTCGCAGACACGGCAACGGCCCGACTTCAGCCCGAACGCTTCATGTGTGCAATGCCGAAACCATTTCGGACCGAAGTTTTGGTGAGTGGTGCTGGCCGAGCACTACCTTTATGTGCCCGGCCTCAGAAAATCTTCATCAGCTTGTTCTGCACCGGTATGAATGCTAGAGTCGTGAAGACCCCTTTTGTCAATCATCGGTGCATTGTCTCATGTGTGAGTGTTTCAGGTGATGAGGCGCCGACGGCTTGTAGCCTTGGCCGTGACTTTCCTGCCATAGTTCTGTTGAGGGTGATGCAGTCGTCCACGAGCCGCTGCTGCGGAGTTCCCATGCGTATGTGCGAAATGCAGAGCTGCAAGTGTCTTTGTGTCAGTTCGAGGTGTGGCCCGTGCTGGCCCTTCTTTGGCCGCAGAAGGTCTTCGTCGTTCCGCGAGTGTCTTGGGTGAAACCTCCCTGTGCAATGTCTGTAGCCAGTTTCACGGCAAGAGCAATATCTGTAAGTGACGACGAAGGGACGAAGCAGAGCATACACACACAGCATGTGCTCTGCACACGCAGCTGAGGTTTCCGAGACTCCAAGAGCCTCGGATGCGACGTCCAGCTCCATTCACTATGCAGAATCCAAGGCCCCGAGCCTGGAAGAGGTGCCTTGGTTTCCATTTCCTCGTCCTTGCTTCGTGAGAGCGAAGATTTACTTCTCCATGAGTCTGTAGAGGCTCCAGAGATGAGCTATGCCTCCACCGTCCGGTCAATGGCAGGCTCACGCCCTTGAGGGGTCTCTCTTACCGTCGCCTGCATGTGCCAGCCGAAGAGGCGTGGTGCTGGGTCTTCTCTTAGCCGTGGCTGCAGCCGCATCTGCGATGGCAGAGGACGGCTCTCCGACAGGCGAGTTTCGACTCATCTTCGGGCCTTTCTAGAGTCACGGCCGTCGCGAAGAGGCTTTGCAGAGTTCGCGCGCAAGGGAGGCAAGATGGATGCCGTGCCTGAGCTGAAGTGGAAGCCATCTGGTGAAGTAGGCAGTGTTGAACCGTTGGCGCGCGTGCAAATGATATGCTAAATTGCTACATGAAGGCAACTGAGCGATGTTGTCTGGCTTGGGCTACAATTCCGGGAGAGCATCGCTTCCATCAGGACGTCGGCTGCTTCTTCAACCAGTGTGGGAAGCAAACAAAGGCCGCACGCACTAACCATTACATTAGTGCTATGGCAGTGACAAGAAGCACCCAGTCCCCAGCAGACTTGTAATCCAATGCAGGCGTGCTTTGTTGAAGACGGGAGATGTTTGTGACTTGGTTGCACGATGTGGACAGCAGGAGATGGTGGTGGTGGTGGTGGTGGTGTTTGTGGTGGTGGTGGTGGTGGTGTTGGTGGTGGTGGTGGTGGGGGGCACGGATGGTGCTAGCTGCTAGCCTGCTCCGGCCAATGGTCACGGCAAATGGTGGAGTGGGCCGAAGCCAAGAGCACAAAGCTAGAAGCAGGCTATATGCAGGGGTAATCTACGTGCCTGCTTGTGCAATGCTTTCCGAGATTTCCAAATCTTAAGATTTTCTTGAAGCCTCTGCTGACTCACAATGACTCGGAGGAAAGGCGCCACATGTCTTGCGAGATGTCGCGGAGACCCAGATGCTTGACGACACATGGAACGGTTTTGCTACAGTAACGCGGCGGTCCCTTGGAGCCTTAGGTCTGGCGCAGAGCAGTAGTATACACAGCACTCCGCAACCCACGTGGGCTGGTGGTCGGGTAAACTCTACGTGGTGTAGCCGTCACGGAGCTTGCTTTTTTGAAGGATTGCGCCACGCAGTGCTTTGCAGAATTTGGGTGTCCCAGGCAGGACCTGTTGGTCGAGAGATTTGTATCAGGGGAAAGCTGCTTGAAACTTGTAGGTATGTGTTGCCTCCAATCGCCTAAACAATCCTGGAGGCTGGATGCCTGGCTGAACTGCACAGTTGAGAAGGAACAGTGTGTCAGCGTTCCAGCTGGAACTTACGTGCCTCGGCTGCTGAAGTCGTTCCGACAGCAGGGCTCAATCCGAATGTGGCTCAGCATGGAGCCGTAGTTGGATTCTCTTCTTTTGCGCACTTGGCAGGGGTTCTTCATCACTGAAGAATGTTCTGTCCATGCAGCATCATTCGGCAGCATCAGCATAAGGATGTTCGGAAGTTCTATGCGGAACAAGTCCCAACCAAGCTCAAAGACTTCGATGTCCGCAAGCTGGAAGGCAAATGGTGCCGTGGAGAGATTCAGTTCATGTGCAGGGCTCTCTGGAACATCTCCGTGATTGCCACTGCAGAAAATTCATGCAACGCCAAGGTACAAAGTCCGCGGCTACAACAAGAAGTACGACTGCTACCCATGCCAAACGAATGTTTTCAAGTATAACGCGGCTGACAATACCATGGAAACCGAAGTATCGCTTCGACTTGCGACCCTCTGCTGCACTTTGGTTCTTCACGCAGCTTCCTAAGGTCCAAACCTGGAGCCAGAATTGTGGTGTTCCACTGAGGAGACTGCGATCTGGAGGATACTGGGAAAACACACTGACTGAAAAGATGCAGATCCAAGCTCCGAGCGACCGCAGTACCTTGTGCCTCGGTTGATCTCAACGGCTTTGCCTTCGCTGCCCCGGTCTGATGTAAGACGGCATGCGTAGGCCCAGATGCACAGGTTTGCGAAGGGCGAAATCTTTGGCCTCTCCTTCCAAGAGGAGTGGTACGTTTTGGCTGCTGACGAAGACTTCGTTCTGACGGCATACGTGGGCAATAATCTGCAGGACTGACATGCGCTTAGAGAGTGTTTAGCTTTGAGACCCCGTCCCGCTGTCTCCAGCACGGTGCACGTGTGGAGCAGGTGTTGGAGCATGTGAAACAAGCACATGTGCTTCTATTTGCCTTTGCTGGCTCTAGCGTGCTCGTATGGCAGGATGCTTACAGAGGCCATCCCGTGGGGAATGTTCGGAATGTTCGCGCCATTCCGCTGTCACATGCTGAGACGCTTGCATCGAGCCAAAACATGGCTTGTTGTGGCGAGCGTCCGCTCAACTTGTGAAAGCCACTGTCAAGCCCAGTTGCGCTGCATGTGTTTTCGCATGTTCCTGCTTTTTCTTGCACAGGCGGCTTCGTCTATGCGAGAACGCCCGTGCTTTCTGCAGCAGCAGAAGCCAAAGTGAGGGCGGCAGCAGAAAAGAACGGATCCTTGGATTCACTGGCGTGTTTGGTATTGCTCGTCCCTGGTAGTCACCGCCATCTCCGCGGTCCAAGCCGTGCTCAACAAAGCAGCACGGTGCAACACCTTCGCCAGACTCTCAATGATCTACGCACCGAACCAAGCTCCTGCTAAGAACTCTCTCGAAACAAGTACCAGAGCATGGCATATCACGCAATCTCTCGGTTCCGAGGATTTGACTGGTCGCTGCTTAGCTGCACCAAGTTTTGTTTCGCATAAGGGACAAGGCCCGAGACGTTCGTCCATTGTTTCTGGAGAATGGGCATCAGCATTGCGGTAGTGCGTCGGCATACACGGTCCCACCATTGAAGAGGATTGATTCCTAATGGGCCGTGCGAGCTGTGAGGAAGTTCTGCATCATTGACAACGCTTGCCCTGCGCAGCCGCCTGTTGATTACACGCCTATGTCCATGAACATGGACGAGACTTGGTGCCATCATTCCCTATAGGCAAGGGGCGAGTTGCAGCAGGCGCATGCTAGAGGCTTCTGCGGCTGGTCTCTGAGTTCGCTGAGGACGTGCAGGACCTCTTTGAATGGTTCGCACCTGGCTCCACACGTGGTGGCACTGTGGCTTGCCTGAAGTGCTGCCGCAGGAAGTAATTGTTTTGCCGTCTGCAGCTCAGGTCAAGGACTCCAACTTCAATGGTGAGTACTGAGTTGCAGCCACCCTATGAATGCCTAGGGAGACAATGGACAAGGTGAGGGCTGTTATCGTTGAGCGATCTTCTGCAGTCAGTGTACTCGTGGAAGCTAGGTCAAGACATCGAAGCATGCGAGAATCACAATGCCGGCAGCAGGAAACATGTTACAGTCAACAGCCAACATTGTCCACGAGACTCCATGAGCTTCACCCGAATGCTTTTTTAAAGATAACGTCAGTGCAGCCTGCTAGGGTGAGAACTCACAACCGTTTACCGTGCAAAGCATCAAGATTTGGAGTGTTCCGCCAGCGATCCTACAGTATCTTGACCGTTCAATCCTTGCTGCGCGGTGCACAATAAAACGGTTTGACCAACGCTTCGACAATTCTAGCCATGGCGGGGCTGTTTAGCAGTTTCGGAGGTGCATTGCCGCAAACTGCAAGTCGAGAAGGGAGAGGCAATGGTAATGACTGTCCGGCCAGAACTGGAGCTGTTTGCCCACGTGCAAAATCCACGCAGGTCCGCTGGAAAAGCCCTTACTAGCACCAAGCATCACCAAGCCAGGATCAGAAAGTGTCGGAGCGAATTCTCTTCACGTCAGTCCTAGGCAGCCAGAGCTCCGGGCTGCACCGCAGACAGCGAAATTGAAAACAAAGGTTCAGTTCACACAAATTCCAGCCAGGAGGCCAGGGGGCTGTCGTATTTCCAGAAGGAGGCGTTTCCCACCCCAAAGCTTCACGGCCACTGAGCAAGCCGTGGTTACGTTGCAGCAGGAGTCTTTGCACAGGTGTGGGCATGTTCCAATTGGTTTGCCGAAAAATCCCGCAAAACGGCTAGAAAAGATATGGGTACAGCATTTCGAGCGTGCAAGATGTGCTCTCAGTTTTGACTCCAGATGGCCCAATCATGCCCAATCTAATCTGAGCAACCTGCAGGTTCAGACCCTTACGAATCACGGGTGGACTGACGCAAAGCGCAGAGGCTGCAACGACGTAACTAACCCAGAACACATTCTCGAAGTGACAAAGTTGTTCACTTCTAAGGGCTTTTGAAGCCAGCCCCGCAGTGTCTCCAACAGACCGTGCTGGTCTCTGGGCATGAGGAAAAAGCGCAAGCTCGTTGGGCTCGTTGGACCTGTCTTGCTTTCGAGTGCCCGGATGGCAGCTGCCAGGTCCATGAGCGGAGTTCACGCCTCGTGCGTGGAGCAGCTCCGCTTGCTCGCTTGGTGGCAGACAAGACCGAACTGATCTGAAATCTAAGGAAAAGCCAACAAACGTTGAAGTTGTGCGATGCAAACAGCCATCAAAAGACCTGCGCAGGTCATGCACAACTGCCAGAAGCAGTAGCAGACTCAGTAGCACACTAGCCCCAAGTGCATCTGTGCGAGAAATTGCCAGGTGGATGCGGCATCAGCGCAGGGCCGGAGGCGAATAGTACCCTGAACCCTGCTGTACTGTACTGGAGGGAACGCCTGCGAACTCCATGCTCAGGACCCAGGGCATGCCACGTGCTGTGCTTTGCTTGTCTTTCGCTTTCAGCTTTCGTCAGCAGAAGATCACAGGAAAATGCCATGTAACTGCAGGGTGTTCCTTCCTGTGGGTTCGTGCCATCCCAAACAGTGTGCCTTGGATCGGTGCTTGGACTTGGAACGGTCGCAGCACCATGCAGCAGCCGGCAGGTGCAGGAAGGCCGCGATGCGGAGTCTGTCGTGAACCGCAGCGAAGCTGAATCCAGTAATGAAGTATTGTTTGTCGTAGCGCATGAAGTGGTAGCTGGTGGCTCGCGACGTGGGAGAGCCAACTCTTTGGACAAGCCCTTCCAAGACCCGCTCAGCAGAAGGTATCTTGGTCGGGAGGAGCAGCCGGGAATCGGCAGCTTCGCGCCGGGGCCCCGGAACTCATGCAACTCTGCCTCTGAACTCCTTCCCTCTTGCGCTGCAAAGCCGATCGCAGGTTTCACTACCTGCAGGATTTTGCAGGGCAGCTGGTCCGCAGGCCTCTGCTCATCTCTGCCAGTTCATCTTCCACCGATTCAGCTCAGTGAGTCTAAACGGGTTCTTTGATGCTACGCTAGTCGGGCACATCGCATTTGTGTTGCAGTGCCGTCCTGGTGATGATGCTCATGGGCTTCCAAGACTGTCTGCAGGGGAAGCAGGCCTGTTTGACTGCTCGGCATCCCTGGAGAGAGATAGTCATCCCAATTGAAGACCTCCAGCCTGGTGACAGGCATCTTTGCCACCTGTTGCGCGCATCCTGTTTGTCGTGCTGTTCGGATGTGCAGCATGGCAGCATTGGTTCATCCGGTGAGTACGAGATGCGTTGGGTCAGGTTTCCCCGACGGGATCACGCAAAAGCATGCATGGGATGTACCCGTTATCTTTTCTCAGGTATGCTTGCACAAGTTCGCCGTGCTGGCAGCGGCAGCCTCGGAAGCTCGCGGCCGCCGGCAAGCACGAAGCTGCGCACCAACGCTTTCGAGGCATCATTGCCACTTCACCGGCCGCCGCCGCGGTCATTGCGTGCCCGACGCTTCTACACGTGCTTGGACTTAGCTGCTGCCTGGCTCTCGCAACATGTGCAGACAGGTGCTTTCGTTTGTCCGTCCGCTCGTCGTGTGGTTTTGTGTGCCAGGAGCCAGAGTCGAGTAATTTGGTGGGGCAGTACTGGGAGTTTGCACTTCAATTTAATTTGTTTAATACACCCGAGGTAAGTGAGGCAAGAACCCATGCTTGTGTTCATGGTTTGCTATCGATCTGAGAGTTTAGAGTTTTGGGTTTCGGACATGACAGCCCAAAATTCTTGGTTCAGGGTGGCGCACGATGTGCTATCCAGGGCATGATAACAGTATTAACCCGTCAACACACTGGTGTTTATGCCTGTCAAGTCAGTCCATCTTCATGATGCCAGCATGGATCAGCACCGCGACGACCATGACGACCGCGACGACAAAGCTGTGCAGAATCAACAGAAGCCTTGTAGAAGATCCCCTCACTTCTATCTCCCGGCTCTTGACATTGCATTTGTTTGTCAGATTTTGTCAGCATCATACAGAACAGGGAAGTAACACAGGAGCTGTCGAATCCGATTTCGAACCCCAACCCCATTAGTGTCCCAGGGCTGATCCACAACGTTTGGCTCGACATGCCGCAGAGGCCCGCGGCTGTTGACCCTTTTCAGAGATCCAGAGAGTTGCTGCTGCGGCACTTGTGTAGGCGTTGACTACCACTTGCATGCTGGCGGTCTGGTGCGCCTTTCTGGGCTATCGTTTTGTGTCAGCTACATCCAGAGGCCGCAATAAACCCATGCCCATTGACCCATTGAGTCTAAACAGCCGGATGGGCTACCTCAAGCTTCAAGAGTGTCCCAGGAAAAGCACGAGGTGTGTGCTGGATGGAGCACTTGCTGTCCGCAGAGAGAGATTCGCAGCTGAATGGCTGAAGTCCTTTCTTGAGGTACTTTCGCGGAGAGTTGCCTCTTCTGGCGTTTCTGCCGTTTGGCTTCGTCGGTCTGTGTCTGGTGCGCCGGTGCTCGATCGGAAAGCAGTTGGAGACAGACAGCCTGATGCGTAGAAGAGGTGTGCAGGGGCAGTGTGAAACGAAACGGCATGCAAGGTTCCGGCGCAGACAGGCATGACAAGCAACGAAGGAAGGTTGAAGTTAAGTCGTCTTATGTAAACTGGTGTTGCTGGCAGAAAGCTTTCGGCGACATACCACCTTTGGAAGCCGTCCGACTTGACATGGCTGTGCGGAATGCGTGCCTGGGTTTGCAGGTACTGAAGATATCTTCCGGTGTCTTGTTCCCGACTTAGCGGCAGAGTGTGCCTGTGCCTCTCACAGGTCGATTAGTTGCAGTGCAGGGCTTTTTGCAGCTTGTAGGGGTTGATAAAAGACCACTTTGTGTTCGAGATTTTGCTTGTGCTACTTGTGTATGCTGTAAACATGCAACTTGTAGAAGTTTGAGAGCCAACAGTCTCTGACAATTGACAAAGTGGCGCCGAGTATCAGCAACCGTCGAGAGACTGCATGGAACTTGTCTGTGAATGTCTGCGGATAATGCCAGCTGCAATAAATTTGTACGGTCTTCTCCACGGCTTAAAGGTCGTGGTCTTGCCTATTCGGTCTGCTTCGAAACATACTCTGGCCGCTGACTTAAAGGGCTTCTGTGACATGCACAACCACAACTGCCAGAGCAGCTGTTTCAAGCTGATCTGCATGAGGTGCGCGCTCGTACCAATCTTTCTTCTTCGGCGGATTGGATCGCTCCTGATGGCACCTCGTCTTGTCCGGGCCTGGGATACTGCAGCTTAATCTGTCATGAGCTCCCCTTAAATTCACCGTGTGCCAGGTGCTTGAGTTCGTCCAGGCCTCAGGCTCACACCCGTTCAAAGCGGACGGGGCGCTTGCGCGCCCTTCCCTGACCCGTAAACATCTCGCACGTCGAGAGCAGACGAGGTCCATCCTCTGCAGCCGCTCCCTCATGGCCTCGTGGCCTTATCTTCCTTGATGTTTGCCATCGTGTCGCCGTGCGCCCTCCCCGCTACGATCTGGCATGGTCATTTACAGAGAGTCGAGTGCCAGCTGCAGCTTGTGCTTGGCATCGGGCAGCAAACGGTCTGCTTTGCATCTGCGTTCATCCGAGCATGAATGGATCGCAGCCTTTTCTGCTCAGCCAGTGCTATACATCAATTTAGAATGTTTCAATCTGTTCGATCATGACAACCCCATGTTAAGACCCCCCGAAAGTCGACGGAGCTCCTTGGAGGTGTTAGCTACTGTTCCTTTTTGGGTACAGGCTAAAGTGGCCAACCCCTGGATGACACTCGCGTTTGACCCACTCAACTTGGAACCGCTCACGACCGAGCTGGAGAGATTCAGTATGTCAAGACGGTCTCAGGCAAGTCCAAGACCAGATACAGCACCCCTGCCGCCAGAAACCTTACGCAAAGAAACGGGAACTGGATCTGGACAGACCTGATCTGATAAATGTAGCGATCCTCTGAAGCAGAACTGTAGACATATCTGATTGCGTCCAGCTCCAGTGGCCATGGCCGACGTGGCCGCAGCATAGCTGGTGACAGCTGGGCAGCACAGACAGCACCGGATGCAGGTGAGATTCTGAGATGGACTGCGGTTGGCTCCAACCCGATCTAGGCTCAAGAGGTTGCAATTTCCTTTCGAATGCTTAGCCTTTCACTACCGGATCTAAGCTGAGTGCAGGCAGGGGCAGGGCTACTGGTACAGTAGCAGTAAGCTTTGCCAAAGGACTCGGAGGGGCTGCGCCAGCGAGGCGTTCGGCCGCTGAGGCCCGGTCCGCTTTGGGAACTGAAAAACCTCCTTTCGACCTGCGCGGAGGCCGGCTTATCACGAGACACCACTCTGTTCCATCGGAAAGACTGTGCGGGCCAGGGACCTCAGGGAAACAAGGAACTGAGGTGGATCTTGGGTTTGTATCACTGGGCTCGTCTCGTGTCTGTCAGGTGCACCTGCCCTCGGGCCAGATTCGGCGTGCAATTGTGGAGTATGTCAATGAGGACGGCACAGCGGGGTTCCCGGCATCAGAGGGTCTGAAGCCGCAGTTCAGCTGCACGAAGCGATTTCAAATAGTGACTCCGAAGACAATGGCACGTGACAAGTGACAAGACGCATAACATAAAGAGTTGGCAGCATGCACAAGTGACAAGCCAGAGTCTGGATGCAGGCGACTCGTGACTTAGCACCGCCAGAGGAGCTGGAACAGACAGGAACAGATGTTGTGTCTGCCAGCTTGTTCCACATAGACGCCCAGTCACCGCTCCAGCTGGTGCCTTGCAACCTCTTAGTTGTTATGCAGCATTATGCAGCATTTTGCAAATCAAGCCATCTCGGTGCCGAACGCTCCTTGATCTGCCTGGCGCCATGTTGTCCCGACTTGCCCTGTGTGCATGCTTGGCCGGCTCTGTTGCCGCTATGTGCCCAGATGATCCGGAGGTGGACTTGTGCGAGGAAGCTGCTGATGAAACAAGTCACAGCATCCGAAACGGAGCTTGGATGGCTTTGTTGTTGCCGTTGGCTTCGACGCGGCCCGGCCTTGCAACAGGCTTGGCCTTGGCTTTGGCTGCCGGGTCGGTGGGCGTGGAAGCTGTGACTTGCGGCGAACTGAAGACCTTCTACAAGAACGAGCAGTGCTGCGGCCAGCCCACTCTTGAGCTCTCCGCTCCAGTGCCTGGAACCGCCTCCTGCCCGTACTCTTTCGCGAAGCCCGCTTGCTCCAACGCCGAACCTCAGACACCGCGTGACTTGACGGCCGGCGCGGTCGGCCAAATGACGCCGAAGGCGGCAACCCTGACGGATGATCAGGCAAACTTTCTGCCCCTGGTGAACGTGCACTTCCACTTGGGTGCAGAGCACAAGAGTGAGGCAAGGCCGTGACAGTTTCGAGTTTCTTTCGGCATGCTGCAGCCTTAGCCCCTCTCTGCTTCAGTTGCTCTCTGAAGCCAAGGCCTACAGCGACGACACAGACTCGATTGCCTACGATGCCGCCTCGTCAGGGCGACGACTTGCCAGCAATCCTCGGCCTGGCTTCATGTGCAGCACGAGCTCTTTGAACGCCACGCAGCTGGCCCCGTACAATTTCAGCTATTGCAGCTTCTCCCGATATCAAGCTTTCGTTTAATGTGCCATGTTGGATAATCTTTGAGCAGTTGCGTCCTTGGCCGTTATGGATTGCATGTAAGGCAAGGGCGACGTGCAGGTCGGGAAGTCCTACGAGATTCACTACGTGCATTCCTCGGCTGGAACGGACAACAACCCTGCGGCTGCTTGGTGGCTTAGGCTTAGTGCGTTCTCTTGTACTAGCGGTTCGCTTCTTTGATCTTTGCACGGTTGGTAACGCTTCCAGGACGCTATCAACGCAGACTTGTTGGCAGATGGCCTGGGAGGTGGGCACGGGGCAGTGGTGGCAGGGGTCCTGCTATGTGCACGCATCATCCGGTTTTAGTCTCCGAATTGTAAGCTTTGCAGGCGCGGCCAATGGCCGTGGCCTCCTCAACCCCATGGTCGTGGTGCAGGGGCAGATCTTCCAGATCGTGAACGGTGCGGCAGATGTCGATGACATGTTGCATGGTTGGACTGTGGTGGGCCACGACAACTCTGTCATGTACCCTGGAAGCACCACCGGTCAAAGCCACGACAACCAGGTGTGCTCTCCATACTCCATCACCTGGCATGTGGACAAGGATTGCCATCAGGTATCTCCCGCGAGCTTTGATATGCTGTGCAAGCAGATGAAGGAGACCTATGGAATGGAAGATGACCTTTACCCGCACGGCTCTCGCATGCTGGTGGATCCCATGTATGTGGTGAAATCTGAGTTCGTCAAGCCATTGGCGTAGGTGAGTGGTAACCATCACTTTTTAAATCGCAGTTTCTCCACAGCAACGACCTCAGCTCCCAACGCAGTCGTTGCTGTAGTAGTCTTAGTGTTGGTCCTTTTAAGAAAGTCTCTTGCAATTATTGTCGATTGCACGCGACCTAGAACCTCGTTCCAGGAAGAGTGCCAACGCCTGAGGTGTTGGTGATTCTGCAGTGTAGCTTGAGAGTAGCTTCAGGTAGTGCGAATGGCCACCGTGGACTAGCAAGTCGCTTGCAGAGCATCGCCCTGATGCAGCACGATTAAGTTCTGCTTTTCCTCGGACTTGGGTTACGGCCTGGGGGTCGTGCCAGTCCGATAGCTGAATTGCAGTCCCGTCAGAGAGCCAGCAAAGAAGAGAATCGTCAAAGTTGCATCAATGCCGCATCGTAGGGCAGAGTCTGGATCTTGGATTGCTTGTGCCCCTGAGGTGGATGTCGCCTTTGCCGGGGATTCCGTGAGTTTGGCGGAGGCTCGCGTTGCAAGTTGCGTGAGCCCTGCTACATTTAGCAACGCATGGCGTGCATGGCACGACCAGCGACCAGGCCCCGAAAGACATGGGAGCGACTGAAGCGACTGTGGCTGCTGACAGCCTAAGGCCCCACGAGCGCCCCATCCATCTGCGTGCTTGTTTGAGATACTGCAGGCCGCTCCATGACGAGGAGCTCTCTTTGGATGATGACAAAGCCTTCGAAGGCCCTGGGGCAGCACAGCGCGCTAAGGCTGGGCTCAATCCGGGTTTCGCAACTCTGGCTGAGAAAGAGACGCCATGCGGTGCCAAAGAGGGTGCCATAAACAATCTGTCACCCTTGGCTCACAGGAAGTCGGAAACCTTGTGTTCAAGCTTGGCGACATGGAGGCTTTACTTCTCACACCTCCAGCTCGCATCACCAGCTTGATTGATCTGCCCTTGTGGTGCCAGGCTGCAGCAGAACTCTATGCCCGGGCACTGAAAGTGCTCGAGCGGTGCGAGGACTCGTCAAGTGCCACCTCCACTGTAACTTCCTGCCACGTTGACTGATGCGCTTGGTTTCCTCGATTGCCACCTCAGCCTGCCCAGCCTGATACAGTTAAAAGTATTCTGCTCAAATCAGGACGGCGTCGAATGGGTCCTGGCAAATCGAAGCTCGACTGCGATAGCTTGGTAGAAGTGGCCTGCTGGGCAGAAACGGGCCGAACTTCACCAAGGGCACGGCTCTTTGCAGCCTGCTCGAGTGTGCCGAGGCTGGCGTTGGGGGGAATTGGGCTCCGAGCACGCGCGCCACTGTTCCTTCAAAGCCCATGCACCGTGTCGGTCTCCATGGCTCTCCCACCTCCATGCTCACAGTATGCTCACGCTCACATCCGCCTCGTGTTCAAAAACAAACGTGGGCATGGAAGGACCTCGCCTTCGCCGCCGCTCGCGCCTTTGCGGCCACCCTGCTCGCATTGCCACGATTTGCCAGCGTCGATGGCGACCCGCTGTGGCTGAACGATCTCCTGACAGACTCTCGCTTCGAGTTACCTCCCCCATCACCTGCGTCAGTCGCCGTCCATCCCAACAATTTGGGAAGCTGAGCGTCCTGTGTCTGTGTGTGTGTGTGCCCTTTGCCCCTCCCAGCGCATGCACCAGTGCCAGCTCTCCGTCAGTCTTCTCGTTTTCATGCCGTTGCGGTTCAGCACGAGAAAGCCTGCAACAGGTGCACCTGACCGAATTGATCTGAAATTCTGTGGCACCGACGAGGCACCTGATGCCTCTGTCCTGACTTGGGTTGGCTTGTTGCTACAGAGGTCCTTCAAGGAGTTCCCCTCTCTGCAGTGCTCGGCGTTCGGTTGGATCAGCTTTTGCTTCAAGAGCCTCGGACAGCATACAAGAATGCTTCTCACCGCAGAGGTTGTCACATCGAGGTGAGGGACGTGCGAGACAAGAGATGTTGCACCGTGCCCCCGAGACCTTTCTGCAGGGCAGCTTGCATCTCAATCGCTCACGAGCACTAGCACAGCTTGGACACCAAGCTGAAGCTGCCCAGGCCAGGTGCTGTCATGCGTCATGACAGTAAGTTATTGCGAAGTTTTGAGTGCATGATGTGGAAGACACAAGGCTCAACACCTGGCCTGAACCACTCTTCTTTTGTCCAAATTGCTGCTCGTGCTTCGGAGCGCAGCGACGCGCATTGCCAGGACCTGTCCATCGTGATCTCGCTGTGGGCTGCCCACGCTGCAGCAGGTTCCCCGCGAATTGGGAAGGACGAAGAGTGCAAGGAACAGCTGGTCAAGGTGCGACCCTGTGACCCCTTCCCGCGGCTTCAAGCACAGGCCGAGTCTGGAGCCTGCCCCCGAGGCCTTCTACCTCCGTGCCAAGACACGGATGTCCAGGCAAGGCGTCTGCGTTCTGCGCCGAAAAGTTCCAAGTTCAATGATTCTGTCGGGGACGAGGCAGCGAATCGAGCCTGCTCGCAGTGACCTGGCAGCTGCAGCTGCACTGAGGCGTAGCTTGCTGTCAGAGTCAAGGTTGTGCAAGCGATGGAGGGGATTTATCCATTGCCTGCACTGCACGGCTCCGTCAGATTAGTAGGCCTGCGGAAGCAACTGCGACGCTGCTGCGCCAGGCCAGGAAAGAAGTGAGCAATCTTCCTTGCCAGTGGAAACTTTGATCTGTTTGGCGCTGCCTTAATGTTGTGGTCATCGAGCTCTTGCGATTGCAGTGTTGACAGAATCTCCGAAACAGAGCTCGTTTCTAGCAGATGCGTAAGGTCCAACCAGGCTAGTAAAACAAGGGCGGCGCAGAAAGAATCAGCATCGGATATGGGTTATCATTAAAATAAAACCACAATCCACCTCCGGGATAAACTAGAATGTGTGCGTGTGGGCGTGCGTGTGCGTGCGTGTGCATGTGTGCATGTGTGCATGTGTGCATGTGTGCGTGTCTGCGTGTCTGCGTGTGCGTCTGCGTCTGCGTCTGCGTCTGCGTGTGCGTGTGCGTGTGCGTGTGCGTGTGCGTGTGCGTGTGTGTGTGTGCGCGCGTGTGTGTGCGTGTGTGTGTGTGTGTGTGGGTGTGGGTGTGGGTGTGGGTGGGTGGGTGTGGGTGGGTGGGTGGGTGGGTGCGCCTCTTCGGCTCTTGGGGGTGCAGGTGTCTGTGTTTGTGTCTGTGTCTCTATGAGATTGTGAGTGTTTATCTGTCGTTGTGCGCCTGTGCCGCCCGATGAACGCCACGTACCAAAGCATGGAGAACCATGGCATCCAGTGGCATCCCATGACCCAGCCTCCAATGCATTCTGTTTGCTTGTCTTGGTGGCAAAGAGGTAGTCTAGTCTAGTCCAGTATGTGTACATGGGAATTCCAACATAGCTCTAAAGGTCTTGCACTGGTTGTTTTGGTGTTGCTGGTTTGATTGTCGCGTGGCTGTTGTTGCTCATATGTCTGTTGTATCGATCGTGCTGTCGTTGTAATGTTTGTGCGGTTGCGGTTGTTGATGAAATGTGTGTGGGCTAGTTGTTTCCTTTCTGCATCCTGGCCGACGATGAAAGTTGCTGGACCAGACTTTGCTGTTGCTTTTCTGCTCTGTCATTCCATCTGTCGAAGCAGTCATTACATATAGGAACTAGGAGGGCTTGATCTTGCGACCCTGCAGGCTGAGCGCGAACTTGAAGCTGTGCAGAGAGAGAAGGCACACCGCTGTCAACCTGGGTCGGCATCAGGCGAAGCCAAGCAGCAAGTCGCAGCTTGAAGTCCAGCAAGCACCGCCTGCAGCATGTAGAGCTTTGGCTTTCTGCAGTGCAGTGCAGGTCCGAAGCAACAAAAAGCTGGCAAAGGCAAGGACATCATTCAACCATCGTTGCTACCACCATTTCAGAACATCTCTCAGCATGCAGCGAGTCACACATGTGTTGGAGAGGATGGGTGCATGGGTTTGCATACTAGTTCATGGCAGATGTTGCGAAGATGTTGGACCGCTTATTGCCCTTGTTGCAGGAGATTGCCAAGTTCGCAGACTCCGCAATGTCAGGCCCGAGCCGGGGCTTTTCAAAAGCATCCTTTGGCTTTTGAGAAGAGGGCCGCGCCCCCAGCTTCCGAGGTCTCTCTGAGGCAGAGCTGGCGGCCTTGGGCGCGGGAACCGAATGATCGCAGGAAAAAGTGGTGCGGCTTTTGGAGTTCTGGGGTTTCAGAGCTGAGGGCTGAAGGTCTCGAGGCTCGGATCGCCGCAACGGGCCTTGAAGCTTCGACGAGCCCCGAAAGTGTCTCTGAAATCTGCGAACGTGGCCCGCTTTGTGTGAAGGATCCGGCTCGAAGGACTGGTTCATAGGAGCTTGACTCCGTATTCCATGATCCACTTGTTGCAGCTTTCATGGCAAGCGTCTTGAGGTCTTGAACTGTGCAGACTTGGGGTATCATGGGAAAGTCTGAACGACCGACCTGCGGAAGCTTGGATGCACGTCTGTCGCACTCTACGCCTGCAAGAGTCCAAGCCTAGGGTTTTCCAGTCTCTAAGGGCTGGAGTGCCTTGAGGAGGCACTGCGCTCTTTGGGCGAAGTTCCTGCGTGGAAGCAGCTGCCGAACACGCAGCAGCAACATCAGTGCAGAGGCATCCGGGCAGCCTCGGGATTGCCTCAACTTTCTTGTGAGATGTCGTATTTCTGGCCACATGGCTCAGCATTGTCGTAAAGCACTTCCAAGGCTCCTTGTGTTTAGCTAAAGTCCTCTGTAAACACCTGTTGATCTGGGGGTTTTCTCGTGTGACTTGCCCTGAGGCTGGAAAGCTTCCGTGGCCTGATCGCAAGCTGATGCTAATTTTCCTGCTTGATGCTGCTCTTTTGCCGGAACTTATATTCAAACAGCTCCGTTTTCATACCTCATGACAGTCCTGGGCTAGGTGAGCCATTATTCCGGCAAGGGCACCATCCTTGTACAGGTCGGGCAGAGCTCTGCAGACTCTTTGCATCTCTTGGCCATCGTTCCATGGAACTTTCTGCCTTTGGGCAGGGTGCAGACGCTGCAGTGGTGGAGGAAAAGCTGAAGACTGCGATTGAGGCAGGCTTCGGCAGTAGGGCCGACTGCAACACTCTTGAATCAAATGCTTGCTGATAAATCAGGAACTACAAGTAGTAAGTTACGGGCCTCCGGGCTTTTTCAGCACTCGCCCGCGGGCGTGTAGAGGCCGCGCCGACGTACAACAAAAATCAGAGCTCAAGAACTGACCGACCGAGAAAGAAAGGCAGGATGAGAGAAGCACGAGTTGGGAGAAAGAGTGGCCTGGTGGCACCGAATCGTGGCGATGTTGGCTCCCCGGAAGTATGTCCCAACTGAAACAAATCGCCAGAGTAGCTTTTTGCCCTGCATGGCCCTGGCCACGTCAGAAGTCGCACCACGGCTGCCCAGACTTAGCAGGTGGCCTCACGGTTCCCGGGAGCGAATGCGATGCCACGGCAGGCACGCAGCGGGAGCGCATATGCTAGAAATGAGGTGTGCTGCTTTTACTCGCCATGGCTACGGGAACATCCGATCAGCAGCAAACCAAGCGAAAGTACTAAGACACCGTCCCACCATCCAGAAAGTCCGCGAGAGCATCGCACAAGCCTCTAAGCAAAAATGTCTGCCGATGCCGCTGTGGCTGTTGGGAGCCACTTGCTTGAGACTCGCATGTGAGCTGGACACCCACGGGTTCAACCCTGATTTTGCTCTTCCAAGAAAGCAGCAATTCCAAACTTGGACGACGACTGCAGGCTTCCTTGGAGCGGCAGATTCCCTTGCCACAGGCACGGCAGATGACTTGTGGACTTCATGGAAATGCAAAGGTGTAACAGGAAGAAGGTCGTCCGCGATTGCAGATCACAGTCGGTCCGTCTAGCTCAGGTGGGCGATTCCCAGATGCTGCGCGCAAAAGAGCTTTTCATGCCTGCTGCGCCATCGTTAGAAGGCCGCACTGGGAGGGTGTACTAGAGCTCTCCCTGAATCAGAAACGTCGACCTGTTTGGTGGGATCTGTCAGACTCTGTGCTGTTCAGTTCTGCAGGCGAGTCATGGTATCTCTACTTGGATGGAGCTTGCCCAAACAACCGTAGCTTGGCTGCTTTTTGAGCATCGCATGCGCGTCTGTCCTAGCAGATCATTCGGAGCGCACCCGTGCCACCTTATTGTTTGCAGGAAACGTCCACGATGTGGCACATTCCGCTGGATGGGGCGTGGCAGTTTTCGAGCATTCGCCGCGCTCTCAAGTTGGATTTCTGCTCACCACACCAAGCCGATGAAGAGAGCATCCGAGGCCGGCACATGGCAGGAGGGAGGCCTTCCGCCTCTTCGGGCCCGTTGAGGCGCGGGGTCAAGCGAAGGCGAGCACCAGACAGAGCACCAGTGGAGGTCGACCGCAGCTCGGCCTTTTTTCTGGGTGCAGAGGCCGGGATTGGCAGCCTCTGCTCTCATCTCTGATCTTCGAAGCGAGAGGTGTGCTCGAACAACACAGCAGAGCTGACGGCCTTCGGCGAGGCCATGGGCCTTGCGCATGTAGCCTCGCAGGGCTAAGTAGATGGACAAGCCACGGCTCGCAGAGCATGGACTGATAACTCCTCTCAGTTTGGTCTTCACTCGAAGGCCCTTTTGTGGCTTCGTGACGAAGCACCGGGGCCCAAAGACAGGCCCTCGCAGCTGCTTTAGGATGAGCTGCGTGCAGACACGATGAGATGCATCGCCACGAGTGAGGAATGCTACATTGTTCGTCTCAGGCCGGCGGTGCTTTGCTACGACTCGCAGTATGCGAAGAAGGCTGCAATCTTGGGCCCACAACACGCCTGACAGAGAGCGCGAAGGTTGATTGAGTAGTATTCCAGGCTCGAATCTTCTGGCAAGGTGTAGCCCGAAGTCGGAGTCCCTTTGACCAGGCGATGACGGGCGAAAATCGAGCACATGCGAACGTAGAACTGGTGGCATCGGTTCAACGTCTCTGGCAGGAGTGATTGCGGAATTGCAGTCGGGTGAGACGAAGAAACTGAAGCTTGCAGTCGGCCACCGGTCACCAGCCTGTGGTTTTTGCCAGGAGCTGTCTGCCAGAAGGCGGCTGCTACTGAGTTGGATCAAGGGCCATGCTGGCGACTTTGGCAATGTAGCTTGCAGCGAGATTATTTCATGCAAGAGCGCGATTTGAAGAAGTCGTGAAAGCTCCGCTGCACGAGCCCAGGAATTGGCCGACAAGCTGGCCAATGAGGGGGCCGAAGGCATCAGCGTCACAGAGTTGGTGACAGTCGTTTAGTTCGATCCTCCGAACAATCAGGCCAAACAATGGTCAGAACCTGTTTCAAGCCGAACAAAGCCTGTTGCATTTGATTCGAGCTTGTTGAACCTCAGTGTGAACTCCGCAGAGGACGGACTGGTGCTGCTTCCAGGCGATGGTCCCGACGTGCAGCAGGTGGAGCGTTCAACTGCGGCGCCATGTCAGCTCGGCTCTGCGTGCATCCTTGAGGAGCCTGCTGGACGGCCGGTCCAGAAGCCAAGCGTGCAAGCTGCTCAACTGCAAGAAGGCTTGAAGGCATGCCGCGTGCACAAGACCTGCAGAGACTCGTGGGCTCTTCGTGCAGCCCTCTGAAACATACCGTCCGTTCCTTCAAAAGGACTTGGAGTGATCTCTGCAGGATGCGGGGCTTCTGCAGACCTCTTCCATGCCGTGGCCGTCGGCTCCTGTACGGCTTCCGCGAGCCGAGCGACAGGACGCTGAGCATAATGAAGACCGACCTGACCTATGCCTGCACAAAGGTGCAGCCATGTTCAGCCCAGTGCGCTCAGGAAGCGACTCAGATCAGACTGGAGGGACCGGTGCACCCTTGGTAGCCGGAGGCGGACGTCTCCTTTTTGGCCCCAAGCCGCTGAGTTGCAGAGAAGAGGCGAAAGCCATCGAAAACTCTTCTAGGCGCAGCCGTCTTAAAGCCGCCAGGCATATGCCTTTTTCCTTGTGTCAATGCTAGACGTCAGGGAGGTTTGGGCCCGTTTCGTGGCGTGACGACAAGAAAGCTGGGAACGGAGCAATGGCTCCTTGCACAATGCCCGTTACCTGCGAAGAGCCTTGCTGAACACGGAAGTGTTTGGCTCAAGCGTGGAGTGAAGAAGAGAGTGCTCTGTGTTTGAACACATGGTAGCGGAGAAAATGCAGGGATGGCTGGTGTGGTCCGTAGCCATGCGGAACGAAGGTGGCCTGGAAACCTCACTGCCTTGGGATGTTCGACTGACTGTACACAAAAAGCACAACAACCACACACAGGTTTCAACACAAACGGGTAAAGCATGGCTTCGGCAAAATGCCCCCCACGAACAAAGTCTTTGATGCCGGAGGCCTCAGCGAATAATCCTCGTGCTCAAAGTTCATCAGAACAGAATGAGGGAAGGAGCCTACTTCATCCTGCTTCCTTGTCTGATTCGTGGCATCTGAGGAAGGGCCAATCCTTGCACCAAGTGTCCCGGGCTGCATTTCCGGTCCCAGCGAAGGTGACTAGTGATTAGACAAAATGATCAAATGAATCACCCGGCATTGTTGTAAAGCACATGACGTTGTCCAGGAGGATAGTGAGCCATTTAATCCGCACTCAGGTCAGCTGCGATCCAACGGCAGCCGCTCAGGTGCAGAGCTTCGGACTGTGACAATGTCGGGGTCTTCAGCTCCCACGCACCAGGCTATCGATGCCTTGCAAAACTTTTTGGTCACAGCGGGCCTTTGGGAGGCACTTGCTGCAAAAAGAATGGCGAGGGTTCGATCAGCGTTGAGGGAGTTTTCTTGCAGAAGACTGCGGCAGGCATTTGAGCGCTCCAAATTCAACCCTTCACGACAAGATGGCAACGCTGAGTCTCATAGCCACGCTCTGAGATGATGAGCATCCTGCTTCTTTGCTTAGGGTTGCTCGTGGAGTTTATGGAGTTGCGTGACGCCGTCGGCACTCATGCTGGCCTCATCGCTGCAATGCCGCAGGAGCAGCAGGGAACATGCTCCACGTGCTTGACAACATGTTTCAACCAGAGGATCGATGGCAGAGCAGGATGTCTGTCGCAGTCAGATATCATGTGGCATGATGTGGACCTTGAAAACGGCCTGTTGTTGCACCATGAACCTCAATGGGAGACCACAAATCCTTTACTGATCCAAGAATTGTCATGTTGCCATCATGGGTAAGGCGAGATCCGGCAACCTCAATACAGCCCTTCGCAGCAGCTGAGCACGTCCGGGGGAGTGCTTCGAGATGTGCTGCATCGAGCAGAGTGAAAAAGCTGAATTGCAGTGCTGCAATGCTTTAGACATCGTTGCTGACTCAGCCGCGCAAACTCAAAAGTCGCGACCTTGCATCAGCGCAGGTCAAACATTCCGGTTGTGTTGTTGTGGACAGCCAGGAGCTCAAAAATGCTCATACTTTTCTCCAGCTCAACAGAAGCAAGTTTGACATCGAAAGTAGACGGAGAAAGTGCTCAAGAGCGGAGTCAGACATTGCAGTTTTGCTTCTGGCTGTTAGCACGATGATGTCCCATAGTTCACATCGGGACACTTTTGCCAGGTCCATGCGGTGACTTTAGCTGCAGCTGTGGCGGAGCGGGTGCCAGCCTGCAGATGAGCGGAGGGGAGACTGTCACAAGGAAGATGCAAACACGCAAGATGCGATACTTGGTAGTCCGGTAGTCTTAGTCTTTGTGATGGTCACGGTTGGCCAAGTACATTCAGACAGGCAGAGACACATGGAGAGACAGACGGACAGACAGACATGCAGGAACAGAGGGACTCAAGCAGGGAAGCAGGCAGAGCCACACAGGAGACTGATTTGTTGTTCGAGGTGGCCGTGGGGCGTTTGGTCTGGCACCATGGCTTTGCCTGGCTTTACATCGCGCAGCTATCCTTTCTGTGCACGTGACCCACTGCAAGAGCAGGGCGCCTGCGTTTGCCAGCTTCAGTGGCCGTGCTGCATGGTGTAGCATTTGGTCGTAATCGTGCGATTGGGCGAGGTGTCGGCTGAACAGGCAAAGCCAGAAGCAATTGAACTGCATTTCATGACGCAGCACAAAACGGCACGACAACGATGCGTTGCAAGTGCTGGTGGCAATTCGCCGGATAATCCGAAGATTCCTGTGAAGACTCGACTTCCAGCGTCGCCATGTTGGGCAATGGCTTCCTCGAAGATCCTACAGGTAACACGTCGCGGTGACCGGCAGTGGCCGGTTGAGCTCTCATGCTATTTGCTAGTGATAAGGCATTTTTTTGCAGATCCTGTTTGGCTTCTCGCAGCTGCAACCTGCAGCCCGGGCATCAGGCATTTGCCCTGGCACTTGCGGTGATTGTCCATTGGGCAGCGGAGCCTGAGGAGTGCTAGTGCGCTTCAGCGATCTTGGCATCCATGCTGAGACTCGCTAACTTGAGACGGTGACAATCTGCGGCTTCGCATCGCGTGGAGGAGCTTCCCTCCCAGGGCGAGTGCCAAGGAGGTCAACTTCCTGCTGGTTGCCGCACAGGACGCCTGCGAGACTTCGACTGGCAGACGCCCCGTGACTATACGAGTGAGTGCAGTAGAGCGATGAGAAGCACCCTCCCAGTCTCATGAGTTTAGATTGTCTGCATCCTGTGTAGGACCAGAGTCAGCTGCCTTATGTTCGAAGCCTCGGTGTGTCTGAAGGTATTTGGGCCTGCTTTGCAGTGAGCTTCCGCGCTCTCTTGCACACCAGGCGATCCTCCAGGCTCGGTCGAAGTCGAATCGACACACCGCCTTCTGTTTCTTTTGAAAGGGAGCTCGGCTCTATGGCTCTTAGACACACCACCCTTGGAGTTTAGCCGCACTTTTTTATCGGGGTTCGGGTGGATTTAAGTTGTTGCCAACTTCCTGCTGGCGTGCTGAAGTGAGGCCTGGTGGATAACCAGATTCTCCTGCTCTCTCTCGAGAGGCCCTGGCCAGTTTCGACGCAGACAATGCTCGGGCTTGCCCTGAGGGCTTTGCTGTCTCAATGTTGGCCCTCTATGCTACAGGACAGGCCCAAGCCGCTGTGGCAAATGTTCATAGATTTTCCGCACCTTTGCCTGCAAGGAGCATCCGAATTTGAAGACCAAGTCATTCGATTCAAGCCAGACGGCTCATCCCACTTCTTGGTTCTTGCCTGGAAATTTGAGAGAGGACATTCTCAGCGAACTTTGCTTTGCAAGAGGGCGGTTTACAGCCAGAAAGCACCAGTCCTTGCTTGAAGGACGGGCAGTCTTGGACCATTGGTGCATTTCCCAGCAGTCGGTGCGAGAGAAAGCCACATTGCAGTTTGCACACCCCTGCTGTCCGCAGTCCCGTCGTGTTGCAATGCATGGATGGCAGACAACTTTAGCCAAGTAAGGTCAACTTCGCTTCCTGCAACCGTCCCGCTAGCGCCACCGTGGCCAAGCTGGCATCCTGGCAAGCATCAATCGCTGCTTCGTCGCACGATGTCGCGTGCATCAGCTGTCACAAATGTACAAGTAAGGAACTTCCCTGGACCTCTCAAGCACCTACAGCAGGTGGGGATATTGACAGAGATGCAAGCTTGTGGCCGTTAGCGATATGATGCTTGAAGGCGCAAGACCTGTCTCAGCTCAAGGAGTTGCCTCCCTCTCTGCGGTGCGATGAGCCACTCAGCTTTGCCTTGGTTTTTTTTGCCTTTCAACACTGAAGCCGACATTCCAGGCAATCTCTGGCATCGATTGGCTGCTCCGAAGAAACCCCACTGCTCCAGGCCATGTGCGCAGCGAAGGAATGCAGATTAGGAAAGGTTAGCGACTCTCCTGCTGTCATCCGGCGTCGCAGGCCTTGTGCTCACGCTGCGAGACCAATTTGCCATGCACGTGCCGTGCCAGCACATAGGGAGAGAGAGGCAGTGTTGCTGGGGGGTTGCCTGTCGGTCAGCGAGTCAGCCAGAGATCTCTGAACAGAGAAGGTCCCCAGTCTGACTTCTCTCATGGACACAGAGCCGTGTCCGGTCCGGTCCAGTCCTTGCCTTGATCTGGAATTCGGTTGAACCTGAGAGATCAATGCAGTCATGTGTGCAGTGAGAAGGGGTCTCCCTGTTCTCCTTCGTTTGTGGTGAGGAAGAGAGACAGAGAGAGAGATAAATGGTGAGAGAGCGAGAGCGAGAGCGAGCGAGCGAGCCAGAAGTGTCTCTGCTGAAGAGAAGGGGTTATGACTAGAGTGGCAGCATGTTCGGCGCGATAGCAGCCAAGCGTAGAGGTACGACGAAGGCCTTTTGCAACTCTTGTCGCGAGCGGTGGAGGCCACAGCCTTTCACACCAGCGACTGGCGTCCTCTACGAATGTATGGAATGCGGATTTCATGCCCAGGCCGTGCCGAAGTCTCGGAGGCCCCTGTGCGGGCACGCGCTCTTGGCGGCCTTGCTAGCCTTGATCCCCGTCTGAAGACAAGATTCCGACCCACAGAACAGCTTGACATACCTGGCACACGCATGCCATGAGCCCGTATTGGTGCCATACCAAATGCCTGTGTTCAGGCACTAAGCAACACAATCTCCACAGAGCTCTTCCTATCCTCAGGTAGCAAGGCTCAGATCCCACCTGGTTGACAACTTGTGCATTTTCAGTTTCGTGGTCCAGGTCGAAGAAGCATCTAGGCAGGTTTAGATCGGGTTCGCCCCCCTCTGCTTCCGCCGACTTCCTGTGATTGTGGACACTCCGCCCAAAAGCACCAACTGCCACGGGGGTTTGTCCCAAACGCCTGCACATGTTCCAAAGAAGCGATAGTCATCATCGGGATCGTTGGCAGAACACTCTCGACCACCAAAGAAGCTTGTAGTATGACGATGAGAATGACGATGATGATGATATATGATGATGATGATGACGATGATGATGATGATGATTATGGTGGTGATGGTCACCATGGCGATGATGGTGAAGCTGATGATGTTGAAGCTGATGATGTTGACGTTGATGATGTTGATGTGGTCGATGACGATGATGGTGATGATGATACTGATGACGTCGTTGGCATGGCCGATCTTGATGAGGTTGATGTTGACCGTGCTTTCATGTTGATGTTGATGATATTGTACATGATGGTGCTACTGCTGCTGCTGCTGATGATGATGATGATGATGATACCAGGCACCCCAAGCAGACCCAACCACGCCACACCACCGGCGGGGCGGCGCCACCCCAAGCATTGGGGTGGGAGGGGAGGGGGGCCGAACTGAAATCATAGGTGACCGACAAAGACTCAAGACGACTCTTTGTGTGTTCTAATCGGTTCAGTGGCCTGGCGGAGTCACCAAGGAATGGTCGCCGGTCAACAGCTGCGGTTCGCACGGACCCGGAGCTCTACCGAGTGGGCACTCCCCACAAGTTGGTCTCCAGGCTTCAGCGAGCACGAGCACGAGAGACAATGTTTTGTTCTGTGGGTGGCAAGCTGCCGGTACCTTGAGTGAGGTTATGCACAGCACCTTCAAGCGGGTGGCACAGGATCCAGAGAAAATGCTGCTTGGCGGAGACCAGACAGACCCACAGTGGGACTCGAGAGAGACTACAGAATCACGCAGTCTTCTCTGTGCGCCGGATACTCGAGGTTTGCTTTCAACATTCCCCTGATGGACCTGTCGCCGTTTCCTTTCCACACATCTCTTCTCCGCAGCGCTCGGTCAGAGCGGCCCAAAAGCCTGTACCAGGCCCCCGACATTTTAGGGCTAGATGCTCGTTGAAGTCAACCATACTCAACCCTTTTGTTCAGACATGGGAGCTCTCTCCAGTCTGAGTCTCCCGTTAGAATGGACGCTGGAAGGATACAATCAAGGCGGTTTCCCGGTCTCTCGAGCGCCGTGGCCTGGGCCATGTTGTAGTGCCTGGAGGCCAGGGTTGCCAAGTTGCGGTTCTTGTTCGCTTCGGCCGGCTGGCCAGCTGACATGGCCAGCGAATCAACTGCCTTGCTAACACATGCCTGGCAGATGCTTCGATAATGTCATCAAAGACAGATGGGGTTTGGTCCATCTTTCTGCCAGCCTTGAGCATGCTGCAAGCGCCGCTTGGCTGCGAACCAGTTTCAGCAGAGCACTACGATAATGGCTCACCAGCCGCACGGGCAAGCGGATCGTTGCGCAAGACCCAGGCATCCGAAGGACTGGCTTGAGGCCGACCTCAACCGTGAGCTGCTCGGACTCTGGCGGCTGGTCCAGGTGTCCGGAGGTGCGATGAGGGATTCGCAGTGCGGTTTGCATGTCTCAGCATAGGTATGTGAGAGCGAGCGAATCAGAATGAGGCCTATGGCAGATCGGCGAGGAGCCGTACCGTTTCAGCCCAAGAGCTGGGATGGCTTTCCGCACCTTCTGCCCACACTGCGACACCCGGCTGCTTTTCGCTGTGCACACTGACACTGATTCCAGCCATGGCTTGAGGTTTCGGAGTTCGGATTGAAGCGTTCTCTCGCTGAGGTCTATGTGTCATTGTACCTCTATGTACAGGAACCCTGTCTGCGAACTGGCTCAGGGATTGTGCGGGTTTTCAGGCTCAACGTGCGGATGCGGTACTGGACATGTTTGCTGTGCGCGTCGGATCTCGTCTCATGAGGAGGAGGTGGGGCAGTCCGTCTTTCCACTATCCCATTGGATGCCTTGCAAGCTTGCGCACTTTAGATGCAGTTGGATGGAACGCACCTCAATCTCCCTTCTGCGGCCCACTCTCTGGAGTACGGGATTCGGACTTTGATTTGTTCTGTTTTGTTCGATGCGCGAGGTTTGCTCGCCTTTTTCCTGTACAGCGCAAGGCATGAGCCCTGGCCCACGGCCTCCCCACACCTCAGACTCAGAGCTCTGGGAAAGCTTTCGCGAGGAAGAGCTGCCCTTGGCCGCCGATTTGGCTTGGCTGCGCAGGGCCGGGCCCAGACGCTTAGAAGTCTCCGTAGGTCCATAGGCCATACGGTCCCACGACATGAACACCTTGCGCTCAGTTCTGTGGCAACAAATGCCGGTTGCAAAGAGGAGAGGACGAGGCTACTGGGAGGGGTGTTCGGATGCCATCCAACGTGTGGTTGCTGGTCGTATGCCCTTGAACTTGCAGTTGCATCTAGCAATCTAGCATGCCGTTTGCCACACTTCGAACCCTTGTAGAGCAGGCCCGCAGAGCAGGCCGGCAGCACAATTTGTGCTTTACCTGTGTCGAGCAATCTAGTCTGATGCAGTGCTTGAAGACGTCCGGGCTTAATGACACATTGACATGCCGATGTGTTATTTGTCCAAGTGCGAGATGTGGAGTCGGAGTGTGACGATTCGTAAAGAGCACTGGTGAGAATGCACAGCGATCTTGTCAGAATCAGCACAGTGAGTTGAAACAGAACCTTGTGGTCTTTCGTCGTCGCTGAAAGTGAGCGTTACATGCGGCAAAGCGCAGCACGCTCATGTCGACAAGACCAAGGTCAGACGCAATGTTGAAACCTAGCCACGGGACAGTCTTCTGCACCATGGCTTTGAGGTCGACTTCCAAAATCGTCAGGCTTTTCACAATGCTTGCAGCATTTTCGGATGTGCAGAACAAGCTTGGGGGAAACCCCCACCGAGCTGACAACTCCAGAAAAAGCGCTCGTTCGCGGGAGGACGCGGACGGAGACAGGGTGGGGAGCTCTGGGTGCCGAGCGTTCGCGGGAGGACGCGGCCGTGGACGGGAAGGGTGGGGAGCTCTGGGTGTGGAGCGTTCGCGGAAGGACGCGGGAGCGTTGTCAGGGCAGGGTAGGGCAGGGCAGGGCCATTTGCATGCATTTTTGATCGGTAAAACACGGTAGGGCAAGCCAGGGCAGGTAAGGGGGGTCAGGGCAGGGCAGGGCAAGGCATTTGTATGCAGGCCAGTGCAGGGCGGCTGGCAGGGCTTTTTGACGTTGAGAGGGCCAGGCAGGGCAGGGTTGGCCACGGCAGGGACAGCAGAGCAGGGCAGGACGATAGGTACCTTTCTCATTCCAGGTTCGTTTCTGTTGTTTCCTAGTTAGCACAGTTTGCCAAGACACGTCATGCTGTGCTGGCATTTTGTAGGCTCATCGGAGTATTGCCACGAAGCGTGCAATTGGGCGAGGAGCTGCTGCCCAACTGTTGTGGCTGCGATTGTCATTGTAGTTCGTGCAGTGGGTTGTGTACCTGTTTTTGCCCAGAAAGGATCTGTGGGAAGACGATATAAATGATGCTGTGATGCCAGCGTTTGACTTAGCCGACTCATGGCTTGGTTTCGGATGGAGCGCGCATCTGTCATTGATTGTGCCGAGCCTTTCAGGTCAGGTATTGGTGCTTGTCCGCCAGCCTTTGCATGTGCAAGCACTATACTAGTAGAATCAACAAGTCACCTATCGGAGGTTTGACGTGACGACAGCGTTCCACGTGGATTGGATGGTCAAAGATTTCTTAAGGCTTAAGGTGACAATGAACAGCAGTGTCAATGGGACGCGATGAACGGGACAGGAAGCGGGAGGAAAGGGACGGACTAGAAGGCCGATGGGTTTCCTGTGTGCCCACTGTCCATTCGCGGGAAAAAACCGTGTCAAGACATGGAAGAGCATCGCCCTGCAGCTAGCTGTGAAGCTTGTGTTGCACAGCAGCCAAGGATGGGATTCATCCTGATCTTGGCCTCTTCGACCTCATGCGACAGCGAGAGGACAGTGAATCGCCTGGGTTGCATCGCTTCTCAGATAAGGCGCGCAATGGAGTGGTTGGAAGCCTTCTTGCCTCACCCACCTTCCTATCAGGTGCTTTTCAAAGCATGGATGCTTCAAGAGGCGATGCTCGACTTCACCATTGATTTTTTGTCGAGGAGTGCTCAACTTCTGACCATGGTAACCCCTGCGCCAGCTGCATAAGGATTCCCATTGCGCAGATCTTCCACATGTCAAACGAGTCCCCGGATGTGCTACTTCGTCGCGACGGGCTAACATCCCTTTGCTCAACAGCACCCAGATGTTTCCGGTGAGAAAAGTGGCTTCGATAGTTGGCAGAAACGAGGCTTGCAGCACTGGGGAGTTTGAAGACGCAGCGCTTCGTGGCTAAGCCCACTCATCTGGCCGCGACAAGCTACGTGTCACGTGGGTAGGCACAAAGACCCACTCAGTGCATCTCACTGTCCAAGCTTCCCGATCCCGACCAGCCTGCGAGGACCCGGTCAGAGCTTGCAGCAAATCTGACCAAGGTATGCGATGAAGGATGGCATTAACCTGGTGAGCGGCCAAAGCTTGAGCCATGAGGCGATCAACTCTGGCTTGCGAGAGGCATGGAATGAAAGGCCAGCCTCCAATCATACAGTCTTGGCGCACCGAGCGTAGGCAGAGGAGACTCGCACAACCCACAACCCGAAAGGCATGTGGACGACTGGGCAACAGATGCCCGGCTACAGATTGGCTCGCGACATCTCTCCGATAATGCACACAGTCATGCTGTGTTGACCGTCTGTCTTGTGTCTACAGCACGGCCAGAGGAATCAACTCGGCCTGGTGTGCTCATTGAGGCTGAGCTTGTTTTGTCTGCCCAGCATGACTTTTGGCTGCCTTCCATGGGTGTCGCAGTCTGAAACAAATGCAGGAGTTGGTTGAGAGCTCGGAGAGACATGGCACTCCCGACGAGTTGCAGCTTGGGCTGGTTTCAGGATCATACAGGGCTGCCAGGCGAGATCGATTTGTGTGAAGCTGAGGAAGTGCCAGACATTTTGGGGGAAGCTGTTCTTTTGTGAATGGACATTTGTCCAGCACCTTGGCTGGGCATGTAGCCTCACCGGCACGGCGTCTTGACGGTGTTTGCATCCTCGCATGCGTCCGTTTTACTGTCGGTCCCGTCCCGTCCCCGTTTACCTCGCTTCTCTCGCGCTGTAGGTCGGTCTGTGTCCTCCTTGCTCACGCTCTCTCTCTCTCTCTCTATCTCTCTCTCTCTCTCTCTCGGTCAGGTGGAACTGCGGAACTAAAGGCATCACCTTGCCAACATCAGTCGTGTTGCTATGTGTGGTTCATGAGCAGCGACAACCATATTCTCAAGTTTGTAGAGCCTGCTTGGTTGAAGGCAAATATGGACTGCAAGAGGCGGCAGAAGTGCACGCGAGTTTGGCATCGCAAGGAACATGTCTTCGGGTGACGAGGGCTCTGCCCGCTTCGATGATGCGCACCAGCAGGGTGACCGAGCTCAGCCTGCTTTGGGACACCAGGCTCGGAGAAGCAAAGCTCAATCCGCATCTGCACGAAGATCGCGTTCCGAGAGACGTCTTCGCCTGCCGGGGACCGCGAGGCATGTGGAATTCCGAACTTTGCCTCAAACGGCCGCTTAGTCGGCAAGGAGTTCTTTTGGGCTTGGGTCGCTGCAACCTGTTATCCCTGCAATGCCATGCAGGATACATCTTCCGGGACGGCAGCTGTCTTGACTGCGTCGCACCGCCTCCACTGACGGGCGAGGCCGCAGAGAGTGCGCGCAGTGGCGGCAGTTTTGGTTAGGGCGTCACACCTGACAAGGCTTGGAAGCGAATGGTGTCGACGATTGAAACGATTGCACGCGGCAGCGACCACATCCGCATCGATGTGTTCGTGCCAGGAGGCTAGACAGTTTCTGTTCTGGCTGGGGCGCATCATTCGCAAGCACCGGAGTACACAGATGACGGGGCAACCAAGGCATGCATCGACGATGCACCTACTCTAAGACTAAGATTCTAAAGAAGTGTGTGCATAGCCTGAAGCCCGGACCTTTTGAAGCACCTGTGCTGCAGAAAGAAGGCCTTGCTGCCCCTGCAGCAATTTGCAGTTATCCACAGAGACGCTTTAGTCTGCTTCTGCTAGGCAACTCTCTGAAGCATGTCCCACGCTAGGTCAAACATGGGTCAAGCATAGGTCAAGCCAGCTGCCCACGGAGGTCAAGCATGGGTCAAGCAGAGCTCCCCACCCAGGTCAAGCACAGCTCTCTCAAGCATGGGTCAAGCCGAACCCTTCGGCCAGCGGTGCTTGACAGGTGGCCGGTTTCTTGTGAACGAGGCCAACATCAGCGGCTGGAATGCATCCGAGGGATCCGAATTGGGCCATTGGAAGCAATGTCATGGGGAACACTCAAGACCAGCTGTCTCAAGCAGTGGATGCACAAGCAGGGACGATAAACGCAGCATGCATGGATGTTCTTGTATTACGCTTCTTTGCTCAGATGACCGCTGCACCGAAGCTGGCTGATGCGTACTGTTGGGTTTAGAATTCGGAGTGAATCTCGCGAGATTTTCCGGAAAGGCTTCTTGAAGATTTCTCAGTTCCCAGCGGAACTTGTCGAGGAGATGCCCGATCCCAAGGTGGAGTCAGTAGCAAAAGATGCAGATGGCAGTTCGAAGCTGAAAGTTAAGGCGAAAGCGCTGGCTCGAAGGATATCTTTTTCGGCGCTCTGAAAAAAAGTCCGTGCAACATGCATGTTGTGAGATTGCAGTGCGACGGTGCTCAGGACGAACACGCGGCGTTGTGACGATCACTGATCATCTGATAATCTGTCCAGCTGTCCCCAATGTGTAAATCGTCTTGCTGGAGGTACTTTGCCAACACATTGTGCAGCTTTCACCACGGTTTCTGCGAGCCTCGAGCCACGTGGGTGCGCACCTAGCTTCGCCGGTTTGCCATGTTCTTTGTTTGCACGTGTTGCACTGTGTAGCCCCACCCCACGAGCAACGCAGATGCCACCACAATAGGAGCTGGAACAGGATAAATCCATGAACCGGATTCCCAGTCTTGCTGCAGCACGGTGCATGTGTGCTACATTGAGGCTTGTGGCAACTCTTCGCTGAACAGCTTTTTGCTGCATCCGGCTCGATCAACACTGTAGAATTCAGGCGCTCACCGATGATCAAGAATCAAGAGTAGTCTAAATTGGTGTCGTGCTCTGGCAGTCTTGTCTTGATAGCCAGTTGCAGCCAGTGCAGCATCGGTAAGACCGTCTTGCGTTAGCAAGACAAGCAGCGACAGTTCAAAAATACAAGCCGGTGGGACACATAGAGTTGCGTGCCGGCGCCCACCATTACATATGCCCACTACTCAGTCCAGCAGTGCCGTAGAGTTTGCTGATGGTGAGAGAGCACTGACATTGGTGCTAACTACGCAAGGTTGACCTGGGATGCGGCAGCTGCCACCGTGGCTTTACCAGCACGGCTGCCAAGACTCTTGGCTTTAGAAGAGAGCGCTCTTTAAATTGCGTCTGTTGGTTGGTGCAACTCTTGGGACTGCCTCAAAGGAGAGCTTGAACGAGCACAGTCCGCGCGCAGCTTAAGTTCAGCTTAGCTACCTGTACTCGTAGTTGTCGTTGTGGTGAAGGTTTGCTTGACGTGTCAATCTTTGACTTGATGGCCAGGCTCCAAGCATGCCGCGGCTGCACGGCACCGAGGACGGTAGCTCATATTAGTCATTGCCAGAGAGTGCCCTCATCCAGCTGAGGGATTCCAATAAAGTTTGGGCCACTTCTCCATGTCGTCTCTGTCTTTACGGTATTGGACCTTCGCATTAGCTGTGTGACCAACGATGGGCTAGTTTTGTACTGCTGATAGGATAGCAGTGGTCGTGCTGTGCAGCATGGATAGACTGATTCGGACTCGGAGTCTGTGCAGGAGTGGCGCAGCTTCTTGGCTCCGGGTTTCGGCGCAGGAAAGACCAAAGGCTCCGGGCTCCGAGTATTTGCATTCTTCCACTGACTCACGGTTAGCGGCACGTCGTGGCACTCTCATCCCGAGCTCTTACGAGCCGTCTGCTGTGTATAGATGTAAGCTGCCACACCTCGTTTGAGAAGTCTTGTGCAGTGCTTGGAGACATTCGGGGGCTTTGTGCGACAAAGAGTGTTGGCAAGTGCAGACATGTCTGGCCAGCATCTGTCAACGCAGATCCGTGACAAAGAACTGTGCTACTGGCCACAAAGTGTATCTGAATGGATGCGCTCAGCAGGTCGAGGTCAACCCTCCAAATAAGCAGCAGAACGGTTCCTGGTTGAAGCTGGGGGGGTGGGAACTCGACCAGAAATTGCTGCCAAGCTCTTCCAGGACTAGAAAGCAAAAGTAAGTAGTCGAAGCAAGCGGAAGTCTTCAGCACACCGCACACCTTTTGGATGTTTGCTCCCGGCGCAAGCGAAGAGCACTGATTAAGCGGAGTGCTTGAACTATCTTGAAATCGCTTGGTCCAGGCAGAATACAGGACGCTTTCGTGCCAGACTCTCGTGACTACTCCAAGGAGGAGCTCCTGGCAACGGTTGGAGCCTGAAATCGAGCTTGTGAAGTGTAGGCGCTGCAGGAGGAAAGAGTGATGCCACGTTTAAGCGTCATTTGCTCGTACGACGAAGATCGTGCCGTAGGCTTGCATCCCTGAAGCAGATGCCATACGGCCTAGCGTCAGATTTCAAGCCACAGCCTCCCGAACTGTCGATGCCTTGCTCAGCTCTTCACGCAGCCGCGGAATGCAAAAGGCACCGGTTGCGTGGTTTGCAAGATAGTTGAAAGTTTTTGCAGGGCGAGAACCCGGAACCGAAGTCTTGATGGGCCTACGCGGCAGAGGAATAGACGCAAGAAGAACCAGTCCATCGGGCCTTTGTGTTGATGACCATGTAATAAGGCCTGAGATTCTCCTGACGACCTCAGATGCCTGGATGGATGACTTCACCAGGTGTCCCGCCACCGCTGGGCTCGCTGCCTTTCCCGTACAGCTCTCGGAAGTCCGAGTCGGCGCTTTCTAGATCGCTCTTAGAACAAAATGCACATGCTGATCAACTTGTGCTTGGTTTTGGCTGACGACATTAGTCAGCTGGGGTGATGTTTGCTTAGGGTCGAGTCGCAAGTCGCAAGACACGCGTAGCAAGCTGGGCGTCGAGGTCAACATTCAGATGCTCGTAGTATGTCTCAGAACTGGAAGCAGCAAGTTCAGGCGCGACCTGTTTTCGACTACGATGCGCGAAGACTTCCGCGTCGCCGCTTCCTCAGATCCGTGCTTCCACGTGGCATGTGCATGCCCGAAAATATTGACGGAAAGCGTATTTTTCGCAAGTTCGGGATGTCTCAGGACAGATTGGGTCATGCCGTGCAGCATCAGAGGCGCAGAGCAAAACTGTGTTGCATGCCTGGCATTGTACGTGCAGAGACGTTTCGATTAAATGTAATTAGCCGTCTCTCAAACTTTCATCTTCACTCGGCTGATAGCACTGAGCATCAGGTTTGCAGAATGTTTGCAGCAACGGTTCGGACCGGGGTTTGCTTACGGGCAAATGGCGAGGCATCACGGTGGCTTACCAGCCGGCTACTCAAGCACACATTCGTAATCACCGATGTTCAATTTGGTTGGCACATTCTGAGGCACCAACCGTCCTTGAGGATAGCTGGGCGCGTGGCTGGCGGAGCACCCATGTCTGGACGGGGCAGGAAGCCTAGCGTCTACGTTTGCGGAGCTTGGTGTCCAACACAGTCGTTTCCTCGCGCTGCGTGAGCTAGAGCACGCGCCGCGATTCCAGACGCTGCATGAGTAAACACATTTCGGCGATAATCCTGCTTTGAAATGGGTAGAGCGACTTTATGCTTTGACTCAGGCGGAAGAAGGGCCTTAATGCACAATATGCAGACGGTGTCCGGAGCCGAAAGAGTCTGCCACGAGTGATCGCCATCCCGGGATTGGCAGCCATAGCCATGCGTGGTGAGAAGGAAAGTTCCATTGGCTCTCAAGAAGCTACCGATGCGAGAAGTCTTTCCTTGTGAGGTCTGGAACCGGCTCGGGAAGTTCGTTGACCGCAAGTGAGCAGACAAACTGAAGTAGAGATTGAGTAGCCCCGTTCTGTCCCGAAAGGCTATACTGGTTTTACTGTACTCGTGGCATCTCGTGGCGAGTTGTGACTTTCTCATAGACTCCAAGCCGGGTACGCATATTGGATGTAGTCAGGGGGCAACTTAGCAGAGAATTGTCTTCCATTTTGCTTAGCTTCACGTCCACATCGCGAATGCGAAGTATGGATGGAATAGGTGACAGCCCCATGGCAGCAGAAGCCGGTAGCGCGCATGCCAACGCACTGTAAGGCCCCCTCGGCATCACCGAGTTTGCCTTAGGTCTAGGGCACAACGTGCACCTGAGTCAGTCACATGCATTCTATGAACTGCGCTGACCGTACGGGAAACCAAACAGAAGGTTAAAGTTGAAAATTCATACAGTCTGTGCTCCGCTGGGGAAGTCCACATTAGTGGTCAGGCCCTAACCTGACCTTAAGCTTCTCTTTTAAGGTGCTGCGTCAAGCTCAATGCTTCGCAGCACTGGCTAGCGAGCGGCATGGGTCCTCTCTCTAATACTCGCATTCATGGCATGTCCATGGCTGCGACAGCTTCCATTAGGGACTATCATCCTGTGCATGGAGAAAAGCTTGCTTGCACCAGAATTACGACCGTCACGACCTGGCGTTTACAATGAGATATCGCGCTTTCCCGACCATGTCGAATCGTCAAAGACTCGAGGTACCAGTGCTTGTTTCCTCATCGATGTGGCGCACCAAGTGTAAAGCAGAGCCGTCGCTTGACCCCGAGAGCCTGGTGCCTGAGGTGGTTTCTGGCCGTCATCTCGATGGCTTTAGCGGTGAACTGGGAGGCCTTGGTCAGGCCTGCAGTGCGATGCCTCTGTCAGAGCGGAGTTTCCCTAAAGCTTTGGTCTCCATTCGGAGCATCTCTACGAGGCACTACCGTGCCTGGCAAAGACAGCACGGCGTCTTTACTCTTACTGGAAGGGAGGCAGGGAGCCAGCGGCTTCAATCCGAGCCTGCGTTCGTTGCTGTGCGCATTTTGAGTCTTGGATGTGCCTTTTCTCTGCGAACTTCTTCTGGAGCTGATGCCTCCAAACGTTGCCCTCAGCAAGCGACATGTGGCTAACATCAAGTCCTGACACGAGCAACTGCATAAAGAAAGACAGGTAGAGATGGTAGTGATAGTGTTGGTAGTACTGCGAGTGGTATGAGTAGAAGTGGTGGTGCTAGTAGTAACAGTAGTAGTTGTTGTAGTAGTAGCAGCAGCACGACCAGTGGTAGTAGCAGCAGTGGTAACAGTATATAGCAGTAGCAGTAGCAGTAGTAGTAGTAGTAGTAGTAGTAGTAGTAGTAGTAGTAGTAGTAGTGGTAGTGGTAGTGGTAGTGGTAGTGGGAGTGGGAGTGGGAGTGGGAGTAGGAGTACGAGGAGGGGGAGTAGTAGGAGTAGTAGGGGTAGTAGGAGTAGTAGGAGTAGGAGTAGGAGTAGTAGGAGTAGTAGGAGTAGTAGGAGCAGGAGTAGTAGCAGTGGTAGTAGTAGTAGTAGTAGTAGCAGTAGTAGTAGCAGCTGCCGCAGCAGCAGCAGCAGCAGAAGTAGTAGCAGTATGAGCAGTAGCTCTAGCAGTGGCAGTGGAAGTGGTAGTCGTCGTAGTACTTAGTGGGTAGTAGTGGTAGCAATAGTAGAGTAGCGGTACGCGCAGCAGTCGTCGTCGAGTCGTCGTCGTTGTCGTCATCATAGTCGCAATCGTAGTCGTGGTCGTCGTGGTAGTGGTAGTGGTGGTTAGAATGGTTCCTGTAGTGATAGTGGTTCTAGTGGTGGTGTGATCATCGTAGTAGTAGGAGCCGGAGGAGGAGCAGGAGGCGTGTACGAGGAGGAGCAGCACGGTCAAGGATACATGTGGGCTGAACAAGAACGATTCATCAGCTTCGCGAGCGCTCTAGATGTGAACTTACAGTGAAATCCACGTCTGCGTGGACAGCTGGCACGGGACTGTGGAAAGAACACGATACTAGTCGAAAGTGCGCCCTTCCCGACAGCGCGAGCCGCAGGACCGGCTCGTGTGCATGCAGAGTTTAGGAAGTTAAGGGTTTGCTGGGGAGCCGTAGTTGAAACCAGCAGCAGTGAAGGAGGGAAGCTCGGTAGTGATAGCAAGCAGTGAGAACTACGATGAACTAAGTTACTAAGTATTGCCGTGGCCACCACCCCGACAAGAGCTGGCACCACCTTCATAACTGTCACCGCTATCCAGAACAACACCACGACCACCTAGTGCCATACCAGAACACCTTGGCACAGGCTGGGCGCCGCGACGTCGAGCCAGTGTGAAAGACTTTAGTGGAGCCGTAGCAGCCACGGAGTACGAGCTTTCATGGGAATGGACGCCTCCATGACTCCATGTCTTGCGTGGTTAGATGTGCACCAGTTTTTCGCTGCATCGGTTCATCCTGGCGAGGTAAAGTTCCCCGACCTTTCAATCGCCGGTCAGCGTAGGCTCGCCGAGGAAACAGAAAGACTGTGCAGCACGAGAGGCTAAAGATGGAAGTAAGCGGGAGCGTAATGCTGGGCTGGTTCCTCAAGGATCAATTTAATTGCCTCACTTCCTCGGCAGCCCGGGGCGCAACATTGGTCGTCGCCGATTCCTCCAAAAGCGAAGTTTACGGCAAAGGTCAGCTGCCGGCAATCGCACAGCAGATGACTTTTGGATGCAGGCCATCTCAAGCAAATGCTTGGGGATGACCGCTGCGGTTGCATCTCAAGACATTTCATGCCTGACTAAATTGTCATTTGACAAAAAGTTGCACGGTTAGCGAGGTCCGAAGATCTCCCGATCCAGCTTGATTTTAGCAGTGCCTGGTAATGCGATGCAAGCTCAGACTGAGACCCACCTGTGTGCTCGCGCTCCGCGCGGCGCATGCCAAGTTTGGCAGGTACATGAGGGGATGTGCATTTGGCAAAGACTCTAGACATGCCTTAAACTTCCATCGTCTCGCACTTGCTGGAAAAAAGCCGGAATGCCAGATCTGCCCTCGCGAAGCTTCGATATCGATCCCAGGGACTGACAGTGTCACGCTGTCTCGTCTGGGCACATGCGGCCTTTCATATTCCGTGGTGTAGCATGTGAGCTTCCGAGATCGGCTCAAATTTCAACACGAGCAATGAAGATCTGAAAGCTCAACCCGGCCCCTTCATCTTCAGGCTTCAAAGCACTGAAGACTTCCACGGACAGGATTGCATTCGAAGGCATGCCAAGGCTATTTGAAACACAAGAGCAGCGTCAACCCATCAAGCTGTCATGTGGCCCTCGGCGCCACTGCGAGTCCTGGACCGGCTAGGCCAGATGCTCATTGATTTTCAAGACCACGATGTTTTTGTTGCAGATTTAGGTGTTCGGGGACTTTTCACGTCATCTCCTTGCTACCGCTCCAGGCTCGTTGCAGCTGTGTTAATGGGTTCCCACAGACACGGCAGTGCACTCAGAAGTTGGCAGGTCGTGCTGGGGAAATGGGAAGCGGAGAGCGATCCGACCACTTCTCCCAGAAGGTGCAGCTGCGCAGCCAATCACCTGTACCGTCCCGAGTCTTAGTCTGTGGCCTACTTCGCAGGTGTCGACCCTAGAGGGCGGCACCACTGCGGTCCCAAGCAATATATCGGCAAGACACCGGAGCAGATCGTGGAGCAGTTCAAGGACGCCTGCGTAGAGGCGTCGGTTGCCTCTTACGCTTCGTTTGCCGCTATCGGAGCTGGGTGAACTGTACTGTTGCTTCCTTTCCGGCTGTTCCTTTACTCTGCCTAATTGGCTCGGGAAGAAGGACCCCGCGACCTTTCCGTGGTGCATCGCTCAGATATGAATCTCGAGGCTTAACTATGCAACATTGAGGGCTACAGGAATTGTGGAACGGGCTGTAATTGCTCGTGCTAGACCATGCCAGCTCCAAAGCGTGCCGGCTAAGTTATGACTTCCTCACGCGCTGAAACGCATGTCGCTGCTCTTATAGTTCTCAAATTCTAACAGGCTGCAGGCTTTTGAGCTGCGCAGTTGCGACATCATTCAAAGTACCGAGGTATCAAGTTCCCGAGCCGTTGAGACAACGCCGCTTTGAGGCCATGTGTTCTAGCGTGCTCGTAGCTGCAGCCTCTGTGAGATGAAGCACAGGTGCTCTGGCAGATGGCTCACCGCTGTGGCTATCGCTCAGCGCTGGAGGTTGCAAGCACGACCCTTTGTGTCTTGCTCCAAGCTTTTTGCTTTTTGGAACCCGTGAACAGGCGGTGAAGCTTCTCACCAATCCTGCTCACGATGGGCGTCCTGAGGCCTCCTTTGATGGGACTCCTTTCTGTAGTAACACGGTCTTTCTTTTCGTGTCAAGTGTGTCGTTCTTTGTCCTGATCCTCTTGGAGTTCACCTTCCATCACTGTGTGTTGTGTTGGTGTCGACTCTGTCTGGGCGTTTATTCCTGTCGACTGTGTCTTGTCTTCCGCTCTGGAGTCGGTTGCTTCAGGACTTTCTCACACACCCTGTCAGCACACCTAAACCTCTTGATGCGTTCCGGGTGTCGACAGATTCGGGTTGGGTCTGCTCTTCGGGTTTGGGGTTTTGGGGATGAGAGTCTAGGGCCCAGGGTTTAAGCTTTTGGCTGTCGTTTTGGTATTGGGTTTGAAGTTTGTTCCTGGATCCGAAGGTTTAGGGTTGATTTGGGGTTTGCTATTGTTCAGCTTAGGGTTCAGGGTTCATAAGGCGAAGGGTAGGAAATTGGGTTTTCCGGTTTAGGCTTGAGGTTTTAGGGGTCAGGAGATGTGGCTTGGGATTTAGGGTTTAAGGCTCCGGGTTTTGGGTTCCGAAATTCGTACCCAAACCGAAAACCTGAAGCCACAAGCCCCAAGCCTGAGCCCCAAACGCGAATACCAGACCTCAAACTCTGAAGCCTTAAGCCTCAAGCACTGAACACGAGACCGCGAGCCCAAAACCCTGAACCGACGAAAGCAGGAGACGCAGTTAACGGCAGCTTTTGTAAGGCGGTTAGCCCAAAGAACAGACCCCCGAGATCCCAGACCTCCAAGGCAAACCCCAAGCAGAGGCCCGAAACCCTTAGAGAATTACGTTGTCAACACCAAGAAGCAAGCTACGGGTAACGCAGAAGCAATTCACATGGCATGTCAAAGCATTGTCGGCCGGCATGCTGTTGTGATTTGGTTTCTTCGGACGCAGGCACCTGCAGCGGGTCGATGAGCTCAGCTGGATCTGACAGCGTGCATCAATGGCACACTTTTCTGCACATGTCCGATCCGTTGAAGTGCCCCACGCTGAGGTGAACCAGGTCGACCACAGCGCCCAGCTCTCGGAGTGGACCGGGAACGGTCCGTCGCGACTGGCGAGACGGTGAGGTCTTCAACGTTCCCAGCTTCGAGCTCTGAGAAGTGGCACCGATGCGGTGCCTGCGTACGGCAAAGGCATAGATGCGCTTCTGTTGGTCGCTTTGCTCACTGCTTGGGACTTGCTTTCCGTTGATGTCTCTATCATGAAGGCCCTCGAACCGCACCGGACACCGAGTGAAGCAACCATGCTCGCCATCAAGTTTCGCGATCTGCATCTTGGCCCTCTTGCAGAGAGCGTGGCCATCAGCATGGAGATTTGCAGGCAACCAGCCGTGTTCAGCCCAGCTGCGACTGGTAAAGCCAGCGCACCGCGCTTTTCAGTCCAAAGACATATGGCAGTTGGCGCTGCAAAACGAGCTCGGGAGGGACTGCTTGGGGTGCAGAGGCTGTGCCTGATCAGTATGGAGATGGAGCTGCCTAAACATCAGCTGTGTCTTACATGGTTTAGGGGCTGTAGGCTGCAGAGTTTGGGGCTTGCAGGTGGCCCACGAAAAGCAGTGACTTCGTGCCTTCGTCGGAAATCCGGTCAGTAAGTGCTGCTTGTTGTTCGGCGTGCCTTCTCTGTTGATCCCCGAATCGAGCCACCCCTTTTTTGACCACTCATCCAACGTGTTTCCCGAAGAAGATGGCTCCCAAAGTCGCGCCTGTAGATGTGCCTCTTCATTGTTCGAGGCGGCTTAACATGCATGGCAAAACTATCAGTAGTAAGGGCTTCTAAGAGGTGCAAACTGTACGTGCCAGACCACAACTGCAGATACCTAAGTCTTATATTTACGCGGGCGCTATTGTGTTTCCTACCGGTCCCATGCACTTTCTTGGACCGGGACCTGGCCTAGTGAAGACAGTACAGCATTTAGAGTAGATGTGATTTGCCATGCATGAAAGATCATGAAGGAGCGTAAACAAGAGCTGCAAGTACGGGCAACCTGCATGAAGGATACCATGGGTGTTTTCGAGAATTTGTTATTGTCCGGAGTCTGGTCATCATCACCATCATCTCATCCTTGTCGTCCTCTCTATTTGCGGAATTGTCGTTGAATGGTTCCGACAGGAATCGACACGTTGCCCCCATCGGTTTGACGGAAAGTTATTGCATGTTATTGCAACCTGGCCCAGCCAGCAAACCGCACTTTCAACTGCAACTCTTTTTCCAAGCAGCAGTGTTGCTCAAGTCGCAGCTGCGGGCTAAAGTATGCATCGAAAGCTGCTTGCTTGCCTGTGGGCCGGCGGTCGGATTCCCGGATCCGTGCTGACAGCGTTCACGCAAGGGTGAGTCGATTCACGCATGTCTACAGACAAATGGCCCTGGGCATCGGATACGAGTTTTCCAGAGTGGAACATGTCCAGTTCCTCTCTTTGAGGACATGGCTTTGCACCATCCGACTCTGGCAATTTCGCTTGCCAAACCGACGCGGTGCTTGGCCCGGTGAGGAATGCAACACGGAAAGGCGGGTCCAAGATGTTACAAACAAATAGGCAAGAAAAAGAGCCACAAGCTGGCATTTGCGGAGATTTGACTCACTCTTTCACACCCTTCGTCATACATATTCTTATATGTATCGACGACATATGTATCGACATTGTATTCTCTGTGAGCAAACATGTTCCCCTGCAGGCCTGGCTGTGGATGATACGACCTTGCGGTGGTGCCGTGGCGTTAACTTAAACTTTCAACATCAGTCGGCGATCCCGGCACCCGCCAATCCCAGACCCTGGAAGACGAACAGTCTCTGCTCACCGTGAATCCTCCGGTCCTGGCCCGAAAGGGTGTCTTTGGGCTTCTGGCCCCTCTCCGGAACGAAGGAACTTCTGGCTGCAGTCTGTCTTCCTGTATCCTACCCTTCTGATGCACAACTGAGCTTAGCTCCCAGAACTTGCGTGCAAAGTCATGCTGTTGGCCTTTTGAAGAGAGCTTAAAAAATCATCCTGTCTGTCTATCTGTTCATCCAATTGTACGTGTATAGTATTATATATATATATATATATATGTATACATATACATATACATATATATGTATACATATACATATACATATATATATATATATATGTATATATGTACATATATATGTATAAACTCCTACTTATGCACATGTATGTGTTCCGCAGCACGCTGGCAGGTGTTCAGGCTCGATTCCTGCAGTTTGGCCAAATGCTGATGCTCCAGTCGCAGCTCTTCGACTGTTCAAGGTGCGATGCGCCGTGGTGCTGCTAGCGTCTGCTCGTGTGCAACAGCATCTCATCCTCAGCACACCGTTTACACACCCCTGCATGCAGGCGTGGGATCCCTCGTGGCAAGACGATCGGGAGCTGGCATGGAGAAATCTCAAAGCATTTGTGGATCAGACAGGAGATGCAAGAACACCAAACATTGGAAGTTAGTACGTAATTAGTAATGATTTCGGCAACGGCGCCGCATTGCCAAGTTCTTTCCAGCGTAATTCGATCCGCAAGCAGTGAACGACGCCAAAGGGCCCGACGACCACGGCCGACAAAAAGCAACCAGGAGACCGCCAAGAAATCACCACCAGGACACCATCAAGAAACCAGTGAAGACTACCTGGAGCCAACCAGGAAACTACCGCAACACGATTTGGAAAATCCAGGACAGCACGAGGAACGCCAGCAGTGCCACCGCCACCGCCACCCAACTCGGGTGGGCTTCGAAAGTTTTCAGGGCACCATTCCACGACCAGTCCTTCCAAGTACTGGCGGGATTCAGCATTCTATGCAGGCTGTTACGAGCACTCTTATCAACATGCTTCCAACCTTGTTTGGTGGGTTGCTAGCGTTTCCTGGCAGCACAGCCAAATTCCAGCGTGTACTGGCGACATTGGCTGTGTGACCAAAATGTTTCCCCCCCACGTCCAGACGGTATTCAGGTGTACTGATGCCAATGTATTGGAATGCATGATCCGTCGCGCTTTTTGGAGGATGCGGTTGCAACGGGCATGCAAAAAATCGCAGCACAGACTACGGAGGCCACAGGGGAAGTGTGAAATAATCCATGCGATCGCGCTCACGCTACCCAGATCTCTTTACTCCGAAGCTAAGAACACCATAGAACACCCGAGTGGTGAAGGCAACAAGCTTGCAGGAGCCCGGGTTCTCATGGGCACGTCGATCAGCTGCGTGAGTGCGGATGACGACCAGAGTTGGGAGTGGACCAAGGGGCTCATGCAGGTTCCGCTTGCTTTGTCTCGGCTTTCGCACTTGTCATCATCTTCCTCGACTCTGGAACTCTCGAGACCTGCAGGTGTTGGGCCCAGATCGCATCATGGGTTTGGCCATAGGCCTGACGACTTTGAAAGTTAAAGGGCGTCGTCGAAATCTGCCCAGATGCGTTTTGATCCGGATGATCTATGGCAGCGCCTCTTTGCACAGGAAACGAACTGGAGCTGCTGTTCACCAAGTTTGCCTTTTCAGACACGGTGGATCAGGCATGCACGCAGGCCGCACTTAACCGGTCAAAGGTTTCGCCCGCGGCTTTCGTGCATTTGGGCAGCTATGCCTCACTTGGCTCACACTTACATGGAGGGTGCGTCGTATGTTGGACGAGTTTTGGACACATGTGAAGGTGATGGGTATGAGCTGTGTGCAGCATCGATACCAACTTGAAATTCAGTGTCTTTCATTCAAACCCAGACAAGTGCTCCGCATGCCGCCTAGAGCCAGGAGAGATTACCGGCTGGCCGCCAAAGCCCTCCATCCTTGTGACGGTTCGCAGTTCGTCAGCCCAAATCGCAAGGAAAGGCTCGGAATGATGTCTAAGCCTGAACCCACGAGTAGATACCGCATAGAAGCGGTGATGACCAGGAAATCCGGGACCTGGACAGTTTTCAGATGCCAGCAGCCCCCAAACGCCAGCAGGATACTTCGCACCTCAAACCAGCACAAAACATCTCAGCGAGTGATACTTGTAGCTCCAGTCTTTGATGCAGTCTGGACTGCTAGCGATCTCTCAAGCCACCTATCCATGATGCTATGATCGATCGCAGCGAATTACAGCCACATCTTCGCCCTACTGCACACAAACATGACATGTAGCAGTGTGGCATTGCCCAGCGCGAGCGCACTCCGAGGCATTGATCGATTGTGGGAGCGTGGAGGCTTCTGGGAGATTTTTACGAGCCCCTCGCCTCTAAGCGTCGGAGTGTAGCGAGTGCCTTCAAGCGCCGCCAGCACACACACACACACACACACATGGCGCTCTCCAAGGAATTGTAGAGGACTTCGATTCCTTGGGATTTGGATCCATTCCAGCGACTTGGACGCTGCAGCTGCCGCATAAGGCACAAAGCTTGGGGGCACCTTTCGCTTCTTTCTCGGCCACGGCCCGGAGCGGAGCTGTCCAAGCTGAGGTGACCTCTGTCTTTGGCGGCTTAGCTCTCGCAGGCAACTCCACGCACCCCTTCTTTGAGCAGGAGGGCAAGGCGGCTTCTGCTCCTGAAAAGACGTGCCTTCAAGTCACGTGGATAGGATAGCATGCGGCGAAACTGCCATTACCTTGCCAAAGCTGTTGCTATCTGTGATGCCAGATCTTTTCCGCTCTCAGATCTCTCAGTATTTGTTCACCTTCTTCAGGCGCGGGTGAACTCCTTCTTTCAGAACGCAACAGCGACCTTTGGGGACAGATATGCGTTTACATGGACAACCTATCCTTACTTTGATCCCAACGAGCGTCTGGACGAGGGCACGACGGACCAGTGCGAGTTTGCTCGCAATCGCTCGTTGTGCTTTGACAATAGCTGCGATGCCCCGAAGTCCATGGCGTACATGCGCCGCAAGATGACTGACCTGACTGGAAAGTCCAACAGCACATTCTGGATCGGCGAGACTGGCTGGTCCTCCAGCGGAAGTGTGCAGTCAGAGATGAAATACTGCAAAAATTGGGCTGCACCGGATTCTTGGTTCAAGCGAGATACTTCCTGATCGTTATTATTAGCATTTACTTTCGCTTTTGCGCCAAGCCGTTGCCAAGCCGGGCCTTGTTTCTTGTAAATATGCCAGCAATATAGTATTTAGTTTGATCCGCAAAAGTCAGTGGGCATTGCACCTTCGCTACCATGCGACTGGGTTGGGTTCATCCATGCACGGTTTGCTGGAAGCGGAGCAGATATGAAGACGAAGCTGCAAGTGCTAGGAGAGCTTGGAGAAGTACTACGACAGCTTCCTCCAATGGGATGGCAGCACACCGGGCGTGGAGCCTCCAGATCACGTGCTGCTTGGTGGCAATTGCACGCCTTGACTTGCCAGTGCTCAGGGCCTCCTGCTGGAGCTGAGGTTCTACTTCACGATTCGAGACTCCTTGAACTTCGGGAATGCCGAGCAGTTCGGGGTCATTGAGCAATGCCACATGGGTGAGTGCAAACTGCGGTCGCCTGGCTTCAACGCAACCTACACGAGCACTTCAAGCTCCACCTCTATTCCCAGCGGCCCCAGCAGCTCTAGCGGCTCTAGCACATCTGGAACGGTCGAGGTGTCCGAAGACACGACATCCACAACGTCTGAAAGGATGGGAGCCGAAACGACATCCGAAGGCGAGGAGTCGGAAGCCGAACTGACAGACTTGGGCAGCAGAAACTATTTGTCCCTGTATAGTCTTCTTTTGTCTTTCTTGGCGGTGCGATACAATTGGTAAAAGCATCAGTCTTGTGCGCTGATCGAATGTGGACATCCCCTTGACCAGAGGTCGTATAGTAGGGCCGAATGGTCAGGGTGTGGTTTCCGCCATTTCTGGTCAGCTACTGTTTGTTGTTCTTCTCCTAGGGTCATCTCCGGAGTTGGCGCGAGATGCTCATAACTCTGGAGTGGTGAGGAACAGCATCCTACAGTGAGATGCAAGATCCTGCAGAAACACAGTGTCATCCGTTGTCATCCAGTCACCTCCACGGAAGCATCGAAAACTTTCGGGCCAGAATCAAGAAGACATGTTGGCAACGGGCAGAGACTGTGGGGTCGCCTGCAAAACCAAAGCTTGTACAGTCGGGCAGGCGCTTGCAGAAAAATGTGCAGGTTGTCGATCTGGATTTGTTTCCAACTTCGAAAAACGGCTTCAGCTGGCAGGCCTGGGCATGCCGGAGTGTTTGTGACTTTAGCCCCAAACCCGACTCACTCGGTAAGTGCTGAAGGCCGTTTTGCGTCCTGTGCTTGCAACCAAGTGGACGCTTCGGGCTTCTACTTGTGTGCTACCAGCCCATTCCCGGCATCCAGATGGCTTACGACAGAGCGTTGCGCACACAGGTCAGCCCCAGGCTGAGGCCGAGACTGATGTGGGTGGACCCAAGGCTCCTCGACCGGCACCCGGCAGCGGCGGCAGCGGAGGGCAGCACTGGCACTGCGAGCAAACGAAACGAGCAGGTTGAGCGTTGCAGGGCGGCAGCAAGCGGGCGCAGCTCGCGCGAGTAGCCTTGGAATAACCAACAAGGGGAAAGGCAAGCGAGAAGGCCAAGCCGGATGTGTTAGCAGTTCTCCTTTTAACTAAAACTGAAGGTCGATGAAGTGTCATCGCCGGCAAGTGCGCGTGGTTTACCCATTTCGAAGAGAAGAGGCAAACAAGTACCAAAGTGTTAACGTCAAACACGAAGACATCGGATGTGGTCAGCAATCGTGGAAGAAGTTTCTTCCGGAAGTGCGCGCTTACAGCCGGCTATTGAAGGAGATGGCCGGAACCTCCAAGACATGATGTGCCGGGCACCACCTGCCCCAGCGGCCAAACGGCATCGTTTCCGAAGCCGCCTCAGCCTGTGCCATGACAGAGCCGACAGCTAGTGGATTGACTTGGCAGATAATGGCAGCTGGCTGCTTTGTGCCAACTAACGAGAAATGCAAAGTTTTATGACGCGACGACGACTGTCCCGTGCAGGGGACCATCGCGTTCCAGGCGCATTGCAGAACTTGCACGACGATGCAGGCAGCTTCTGCAACATCGGAGCGCCACCGGTTCTACTGGTGGCCTGCCCTGCGCATGGCTTTGCAGCAGAACCACCTTTGCTGTGGACGGATGCGGATGCTGTAGAAGACACGTTTCAGGTTCACGGATGGTTTGCTTGCATGTTCGAGCTGACATGCTCTCATTCTTCACTTTGAGCCGCGAACTTTGGGTCGAAAGAAAGAACAGACTCGAAGTTGAACTATCTGCAATCTGCCAGCACCAAACTATCCGAAGCCATGTGCCCCGCAAGTTTAAATCTCGCACTAAGGCTATGGCGCATTTGAAGCGTCTAGCCGGGGTAGATGTTTACGATGAAGAAATTTCAGGTACGCAGCCTGATTTCATCTCACCACTCCTCACTGCCTCCCGAAGTCTTCACGCACATTCCCTCAAACTTCAGGACCAAGCGCCTGAGACGAGTGTCTAGAGTGCAGGCGAAAACCTTACTCGCATAATTCCCCCCCCAGCCAGCCTGTCGCGAGTGTCTCGCAGAGAATCCTCGATGCGATGTGCAGTCGCTGCTTTCTGTCGGCCGTGGATACAGGGACCAGCTGCCCTTCCACGTGCCGAGCAAAGAGAGGCGTCCGAGAGTATGGAGATGCCCTACTTCGTCGCTTGCTGATTTTGGATTCCGCTGCCGAAGGCTTCAGGGTTTCAGGTTAGCCTTATTGAACCCATCTGCCTAAAATTTCCTTCATAGGCTGGAGGCCCCTCCGTTTCGATGTCTCTCTGACTCCATCATGTGGTGATGTCAGGGCGACATGAGTGCTGTCATGAGCCAAAGCTTTGGCTGTATCTTGGACATCAGGCGAGCCAGCAGGTGCGCGGCTTAGGCCGCAGCCGGCAAAGGCTGACGCTACAAGGTCCGCCCTGCACTGTCTTTTCTCTCAGCGAGAGCTCCGACACTTTTCAGAGCTGTTTCGGCAGGGGCATTGCCGCTGCGCTGATAGCAGCCCTGGCCTGTCGGATGCTGCCCCAGCATGAGGTTGTGCTTGAGGCTTTGCAAGCGCAGATGCACGAATCTTCCGCATCTGCTGGAATGCAACCTTACTGACAGGCTGCGTTGAGCAACTTGTTTAGCATCTCTCACCAGCGACACCCGAGGCAAGCCAAGACAACCAACCAAACGCACCTGCACAAATGCGCACATCTCCACTCCGAGCACTAAATTTGCAACTGCTGAATACATTCACAGTCCCTTGCAACCGCTCAACACATCGCAGGTACACCAGGTTGATCAGGGTCTGGCTTCCCTCCCTCTCGGGTGCATATGGCTTCGTTGGGTACTGTAGCGGCAGCGGCGGGTAGCATGAGAGAGCCGTACGCCCCTGCATAACATGTACTCAAAGCTGCTCTGAGTCACAGGGATTACAAACACAAGCAGAGCTCGGTTACTGTGCTAGTAGAGTCAGCACAAGCAGAGCTTCAGACCGAAAGGTGCCGCATTTTGCGGTTCATCATGTAGCTTCCCTTTGCTGCCACCTTGCAACTGACGTTTCCTGGCGGATCTGCTCAGGCATGGTCCACGATCACGGCCTCGCAGGCGCTTTCGTTCGGCGCTGCTATCGGCGCAAAGGGAGCTCTTGGAGACGGAGCACTCGAGCGAGAGGAAGGAGTTTCTACCAGCAAAATGCGTCCTCGCAGGAGATAAGAGCTGCGATGTACCTGGACCCCGCGCGCTTGCGGGTCGTGTCCTCCAAGGCTGGCAACGGTTTCCAGCTCAAACCAGTTGTCACCTTGGTCCGGGGTTTCCTGGATTCGTCCCTGAATGTTGAATGTGCTGCACTTTTGGTGGTATGGATCGGGAACAAGCGAACTCAGAACAGAAAATAGGCGGTAGCCCGTTGCGGACACTCCTTGCAGGAGAGCGGGGAAAGCGGGGAAGCGCTGCGAGGGCAGTGGCGGAAGTCTCAGCACGGATGTGCACAAAGATGTTCGAAGCCGATCGGCTACGTCGAAGCCCAGCAGCCATTAGTCGGGCCGAGGTTGTCCTTGTTTCGCGCATCTGCCCCCTACGTGGCAATGCACAGCGCTTAGTCTTTGCACTGCCAGTGCAAGACTCATCGTGACAGCATCGCGGGAGTCTCTAGTCGAACCAAGTGCAAAGTGCAGAGTCACGGAGTCGTATGAAAGGAGTAGCGAGCCACGAACCGCCAGACATGCTTGTTCGACGAGCTTTATCGGCTCATACTGCGAAGGTCATACACGAAGCTTGATCAGATACAGTAGCATTTTCAGAAGTTACAGCACGAGTCCGAAACACTGTGCCGTATCAGATGCATGCAGACAGTTGCATCTGTCAGCAGCTTCAAGAGTATGGGTCTGACCTTGTGCCAATGCCGGCTTGTCATGCAATGCCCGAACTTCCTGCATTCCACACTGCCGCTTTGCATAACACCCGCTGTAGCAATGAATCGGCGTTCTGGAAGCAGCAAGGCTCTCCTGTGGGGATGGTTTGCGCAACGTGACAGCTTCGTAGTTTCATGCGAAGATCGAATGTGCGATTGTCACCTTGTGCGATAGTTTCGTCGCCATCTATGCCAGCTGGAGCTTGTGTTGCATGGCACTTGCATAGGGAAGCGACTGAAGTGTCTGCTGGCACTAGCGACACCCACATGTGACATATGTGACATTCACAGCACCATCATTTGGGGAGGCTTGGCCTTGCGTGTTGGCGGTGAGTCTGGCATGGCTGGTCTGGCACTCGAAAAAAGCAGAAGATGTCTTCAGTTCTGCTAGCTGCTAGCTACTGGCAAAGGCTTGCTCGTTGCGTCGTGAAAAGGGCAGAAGAGCAGAAAGCGCGAGCTTTCATGTGTCAACTCCGCTAGTACAAGCCATTCAAGCCAACAGCAGCCCACGTGCATCTATGTCGGCTGTCGCTTGATGTCTATTGACACTCCTCAGACCTGCTCTTTGCTGGATTGCGTCTTCGCCGGCGCAGGGGCGACGACCAGGCCGCTGTTCTGCCTATACATGTACTCTGACGCACTGCGTGCTATGCTTCTGAAATGCTCTGCTCGAGAGAACTGGCCTGCCCGTGGATGCGGTGGCTAGCCGCTGCTGTAGTTATGCTAAGACTCCTGCCTTTCACCAGAGAAGGCTTCGAGGCAGCGCTGTCCAGACAGGGCGGAGCACACTCTTTGCAGAGGCCAGTCAGTCTTCCTGTCAGAAACTCTCATGGCCCATGGATTTAGTGCGTGGAGCCATTGCCAGGAGCCGTTGGCATATCGCGCATCAGGTGCCCTGTAGCCCTCGATTGCGTGTGCAATTGCAGTCTTATCGAGAGGTCGTGCACCCGGAGGCTACGAAAGCCGCGTCAAGGCAAAGATGAGAGCGGATGAAACTGATGTGCCCGGTCGGATATCCTGCCTTCTCGTCGTCGTCACCGTTCCTGCTTGCAGGAAGATGACAAGCCAGTTGAGATCAAAGGCTTCTTGGAGGCGGCTCTAGTAAAGGCCGGGCACCGCAGGTTTAGTTCTGTGATATCGTGATGCAGATGCAGACTTGGGGTCTGTGGCTGCGCTTTCTTGCTGGCATCCTGTACTAATGCAGCTTGTTGAGGCCAACCTCCTTGACCGGGCAGAAGAGATCAGGACGGACTTTCAATGACTTCGACATTCGCAGACAAGTACGTGGATGTCATCGGCAGACTTCGCATCTGGCTATCACGGTAAGTGTCGAGAACTTGTTTTCTGAATGCTGTGCAGTCAGGACTTGGTGTGAAGAACAAGGCTCTCTCATTTCTGCTAGCCCTCATGGACAGTGCATAGGTTTTGTGCTCCTGGATGCTGCGGATGGCTTTACTGTAGGCGCGGAACTTCTGGAGGAGCTCTTGGATGAGCCCCTTGCTGGCATGCCCACGGGGCCGCTGCAGTTGTCTCTGGATGTGCGATTCCTGATCTGAGTGAGGTTGGAGTCCTTGCAGGAGGATCTCAGCCTCGAAGACGGCGAGACTTCGCAGCTTGAACAGAATTGTGATCCGCAAACTCTCAGCCACCCAAGCTACTACTAGTACATACTAGTACAAATTGCATGTAAACTTGACGGTAGCAAATCATTGTGAACCTTGAGATGGCACCTCAAATCCTGCGGGAAAGCCAAGTGAATGTGCCACTGGCGAAATGTAGACTTCGACAGAGTGTGCGAGGCAGCTGTGCTCGAGAGTTGCCGAGGCGGCTCGAGACGGCGTTGATGGAGACGCAGAAAGACGCAGTAGAAGAACGCGAGAAAAGGGACAAAGCAGCGAGGCATCAGCTTGCTATCCTAGAACGGAAAAACAAGCAAGCTAAGTTCCCCTGATCTGCGTCCGCGGATTCACTGTCCCGGCCCTCTTCGTGACAGGGAAGGAATGGCAACCCTTGGGCACAAGCTCATCAGTGGACAAGTCTCCCTGGAAGCCGCCCCTTAGCTGATGTCCAAGGGCAGCGCTGTCATGACGTTGCCAATGTGGAGCAGCCATGGGCATGCCAAAGGTGCAGAAGGCATACGACTCCATGGACCAGGAGACCTGACAGAAGGCATTTGGCTTCCGGCAGCTTCAGGAAATCTCGTGAATTTGTCGGATGTCGCCATCAGGCTGCATACCCAAGCCTTCACACATGTCGAGCAGCACATACTACTGAGCTACTGCACCATCGCGCTAAAGCTGTGCTCCCTGCGGCTTCCGAAACTTGAAGTTTCACTTGGTTAACGTGCCATGCTCGAGGCTGACAACATGCCAAGAGTGGATGCATCAGTTTTCCACACCCTCAAACAAGTGTCGAATCACGGAGGGCCCAAGCGGGACTCCGATGGGGCTGATCGCAAAATGCGAAGCATTCCTGGATCACATTTAGCCCAACGCCCAAACTCTCTGCATGCCAAGGTTTCAGCAAAGCATCATGGTTTTCCACATCCCTGGGCACGTGCTGCAAAACGCAGCTGAGTTGCGGCCTTGATGTGCTCGCTGTGAGTCTCGAAGCACAGGTAGAGGTACTTCAATTTGCAAGTCGTGGAGTGGAGGACTTGGTCTACAGAGTCATGTCCAGCAGCTTCTGCGATCTGTTGCAGTCTCTGGATGTTCAGTTGAGCTGCTGCGGCCCAGGCTCGAGGGCCTCATGAGCTGCGAAGCTGCACATAGAGTTTTCGAGTTGTGAATAGGTCTGAGTCTCAAGTACTACGAATGCCGGGCTGAGCGGTACTGGTAGCCTGTGACAAGCGAAGCCGTTTCCACTTGTATCAAGTCTGACAACTGCGACAGAGAGCGCCTGCGAGCCCATACTGGTAGCGCCATGCCCATGCATGTCCGAGCGGTGACAAATTACGTGCCAAGGCGATATTGCACTTTGTGCCTTGCTGGGGGTGCGGCCCGTGCTGGTACCGTCACTCACGTAAGGCTCCAAGCATTCAGAAGGCTTTGCGAAACTGCGCAGCCAGTGCAATCCACGCCGTCTTGAGAGCCTGCAATGATGAAAGGCAGAGAGTTCTCGCACGGCTTGGACATGAGGCAGACATTTTCCATATCCTAGATGGCGTCTGATTCATAACCGCAGTGGGGCGATGACAGCAGAAGGGTTGTTGTATAGTGGAGAGCAGAGCGAGGACCTGTTGGCTAAAGGTAGAATTCCCGTCGGCTGCAATGCTGTCAAACCAATCCCTCATTGCAGGTTTCGACCTCGTCGCAGGAGTTGGAGGCAGCGAGAAAGCTTTCAAGCTGCTGTGACCCAAAAAAGCGCACGGAAGTTCTGGAGCCCATGTGAGAACGTGTTTCATACATACAGTATAGGAGACTTCTGGAAGTCAGTCGCTTGTGGACATGCATGGTACTTGATAAAGGGTTCAGATCACAAGACATGCAGGCCCTGTGTGGCATCGCCGAAGCTTCCTTGGATGATGTGCGATGCTCCCAGTGAAGTTCAGTTACGCTGCGTATACGCTCGTTGTCTTCATTGCTGTGCGTCCTGCAGTGTGCAGTCCCCGGACACTGGCGCCGAGGACCCGTTTCATGAAGCAGGAAGCGGGGATGCTTTGTGCAGAGGCACAGAGAAATAGCGGATTTGGGTAACAGAGATCCAGCTGCGCGGATGTTGGCTTTTCAAGCCAAGTTGCAGTGAACTTGTGTCGTCTGAAGTTTTGGATAACCTGGCACCTGGCCCGCATAGTATTGCCGCTCGCAGCTTTGAGTGCAGGGGACGACTGTACAATATTCGCCTGGCAAGGGTTCTTCAACGCTACGCGCAAAGAGCATGCTGCAGCAGTGTGCGAGGATATCAGTAGCGTGGCCACAGGAGGGGGATCAGAACACACCGACAAGGCACAAGGACCAGCAAACGGCGACTCCGGGGCCCTGCTCTTGGATGGCAGACGAGCCCACTGCTGCCGATGCCATCGAACTTGCGGTGCCTGGGGATGCCGCGACACTGTCCGATGCCGTACAGCTGGGCCGGCAGCGCTGCAAAGAAGCAGGCTGGAGTTTGGCATTTGGGTGCACCGAGCAGGGCAGGGCTTAGAGTCTTAGTGCCCAGCAGCAGGAGCTTCGCCAGCTTCGCTTCGTGTAGAGCTGGCAGCGGAACACCGGGAACCCCAGGAGGCCTGGCCATTGGAGATCGTTCTTCAAGAAGGACGAGGGCTCGAAGGTGAAGCACTTCTTGTCATCCCTTCGTGCACAATCGAAGTCAGTAGTTTTGGTTTGCAGGAGACTGCCTCCGAAGCCTGAGTGTAACCGGGGTCAAAGATTCCCCTGCTCGCCTCGGCGACGTGCAGCTTGCATCGACTGATGCAGCGCTTTGCTTGAGACACGTCGCGTGCGGAACTCTTACGATTGCTTCTCGACTGTCACATCAAAGCAATGCATTGGCATCTTTGGACATGTGTCAGAGCTTTGCCCCCAAGTTCTCCCGTTACATCCTTATCTCTTACTTCACTGATCAAGGACGGCACGGGCTGTGTTCTGGAAGACTGCGAGGTGTCAACGGCTGCTGAAGATGTGTGGCAGTGAGTCTGAGTGTTTGTGAATGTTTGTGAGAAATATCAGATCAACCAATCACACGAGAGTTGACGCAGGCCGTTGTGCAAACAAGTAGGTGGGTCATCTTCGAAGACTTCAATGCAGTTGACTCTGGCTTTTTGGACGTGTCTTAGAATTACGCATGCATCACCTACTGCCTGGCACGTGTCAGCTTGCACAGGCGCAGAGCATTGAAATTGGCACCCGAGGGGCTGATGCCGTGCGGCGCTGCAGAGTCCAAGGCACTTTCAGTTAAGAGCCGCATGAAGCCCCGGGACCCCGGGATCAGCTCTCCAACCCAACATGTCCTCGAAGCATCTTCAGCCTTCAGCATCCCACATCAGCTCCAGACTCCAGAGTCTTGAACAAGGAAGCTGGCTCCCAGCATGGTGTGGCCGTATGGCACTAAAGGGAGGAAGATAGTGCTCGAGGCGGGCACTCAGTGTCTGAAATCTTTCGGTAGAACGTCGAAGGTGGACGAGTGGCCCTTGCTGCGCAAGGCCCGGTTCGGCTGGAGGGCCTTCAGGTGGTGGCTACTTGGCAGCCTAAAGAATCAGATGCAGCACCTTCAGATTGCTTGTAGGCTGGTGTATCATCAAGGAGATGTTGCCTGTGCAGGGATTCTGTATCCTTTCTTTTGTGCCTTTAGCACTTGCAGTGGCGAATCCCAGAAAATTCGCGTGCCACCAGCCCATTCTGCCATTTTGAGGATTCTGTCATCGGAGTCAGCATCAATGGCAACTTTGCAGTGGAAGTGTGCCCGTCCCAGAGAGCACTGGTGTATTGCGACCGTGCATTGTCAGAGCTGTTAGTGCTGAGAGTCTCGGATCAGGGCTTCCATGTGTTTGCGTGATGCGTGCTACCTAAGGCACAGGTGCTGCTTCACTCGCTGCAGTGCTGCCGCGATCGTGTCTCATGTTGACCTGCGACATGGCAAGGATTAAGATGGCCCCTCGCCTGATAACTCTATGAAAACCACGAACAATAAAAATTGGAAAAGGAATGGAAAAATAATGGAACCAAAAATCAAAACAAGAGACCAGGACCGACACAGGGAATGGAAAAAAACAACAAAAAAACGAAACCAAACATGGAAAAAAAAAATAAATAAATCAAACGCAAACAAACACAAATTGCCAGGGCCAGGGCATCAGGGGCGACAGGTTCAAAAAAGGACCACCCTGGACCAGCATTCTGAGTTTGGTTTTTTCACCATTTTTTTCCATTGCGTGGGGGTGGGATTTGGGCCCCGTCCCAGGTGGCCTCCATCCTGGAAAAAAACAAATTCCCTGAAGCATTTCGGAAAATCAAAAAAAATTGAAAAATAATGGAACCAAAAATGGAAAAGACATGGAACCAAAAATGGGAAAAAACATGAGATGGATCGGGGCCGCACGGGAACTATGGAAAAAAAATGAAACAAAAATCAGATGCCAAGTGCACCCTGCAACCAAATCGGAGAAACATTGAAGTCAAAATGCCACGGGATTCCAATCCCATATTTTTCCATTGTTTTCCCATTGCTTGTTTGATTGCCCGAGTGCCTCGATTCCATCTGCAATCTCGAAATAATCCCATTATTTATTATTTCCCGAGATAATAACGTTAACAGGACCGGGACATCATAAGGCAAGGAGTATGAGGGCATGAGGATTTCTTTGTTTTTTTGCACTGCTGACTCCTCCTCTGTCAGGCCAGCTGACAAGGAAGCGGAAATTCGACCCGTGCTCAAGATGTCCGACAACCTTCTAGAGCACTGCACTCGCGATTTGGAGGCGCCTCTGCTCGGAGTTGTTGTGGTGAACTACAGTCGCCGCGACCTGTGAGGTGAGGGTGCAACTACCCTGTGCCGAGTCATTGATTTTCGACAGACTGCCATTGGCAGCAGGAAGCTACGAGGTCTGGGACAGCCTTTGCATGATGGGTTTGATATGTACTCTTCCGGGAATTGAAGCGCAAGATCGTGGTCGGGACTTTCATCAGTCCAAATCCATGCACCAGTCACACGCTCCTTGATTCCGAAGGTTCCGCGACGTTCCAAGTCGAGCTGGGAAGTTGAGGCAAGGGATGTGTTCTTTGATATGCATCTGCATGGCTGCGCTGCATGCACCTGCGCACAGCAGGTCAGCGACCTCGGTGTTGTCTCGTGGCGTTGCGCCCCCGTGGCAGCGCCGGGCCCAAGACGCAGAAAACGAAAAGAGAAGGAGATGGACGTAGCCGAGGCTCCGCTGTGGCTCTGTTCAGCTTTGACATGCTCAACACCTTATGAGTTCTTGTGATTTGCTCAAGGAAGATGTTATGTCTGTGGATCCGAGTTTGCATTTAGATTTGGATATCCGATCTTGGGGCAGTGCAGCCAGGCAGCTGAATCAGACGATACCACCAGAAGAAAATTCACAGACGAGGAGGCTGTTCAAGTCTGCACAGAACGAATCAGTAGTGCTGCATTCCGAACAGAGTTCTGCGGAAAGGCATGGGCGTGCAAGATTTTGGGATTGCGGCAGAACGCCGCAGCTACTCCGCGCGAAGTTCGTGCGGCCTACCGGAAGTGCCCTTTCTCATTACTACGAGAGGATGGGCTGTGCGATCTGTTCAAAAAGTATTTGAGCGCCCGAGACAAGGAAAGCCAGAGAGGTGCATCCAGACAAGCAGACCGAGCCGATGTTTGGCCCATCCTTCTTGGATGTCTCGGCAGCTTGTCAGGCGCTTTCCCAGTGATGCCAGGTCTGCAGAAAACTTCATAGTGACCGTAGCAGCGACAGCTGCACAGCATTGCACAGCTACGTGTGGCCTGTGCAGGCCTTGTTGGCTGGTTTCCACCCTGCTCCCACACCTCTGAAGCGGCGAAGAAGCAGCACTCGTGAGCATGGTCGGAAAATCTTCATCCGCAGCTTCGACTCCCATGGCCATGCACAGATGTGGTTCGAGCATGACAGGTTCAGGATGTTTGCCTTCGAGTTGCAGCATCCCGGCCGCGAGGAGCAGCTCGATGCTGACGCACGCATCAGGTAGCACTGCTGTCTGAGGCGAAGCCGACAGGAAACTTCATTACTCGCAAGAGTACTTCCGTGATGCTGACGTGTTTGACACTATCACTATTAAAACCATCCTGGCCCGTGTGCGGGGAGCAGCAGACATGACATGGCCATGCAAGAGCACTGCACCAGATCCGGGAAGGTCTTCGCCAGCTCCCAGCTGCTTTCCACGGCTCCCCGGAAGGCACCTGGGCCAGACAAAAAATGGCAAGGGAGACGGGACCAGCCACCTGCAAAGTTTTTGATCTGTGAAGGCCACCGGCTGGGAGAGCAGCCCTCTCTTGGGCCGTGTGCCCGGCTCCAAGTCGAGGAAAGACAAGGATGCGTCAAAGGCCTTGCTGGCCCGTCGCGCCATCAAAATTGCTGGCGCGCTCATGGGATGGTTCAGGCCAAAACGGCATTTCGCGCCCTTTGAGTGCTGGAGCAAGGATTGAGATAGACACCGCGCAAATCCACCGGCGCCTGCAAGAGGACGAAAGGGAGAGCCTCAGACCATGGCTAGCCGCTTGCCTGAAGTATGCAGGACGACATCGTCTGTATTCTCCCTGTTGGTGCAGGGTCGCTGCTAGGCGGAGTCGAGGTGATCTTGAGATTTTTTCATGCGCTTCCGCACCTCCAGGAACCGGCAGCCAACTCCGTTACGTCCCGTCAGAGGAACTCGCAGCTCAGGTGGCTAGCGGCTATCGATATCAGGTAATTAAAGAAGGCCCAGGCATGTGCTTTGGGGCTTCCGCCAGGTGGCCAAAGACCTTAAAGCCACGAAGCTGATCTTCTTCACCCGGGGCAGCTCTGCTGCGTGATGAAATCTTTTGACTATGTTACGCGGTGATATGTGCAAACAGCTCCACAGCCAATCCGAAGGGTAGCTGTAGCTTTCGGTCATTGCCCGAGTTCTCGACTTCTGCGGTCAGTGACGCTTACCCTGCACTACATTGCTCGAATTTGCAAGCATGGGAAGCCACTGGAGTCATTGGCGAAGCATATCATACGTCAAACGTATCTTACTGGCTGCTTTCGGTAAAGCCTGCCTCGTGATTGGCGCAGTTTGTCTTTGGGATGCGAGAGTGACGATGAATTTCGGTGCTGTGACTCGCGACACTAAGGCCAGAGGCTTATGGACACTGCCCGAGGGAATGTGACTCGGTGGCAATGCGATGAGGAGCGAGAGAAACTTCTGTGTGATCAGTGGAACTTGGGGAGACGTCCTAAGCGCCCGTTGTGAGACATGAAGTTCCTTGCATCTTGGTAGGTCATTCCTACAATGCAGCTGGGGGAAGCAGACAGGCTGCTGGAGTACGCGTGCAGAGCTCACATCGGTCATCATCGATCGCAGCACATAGTCCGTACAGTGCTTCATGTGCAAGCTTAGGAGAACCAGCAGCAGTTTCATGGAAAAGGAGCTCGCTGCAATTCTGGGATCTCGCAGATGTCGGTGCGACCGTTCCTACCAGTGTTCTCCTTTTTGGCTGTACCTCACCGACCTGGAACTTACGCCCACTGGTCCTTGCATCAACACGGGAGAGGAGAGTTCCGTGCGGTGGCAGGAAGAATCGCGCGAGGTCATCTTCTACTTGGAACTGCCCCTCAGCTTCAGACTCGGCAAGGCTCCGCTTCGGAGACTTGTCATGTCTCTCTCGCGCGGGTGTGGGTGGGCGTGGGTGCAACGAGCGACGTCTTCCCATGTTCTGCCTGACCGATTGCGGGAGTCAGTGGGAACAATGGACTTTGATGAGCCTGATGCCAACAGATGCTCTCCAGTATCCGTGGTACGAGTACCTGGCCTGGTCAGCCTGCCTTTGCGCACTTGCTGTACTTGCTTGTGACAGCGTGTATGACAGCGTATGATCTTTCGTGTGTGCACAGTCTTTGCATACTGACTGTGCACCAGTGCGTCATCCGGGCTTTTGATTCCATCGGTGAAGCTGCGAGTGCCTGCAAGAAAGTGCCGGGGTTCCATCGATCCGAATGCCGTTCTGTTACTTAGATGATGAGACGGCCGGGGGGTGGGCGGGTCTCAGAGCGTGGCACAACATTTGTCAGCCTGCTGTGCTGTAGCATCCGCCACGCCAGAGTCTCCTGTGTCAGATCCACATGTTCAGCCAAAGCTTCGATGCAGTCTTGACGTCCATGCCGTCAGCCATCGTCAACCGCTAATCAAGTCGCAGTAACAACCCCTGAGACACGAAAAACACATTGAGGTAGAGTTACATTTCAGAGGCCAAGACCACCATAGCTGAGGCTCCTGCAAGCACTACGCAGCGGCACGCGCCGGGCTCATTTGATCGACCCACGACGTGGCGCTCTGCTTCAGGCAGAAGCACGGGTTCCGCAAAACATTCTGGTGTCTCATCGCCGTATGGCCCTCTGCACGTATTGCCTTGCCAGCCATGCCGGTTGCCAGGAGCTGTACACAACAGATGGAAGTGGAACGATGATCTCCCTGGATCTCTACGACGGTATCAGGAGCTGTCAGCACACGGGTTCTTACAAACAAGTAGTTTCGGCAAGCTTGACAGGCTGGCGCGATCGGGTGATGTCTCCGGTATCCTCGAACTTATCGAGCCCCTGGTGAGGCCGACGCTCGTCTTGTGAAGGAAAGGCCCAGTCCCCTGTGTAGCACTTCTCAAGGAGGGGTTTGCTCCGACGGCGCAATACCTACGAGGCACGGCCGAGGGCCGAGGGGAGATCCCTGGCTCTGCGGCCAAAAAACGCCAAATCAGTGAGCGTCTGAAACTCTACTCGACTTTCCGGCCAGGTGGAGCGTGTTCGCAGCTCAGGCAGCATTTCCTAGCAAGATCCTTCTTTGTACCAGGCTGCGAGAGTGCACCCCAAGCTTGCGAGCAAAAGTAAACTTGTCTTCGAGCGTGCTTTGAGGCATGCAACAATCAAGAGATGTTCGTGTGGAAGCGCGATGCAGATGGCCTTAGCATCTGCTGAGAACTGCAGCAAAGCGGTAGACGCCAGCAGGCACAAAACTTGCTTCATGTATAAAAATTCGGCCATCAAGCTTTCAGCCACTCCTAATTTTCTTTTAAGAGAAATCGAATGTCATGATTCGGACTAAGGACAAGTTTGTTGGCTGCGCCAGCCTCCAGCAATTTAGTGATGCTCCAGGCAAGGCAGAGCCGGGGACTGAGCATGCCTCAGCAAAAGCTTGCGAGAAGCGAGGCGGAGATGCAAACCCTTTTCTGGTGCAGAAAGGCAAAGGCACCTTCATTTCTCCTCATATTGCTGGGCGGTTTGAGCTGCCTCCCATGAAGTGCACTCGGATGATACACTCTCAAAACGACTTGCAAGCTCAGAAGAGCACTAGTAGCATTACCGGAAGCCTTCGGCCCAAACTACCGCACGCTCCTTCAACCTACTCTGGTCCGTTGAGCTCGCCGCGCCCATCCCACCCTTTCCGCTCGTTGTTGCTACTGTACCCACCGACCCCGTTTCTTCGAACAATGTATCGTGGCATTTCGGCTCACAGAGCCGCGCTCAAAATGACATTAGCCAGAAAGGGGGACGCCACGAAGATTGGCAGTGAGTCGGAAGAGTACCTAAGAGTAACACGGGATGACAGAAGGGGCCGTCAAAAATACCTTAGCTTGCTTGGCTTCGGCGGCAGTGGGGGGGGTTCGGGAATAGGGTGCCCTCCCGCTAGTGAAAGCCTGGCAAGATTGACAAAAACGCGGCTTCTCCAGCACGCTCTCAGGCTTTACTAGTACGATTATTTGCACATCATCGTTTTCGATGTTGTCATTGTGATTCCTCGTGCTAGGCTTGTTTCGACGATGCTACTGGTTCCTACCACTACATTGGACCCGCGCTGCAAGATTTGACTGATTGACTAAGGGGAGGCTGTCTGAAATGTTGCTTGGATGTGCTTGGCTTGAGCTAGCTACGTGTACGCCTGCACCGGAAGCGATGTAACTTTGAGCTTGCGGAAAGCATCCTCAAGATCCTCAAGACAGATCTGCAATCAGCATTTATCCTCTTGCTTGAGCCTGTGGAGCACCTCCACTGGGTTGCTGATGGGATCAGGGCAATCTGGGAAGCGGAACTTGGACAACCTGAAGAAAATGCTAAGCAAAGCCAAAAGCCCTGCCAGCCTTACCGTTCACAGTCTTACTGCCCTTACTGCTGTGGTCTAAGGCTGGGCTGCTTCGTCATCTCACCACTCTGCCGAGGAAAAGGTGCTGGAGAGAGGGGTATGCAAAGAGCATTGCGACTCATGAAACCTTGACTTGCATAGCCAGCATGCAAAGACTGCCAGTCATCCGGAAGACATTCTGGCTCGGCGGGGACATGAACCCCCACATGACGGACGCAGCACAGCAGCTGCGCCTGTCCTCGGCACTGAATCTAGATCTCCCCTCATTCAGCCATCGAGTTAAAGACTTGTACGTCGTGGAGCCAGGTCCTGCAGCACATCAGGTTCTGCCGGGGCCTGCCGCCCAGGCCCAGGCTCCGCCGCAGAATGCTGGAAACGCACTAGCGAATGACAATGTGGTGCCGGAAGGTGTCGAGGATCACATGGCAAACCATGCTGTGGAAACTGTAGCCGCTACAAGACCAGCCAGCAATAGCGACTCCCCCGCAGTGCACACTGGAGAACGTGGGGTTGTGGCCACAGCGACTGTCGCATCATCCAGCGATGCGAACCCTGCCTGGGTCCGAGATGGGCCCGAGACGGCTACCAACGCTAGCACGACAGGGTCTGGTCCAGGCACAGTTCCTATGCAGTCGGTCGACGCGGGCTCCTCAGGGAGTGCTGGTCCCATGAGCCAGCAGTCCAGAAAAGGCTGACCCGACGATCTTCAAGAGTCCCTCTACCAGGCTCAAGGCGGCTTCGGAAGGTGCACCACCGCCGGCGAGTGCTGAAGCCCATTAGGCTACAGACAGCGGGAGCGCATCCTCAAAATTATATCAACCCGTCGCACCTTGGGAGTCCTTAGCATGTCTAAATAACTTGCGATGGAACCGGGGAGAGCGACCGTGTGTGCAATGTGGCAATGCTCTTCTGGAGCTACAGCTAGGAGCAGATTCTAATTTTGTGGTTCAACCAGCCACAGCAGCAAGCTCCGCCCAGCAATAAAGATCAGCGTGGGATCACATTACACAGCTATAATCTATCATAAGGTGTGTATGTGTACATACGTATGAAAAGAAGCCACGGTCAGAGCTTGCTGAATGTGACGGACCTTCCTACCCTGGCTTGCAGCAACCATGTGTGCGAAAGTGAACTCCTCTGTCATCCTAAGACCTTAGGCACTACCAACACCTGGACCTGAAAGAGCACCGTATACGTTGCTCTGGTTGAACCTGTTTCGGAGTTGAGAATATTCAAGACCAGTCTGTAGTGGCAGAGGATTTCAAGCCTCCACATGCTGAGCATGTGGATTGCACCCAATTTCCACTGTGTCAGCTCGGACTCAATTGGGGATTCGTGGGAGTGAAGCGATTAGGGGCACAAGTTATCGAAAAATGCATCTTGATCCCACTGGGCCCATTTGAAGCCCACTCGGCGGGGCATTGTCGCAGACTTCAGCAGTCTAAAGCTCAGGACATTTGTGGAGCGCAGCTGATTGTCGGTAGGGAAGAAAGCTTCTGAAATTCGTTGCAGCTGCTGCCGGCCACTCCAATGTTCGAAAGGATTTGGGCCAGGTCGACGGGCCATTCTTCGGCCAGAACTCAGATATGTTCGAAAGACCGTGTGACTGCTTGTCAGCACACAATGGTCCTTGCATAGCACCTTAGCATCTGGAGCTGCTAGGAGGGTCATTTTAACTGAACTTTGCGCACAGTTTGAGGGTGAAGATCTCAAGAGTCTATTAAGACATCTTGAGCCAACTTCAATGCTGACATCCAAGACCCTTCTTGCGTTCCTCTGCAGTGAGCTGCACGAAGATCACTCGAAGAAACGGAGGTTACTCCGCGCATGCATTATTACGCTGGCATGAAGCCAATGCCACTGCTAGCCGCCTCTGCGACTCTCTAGCTGCATAGGGTTAGCTTGCCACTAGCAGCGTCCTCAGTAATTATCGAAATATCTATCAGTCTTGCATGACGGCAGGCCACGGCGCTGTGCTCCTCTCGTACGTTGAACAGGTTGCTAGGCTGCTCGGCGTGCCGGCTCCTTATCCCTCAACGCGCTTCCGCTCTGCACGGCTGTAGTCTAGGCGGTCCAGTCCAGAGTCCAGACGCCATGTCTCACCAAGCCAACAGTCGCTGTACTGTGAAGCTGAGGCAGCAGCTGTTCCTCCTGACCACGCAAACAATGCCACTCGGTCTCTTTGTCCATGGCAGGGGTTTTGTACCAGCTAGTCCACACGCACATGCATACATAAGTACTGTCTTTACAGTGTCAAGCTCAGATTCATGTCGAGCTTCGAAATTTGAGTCAACTTTGTGCCCTTGCTTTTTGCGATTGACGCTGGGGCAATGCAAGGCAATGGTTTGTGGAGCGCGGCTTTCAGAATGCTCCAGTGGAAGAGCTTCCACCAGGCATCGTCAAAGAATCGGAGCCCAGCAGGGGCCGGATCTCGGGGCAGTTGAGGATGCCTATCATGTGATCATCTGTTAGTGCGATGGGTTGAAAAGTGTGCCGTGCTTGCGAGTGCCGTGCAGGCAAGCGCGAGGGCTACGATCTCGGAAGGTCTTCAAAGGCCCATCTAAGTGGTGTTTGATTGGTGTCTCCTTCGCTGCCCCGTGGCAGTTAACAAGCAGGATAAATCAGGTGTAGCTTGGACCATCTGACATTGCTTTGCATGTGCTGGAGTCTTGGTCAGTGTGCGAAGCTCCCCAGGTGTTCATTAAGAACATCTCAGACTTGCCGAGTGAGCTGCAGCAGCGTTTCACGTTCGTAGAAGTAGATACTTTAGATTGACTCAGTGCAAGACAGGCTCGGGTCTGCAAATGTGTCGCCATGCGTGCTTCTGCTTCCAGAGACAAGAGAGTCGCCAGCCATTCGGTTCGAGAGCTGGGTAAAGTCAGTTGCGCTGATCTTTCCCCAGTGCGGCTTCCAAAGATGAGCTGCCAGCTGTCGGTGATCGTTGTGGTTCTGATGATGTACTTTGCCGGTGCCATCGAAGAGACGGGTAACCCGTGCTTGAATCGGTGCCCAGTAAGCACATGCACAGCTACACAGTTGTTCCTTGTCTTTAGTGCAAGAGTTTGCTGGTGTCCGCCGCACGATAAGTTTCCGTCAGTGTCAGGATCAACTGGTGCTCGCGATGGGCAGTCGATGGTTGGTGTCAGAGGAACCCGAGGTATATGCTGGTGCATTGCAAGCTTGCATGCGGTGAATGCACGGAGATTGTTACGCGAACCACTTCAACAGAGACCGCAACAACTGAAGAGGTTGTCCAGAGCACTGTTGCACCATCGACAACAACCACAGCTGGAACGACGGAGGTCGCAGTCACCACCACAGCTGTGGCGACGGCTCCAGATTCAACTGCATCAACATCATCGGTCGCCATCGTGGAAACATCTGCACCGGAGCCGGAGACAACTTCAGAGCAATTGTACACGACAGAGCCAGTCGCGACAGAACCACCCACGACTTCCAAGCTCCTAAGCTCAACTGGGAAGGCGAGTGTAGCCACCTTGCTCTTCCGAGGGCTTTGTTCAGGTTGGGCTGGCAGCTGGCATGCCGCTTGCATTGATCAACATGTCAGATTCGCTCTACCCGATGTTCGTTTCCAGAGTTCGTTAGTTGCGTGAAGCTTTGCGACTCCTAGCCAGTGTAACCTCAAGCCAGGTTGTGCTGTACTGGCTGGTACTAACCCGATAAGCCCGACCTCATCTTTGCCATCTTTTAACCGAGACCGCAAGGAACTCCCAAGCACCATAACACTTCCCACTGGGATACATTTGGGAGAGCCTTATCCACTCACCCACTGCAAAGCCAGAATCGTCCTCCCGTGACAGCTCGCAACATTCAAGCGTAGCTGCTATAACTTGTCGCTCTCTCCTTCTCCTGCTGTTGGCAGCTGTCCTTCGCCTCGCCTGGGCTAGAAGTCAATCGTCACTGCACTCGTGCACCAAGGCTGCAGCCGCAATGTGGAGCATATGTGGTGGAGGACCGTCGGACTTTTAACTGCAAATAAAGCCTCGGTGTCGCTGCGAAGCGAAGACGATGAGAGACGGGTTTGGTTTAGTGGCAGAACATCGCATCACATCGCATATCGCATCATGTGCCTCGAGAGCTGTGCAGACTCCCTGGTGGAGGAAGAGCGAGACCTGGCCGGCAAGATGTTACTCAAGTTTGCAGCGGCCAGTGCAGATGCCTGCTGCAGTGACCCATCAGAAATCATCGTGAGCAGAATGGAGTCGTTGGGATTGTTTGGTCTTGTGCAGCATAGGCGTTGCCGTTCATGCTGTGTGTTGGTCTGTCTGCTAGTGGTCGACACTGCGATGGAGAGACATGAGACCACTGCGCTCTCCAACCTGTAACAGAAGTTGAACAGGCGTTCACTTCACAAGTTGAATGACCACGCCAAAGTCGCGCTGCAACAATGGAGACCTGAATGGTGAACGAAGATTGCCGGGGCGAAAGAGAACCTGGGTGCAGAACGACATGGGACAACAGGTGCCGTTTCAGTGCTCACTCTTGCCTGTCTCCAAGCATCGGCGAAGTACAAGGCACGGAAGCTCACGGCAAGCCCCCGGCCCAACTGGGCTTCCAAGAGTCGCCTCCGTCTTTGCTGCTCTTCCGTCCGTCCATAGGCAAAGGTCATAAGGCCATAAAGAGTCCCGAGTGCATCTTGGATCGCCGGTACAGACTTGTCGGAAGTGGGCAGAAGTGCTGCCAAGTGACCCATTCTCTTTCCGGCTTGTAAAGTCGCCAAGGAAGTCCATCGGCGAACAGAGTCAGGGATGAAAGAGAGCAACAGCCAAAACCGCAACATTAATCGATAGTCACGCGCTCCGAAACTGCAAGCGGCCGAAGCGAGCCAAGTTGTCGAGGAATCAAAAAGAAAATGATTTCAAAACCCAGCCATGTTTCTTCCAGTACGACAAATGGCCGCCCGGTGGAGGCGGTGGAGACTGCTTTGCAGCATCTCAATGCCATGACATGTCGAACCCGACTGAATAACAAATAGAAATTCAGGAACCTGGCCGCGACGCTTGTTTCAAACCAACGCCAGCAAGCCCGAACATATCGAAGACGAGTTTTCCGACCACACACATCGAAGTTGTAGAAGGATCAGGGTCTGACCGTTTGATTTTCGTGTGCTTGGTACATGCTGCAATAGGCAGGGTGGGCAAGCTCGACCCGCGACAGGTGCCTGTGACGAAACAGCTGGGTGTGCAGGATTTGCTTTCTTCAAGCAGATGTGCTACTTGAAGTCGAACCTCGAGGGCAGCTACTTCAAAGCGGGTTGCCAAGCCCGTGTCCGGAAAGTCCATGGGACTTGTGGTGGCTTCGCTGCTCCCCTTGAGGGCCTGGACTTAAGTGGAACACTCATCAAAGCAATGTATGCACCAGACTCGTCGGTCTGCTGCACAGCATGCCAATCTCAACACGGCTGTGAAGGCTTCTCCTACTTTCGGTCCTTCTGCTATCTGAAGAGCAATGTCCACGGAACATACCCCAAGACCGGATGCTCTGCGAGGTTGCACTCCTCCCGACGGCTGAGTGCACAGAGCGATCTTTTGGTCTGAGCGAAAGCGAAAGGCTTGATTTTACCCTCTGCCTGAAATGCTACAAGTGCTACTTTTGACAGGCACAATCACAGTACAAATTCGTTTGCATCAGCCGACTTTGAGAGTCGCTGACGGCCTTTTGGCGCCCTGGAACCAAGGCGCAGCGCCAGCCACTTTATGGGACAGTTGGCCCTACTGCCTTGGGCGCATGGCATGTGTAGGTGCAGATTTTGTTACAGATTCGGGAGTTGTGAATCAGCAACTGCTCACCTTAAGGGGAACGAATCTGTCGAAGTTCCAAGATTTTTCTTTGCCATTCGAAGTGGGAAAGCGACGTAAAAAGGCTGCTTTGATGATGTCGGCCCAGCGATTAGTTAGAAGGCGATCCGAGCAAGTGTGTGTTCGTGTTCGTGGTGGATTGAGACTTTGCGCATCAGGTTGAACGGGCACTGAAAGAAGCCTAGACAGGATGCAAACTTGATCCTTGTCGCAAGTCGATGGCGATCCAATGAGCAACATTGCTAATCATCGCAACAGCGGGCAGTCGCAACATTTTTAATGGGCCTTGAGCACATCACCAACCAGAAAGTCCGAGCTTCGAGGACTTTGCTGACCATATGGTATTAGCGCCTTGATCTTGGCAGTCTGCAGGGGCGACAGCGAAAGTCTTTTGAACGGGGAGTAAGAGCTTAATTAAAGATCTTGCGTAATTAGTCGTCACTCTCCTTATCCTTCGACTCCTCGGAGATGAGCGCGGCACCCGGACAGCTATGGTGCGTGATCCGTGGTTGCAACTGGGTTTACTAGAGAGGTCGATGAAGAGGAAACACCTGTAACTATCAAGGTTTTGCTGTGTTCAACTCAGGACTGCACGGTGGGTGCACGTGGACCACTGGCAAACTCGAAGGTTAAGACCCTCACACAGTCCACGACTCAGCTTCAAGTGATCGCCTGGGTCGTAGACTGCTGGAAGGACCCTGATGCATGCGGAACCTAAATAGAGGTAGACCCAGGCTGCAGCACCTTGGCCGAACGCGAGTGAAGGCGGCACTTGCACAGTATGCTGTGCTGCAGCGGCGGCTCAAGCGTCCTCTTGTTCCTGGCACGGCTAGTGAGGTGCCGAGCTTGCTGTGCCAGATATGGCAGATGGACGCGAGAATCCAGAGGGATTCGAGGATGACACGCTGCCGGAGGAAGAGGAGGCGCCTCTGAACACCGGAGATGACGAGGAAGGAGAGGATCTCCTTGGGGACAACATGATGGACGACTACCGGGACCAGCCGGAGGAGGACCACTACGATCCGGAGATGCTCGATGATGGCCCACACGAGCCCCTGACCATGGCGACGCGCTTGGCAGCGGAGCGAGAGATGGAGGCGCGAGATCGCCGAGAAGGCCGTGCCGGCAGGTCCCCCTTGGGCCACACCGCCGACTCACCAAGACGTCCAGCGGCTGCGGCTGTAGAGACGCCCTTCAAGAAGCGACTCTCCGACTGGAACAGCTCGCCTGTGAGCGGCTCCAGGGGTGGATCAGACTTGGACGATACCTCGACCAAGAAGAGGAAGCGCACACAGCACTACGATGATGAGGACGGCCAGGACGAAGATGTGCACGAGAGCCAGTACGACCTGAACCAAGAGAGGCTTACTCCTGGTGTGGAGGTTGAAAAGCGTGTGGCAGACAAGATCCGACTGTCCTTCCAGCAGTTCCTGATCAAGTTCGTCGCAGAGGGCCAGGTCGTCCCAAAGTACCCAGATGCCCTCCGGAAGATGGCTGAAGAGTACCAAGCCCATTTGGAGGTAAGCTTCCATCACCTGCAACAGTGGAGCGGTCCGCTTGCCATGTGGCTCTACGATTCTCCCAGACAGATTTTGCCACTCTTGAACGAGACGCTGATGTTGCAGGCTGCTCGGAAGTTCAAGACTTACGAAACGATGGCCAACGTTGGTGAGAATGAGCTTCGGGTTGCGATCAGCGGTTTCCCGGTGAAAGACACCATTCGAGGGCTTTGCTCACGCCACATGAACAAGCTCATCCAGGTGAAGGGCGTTGCGACGAAGCGAACAAACGTGTTCAATCAAGTGAGGCGGTTGTGGGTGCGATGTGCCAAGTGCAATTTTGCTATGGGGCCTCTGGATGTAGCCGAGGAGACGGATCTGCGGCCGTCCAAGTGTCTCGAGTGCCAATCGAAGGGCCCTTGGCGGGTAGATCGCCAGCAGACCATCTACCAGAACTATCAGAAGATCACGTTGCAGGAGAGCCCAAGCGCAGTGGATCCCGGGAAAATGCCCCGATCGAGAGAAGTGGTCCTGACAGGAGACATGGTTGACACCTGCCGTCCTGGGGATGAGCTGGAGGTGACCGGCATCTACAGGTGCTTGCACGATGTTGCAACGAATGCACGCACATGCTTCCCAGTCTACCGAACGGACATCTATGCTGTCCACGTGTCTCGCAAGGGCGACTTGAAGTTGGTCGAGATATCCGACGAGCAGCACAGTCAAATCTTGGAGCTGGCGAAGAGCCCGAATTTCCGTGAAAGGTTCATCGCCTCCATGGCACCTTCGATTTATGGCATGTGGCATGTCAAGACAGCGATCGCGCTGAGCATCATGGGTGGCAGGCAGAAGGAGGTAGCAGGGAAGCACCGCATCCGCGGTGACATCAACACTCTCATCGTCGGGGACCCCGGATTGGGCAAGAGCCAGTTCCTGAAGTACGTTGAGCAGATCTTCCCTCGGGCAGTCTACACAACAGGCAAAGGAGCCAGTGCCGTGGGTTTGACTGCGGCTGTGACCCGTGATGAGACAGGACAGTGGTGCCTGGAGGGTGGTGCCATGGTCTTGGCAGATGATGGCATGTGCCTGATCGATGAGTTCGACAAGATGAACGACCAAGATCGGACTTCGCTTCACGAAGCCATGGAGCAGCAGTCCATATCGATCTCCAAGGCTGGAATCGTCGCCACTCTGCAGGCGCGATGCGCCGTCGTGGCAGTGGCGAATCCTACAGAGGGAAGATACGACCCGCAGAGGACCTTTTCCCAGAATGTCAACCTGAGCGATCCCATTCTCAGCCGCTTCGATCTCACGTGTGTCCTGCGAGACGAAGCTGATCCGGTGCAGGACGAGATGTTGGCGGACCACGTCGTGTGCAGTCACATCCGTTCGCATCCCGATGCAACCACCGAGGAGAAGAACAAAAAGCCAAGGCTGCAGCATCAGCAAATGCATGCTCAGCCAATCAGTCAAGATCTCCTCAAGAAGTTCATTGTCCACGCCCGCCAGCTCTCGCCCAAAATGGGCGACGTCGATGCCGAGAAGCTCGCGGCCTTCTACTCCGAGCTGCGGGGAGAAGCAGCCCGGACTGGTGGTGTGCCGATGACAGCACGGCACATGGACTCGCTCATCCGGCTGGCAGAGGCCAATGCTCGCATTGAACTCCGGCAGCATGTGACTTCAAAAGACATTGACAATGCAATTGCAGTGATGCTGGAGTCCTTCATCCAAAGTCAAAAGCACCAGGTCGCGGAGGAGATCCGCAAAAAGTTCCGGCGATACCTGAACAGCGGACCACTGGGCGACCAGGTGTGTGCACTCTTGGAAAAGCTCTTCAAGAAGAAGGTGATCCAGCTTCAGCTTAGCCGGCCCTCCAAGGATGTGGAGCTGGCAGAAGTCTTCCTCGAGGTTTCGGAGGCTGTCCGTGCTCTTGAGCAGAACGGGCTGGCAGTGGAGGATGTCAGCAGCCTCATGGGGTCACCACGCGTTCTGCAGAGCTTCCGCCTTGAGGGCGAGCGGCTTTACCGAGTCCTCTAGTGTCGATCATGGAAGAAGCTGCCGAAGCAGGTCAGTAGAGCAAAAGGTTCAGAGAACGACATGTTTTTTGGCGGGCAGACTTCTGGCAAGTCTTACGGGTTGGCCTCTGACTCATCAAAAGGTGAGTGGAGGCCAGGAGATAACGTGACGCAGTTGAGGCTCGACCGCTCGGGGAGCGCAGAGCTGGCAAAAGAGTGCAGACTTCTGTCCCTCCTGTGCGATCCGACTGTCTCGTCACTCTCCACCTGCAGCCTCTCAGTCTCAGTCTCAGGAATTTGCAGGACAACGCCGACACCCCAGTTGTGCTTATGAAACAGCGACGGGAACTTCGATTGAATGCGAAGCTGCCATCTGTCAGACAAGGCGAAGTGACAAGCACGACAGCTGCTGTCTGCGCCCAGCCGGAAAAAGCTTGCGCTGCATGACTCGACAGCACAGTGACCGCACACGCGCATGTGGTGACCCTTGCATGGCGGCATTGCACTGATGCCGGGCATTGCTAGGAATTCAAGCATTGTTAAGACGTCTGCAAGTGCTGGATTGTGCCTTCTGTTTCTGATTCCTCTGTCTGGTGCCTGGTTTTTGCATTCGCGGCCCCCGGAAATGCCTAGGCCTTACAAATGATTTGTTTTGTCGTCCAGGATCCTGTCCTGGCTATGTCTACATGCGCTTGTATGCTACTGTCAGCGGTCCGAAGATCCACAGTGTGCACGTGCTCGTGTTTGCGTTTGTCTGACTATCTCTCTGTCTTTCCAATCGCCTGTCTGCCTGCCTGTCTGTCTTTCTGTCAGGGTCTCTTTAGACTGTCTATATTTGTGTTTAGGTAAGCAGGTGGAGATGGATCAGGCAATTAGGCAGGCAGGCATGGATGCAGCTGGGCAGGTAGGAAGTTATGCAGGTGGGCAGGCACGCTAACGAGTTAGATACGTGCGTCGGCGTGTTCGCATGGACATTTCGAATTTAATCATGTGGTACTTTGCTGTCCGCTTGTTAAAAGTTCTGGCAGCCTGGCATCATGGCTCTCCTCGTCATCTCAAGGTCACTTCCTAGAATCCCACCTACGCTTCAGAGACAAGAACCTGCCGCAAATTCCTCCGGTGAGAACGGTTGAGATGCAGTGCGGCTCACAGACATCTCGCCGCACGGTTTTATGTCAGGACATGCATGTGCCGGAAGCTCAGCTTGTGTTCGGCCACACGCGCACAGGATCTGTAAGGTCCATGTTGCGTGGGTGTTTGGATACGCATTTGCATGGTTCACCACTCTTTCAGGTTGCTCTGCTGCTACTCCAAAAGGACTCTTGAATCGAAGTCGTGACGTCGAGATAACTGCCAGCGAGAGCAGCACCGTACGACTTAAGTTCTGCAGGCCTCAAGTCCCGGACCGTTAGGTTGATCTTACCATCGTACAGCGGAGGTCACGCACGGTGGAGTCATATTGGATGCACGTCTGCACACAACCGTGTATGCACAGACTGTTCCAAGGTTATGAGCTCGCATCGGTGGATTCTGCTCGCCTGTGGCCTGCTTAGACTCGCGCGCGCTGGCAATGCACAGGCCTGGTACCCTTGAGCTCCGTTCACTGATAGGACATGCATGGCAAAGCGCACGCATGATCATTCCGAGCCGGACCCCATGACCTTGACTACCGAAAGGTGACACTGGATGCCTCGGCACAGGCACATGTCGCTTCCTCGGATGCATCCCGTGAGAGCCGAAGTCGCATGGAAGCAATCCACCTGCCATCTAATCATCTTCTTCCTTTTCCAAGACAACGAGGCTTTGCTTCTTCCTCGCCGCATCACCATTTTGCCCTTTTCCCTCCCCCAAACTGCACCCCATTTTACGCTGTCCTACCGTGCCCCCTGCTGATCTACAAGCTGTTGTGGAGTTATGTACCCGCGCTGAGATTTTTGCCTGCGGCGTTTATGTGGCTGGGTAAAGATGCACAGCCGGGAATGGGGCCCGCTAGAAATTCTCTGGCCTCTTCGGTGCTTGTCCGCACGGCCTGCAAGATCTCCCCGATCCCTGGGCTTGGAGCTACAATGAGCTACAGCTACACTGCAGCCCGATTGCTCTTGCTCTCTCATCCTCGCCTCTGGACGACCTGTCCTGGGGCTTCTAGCGCCCTTTTCGAGTCGAAGGGGCATGAAAGCTTGTTGCCGAATCGTGAATCCCGTACTGGGGCCAAAGGGCAGGTGCGAACAGCTCCATAAGAGATAAACGTGTGTACATGTGTGTACCTCTGTTGAGAACCTCTGTCGCAGAATGCTGTGCACCTCCGTCGCTGCGCCGCCGTCACCGGCAGTGGACCGCCACCCTCCGCAGAGTCGCCGTTCCCGTTTGTCATGCCTGCCAATCCCGCTTCTCTCCATCACCCGAGCTTCGACACCACCTCAACGCCCGAGCACGACCACAACAGCGACAGGCAAACAAGCAGTCGCAGCAGCAGCAGCAGCACTATCAAGATTGGCAGAATGAGCGCTGCCACCGACCATGACCATCACCACCACCCGGTCATCTCCACCCTCGTCCCGCGTTGGCTTTCCTCGCCCCTTTCGCCTTCCGGGCCTCTCAGCATCCCTGCAGTTGGTTCTTTCTCAATTCAAGACAGTAAGGTGCAACTTCAGACGACTCGCCTCATTCGCATCTCGGCTCGCAAGTTCCCAAGGTTCTATGACTGTCTTGCGATAAACCTGCAACGGTTGCTGGCACTTCCCGTCAGGAACCTGCAAGCAGTTGCACAACCTGCAAGCATGTCAGTGACATGGTGATTGTTCTGTTGCGGGAACTCGGAACATGTGTCTTCACACAAACTCGGCAAGCATCTTGATGTGGGTTGAGTATGGTGTGGGTTTGCGCAGCTAACCCAGAAACCTCAAGCATGTTTGGATGGGCGAGGTGCAAGGGTGGGGAGAATTTGAATGGATGAGCCGAGACCCAGCATACGCGCAGAAACATGAGCAGCCCACCCGACCGAAGCTAGGTGATCAGCATTTAGCCGGTATTGCCCATAAACATAACAGTGGCTGCCGAAATTGACGGAAGTGATGAGCCACTGCAGATGCTTTCGATCTTGTGATGAGGCAGCCATCGCCGGCCGACAGAAAGTCAACAGAGGACAGCTACAAAACGATTCGCTTGACGTGATGCGTTTGTGTGCTGAGTGCAGATTTGATTTGCCCATATTTGCCTGTATAGCTAGTGCTTCATTTGTTCCGTCTCTCAGACATGGATGTTTGTCAGTTCAAGGAAGCATGGATCGTCGCCGGGCGTCGGGGTTCTCCAGGCGGAGATCCTGGGTGTCTTGGTTGCAAATATGTGCGTATCTGTGTGTCTGTCTGTCTGTCTGTCCTCGAGAGATATGTTCATTTCTTTGCCTATGAGTTTTGGTCTGTCTTTTTGGGATGGCCTCGAGAGATATGCTCATTTCAGACCGCCGGAAGGCCTGAGCTGTGTCTTCATTTTTTGGCGACTGCCTCGAGAGATATGCTCAGGTTTGCTTTCCGTTTTTTGGGTGACAGTCTCGAGAAATGCACTTTGGCATAGCTACAAATCTTTGAATGTATGTTTTTCAGACCGTCTCCACAGGTGTGCTGTTTCTTGGCCTGTGAGTGTTGGTTTTTTGTTTTTTGTTGGGACTGCCTCGAGAGATATGCTAATTCTGGCATGACAGGAGAGTATCTCCGCAAGAACGCACAGGTGCATAACTGTAAAGATATGTTTACTGAAACCAAATCACTTGCATACTATCCGACTGCATTCGCGTAACGACAAAGCAGTCCTTAGCTGGACAGAGGGATGCTTAAATTTCCTGTGAACACCAACTTCGTTGATACACCAGCGCTCTGCAAACATGTATGTCCATTCATACCTCAGCTTTGGTCAGATCAAGATTAATCACGTTATATAGCTATGTCTCATTCCAACTCTCAGAATTAGCCTTCAAGTTATATGATTTTCATGAACTTAGCCAGCATCTCATTCTTCTCATCTTCAGATCTACCCAACAACAACCAAATTTTCCATGAATGTTCGATCACAAGAACATCCTGAAATGCTGGTGCAATGTCGTTGATTGTCAACCTAAGCACGTGACTCATCTTAAACAGTCTCGAGTTGATATTTGGCAGAAGGTCTAATTCGTCTCGTGAACGTTCCACCAGTATGCAAGTGATGTTCGAACGCTCTATTAAGGTTGTATGTGGCATCTTATGGATTAATGACTGATGAATCCTTGGTTCGCAGGGTCGCATTGCTTTTAATCCTCTCATGAATGAATTCAACCGTCGTCTTCATATACAAGTTACCTGATGAATAACTGCTGCATATTTATCTATCTAATTTGTATTGGTGCACCGACTGGCTATTTCAGTATGAGTTACGTTTTAAAGCTTCGTGAATATGTTAGGTTATCGAGTTGACCTAAATGTGAGGCAAAACACTATGACATATACAACACATGTTGGTTCTTCATACAAACGAAAACGGGAGCAATAATCATTATTGTTTGAATAGTGGATAGCAGGCATTGGTGACTCATGCATGAAGCTTCGCACGAGTACTCGCTGAGCGTTATTCCGAACTAACTGCATAATAATATTAACTCTCACGAAAGCAAGAACGCATGTATGGTAACTACTGTTCGAACATCAAATGGCAGGCATTACACTTGTAACTTGTGTATAGGTGCCTTCTACGCCGCTCGCGCTCGTTTGGGTTTTCAGTTCACGGCTGATGGCTTGGAGCCGCACTTTAGTAATTAGGTATGTAGGGAGGAACGCAAATGGCGATAATGTGTAAGAGCGTGAGTGTTGGCTGGTGGGTGAGTGCTGCCGACAAGAACGCCGACGGCAATACCTTGAGTAAACAGAAAGGCAGAACACAAGGCTTCATTGTCGTACTCATGGATGATGAGTGCTGTCGAGAAGGGCACTGACGGCAACACTCTTAGACTCTTAGGCTTTATTCGTTTTTTAGTGTTGCGAAAGAGAACGGCAGACAAGGATGCGTGCTGTCGGAAGAACAATGACGGCAATACTTTGAGGCTTTGTTTCTGTTCAAGTCAACTGCAAGTGCAAAATGCAAACCTTCGCTGCTACTATCACTAGACGTGCGGATTCTATTGGGGGTAGCATATGTATGCATATTGTATGTATATATGTGCATATGTCTCTATACATTGTATATACACATAGAGATGCTGGACTTCTACTTCAGCGGGATCGATATTTGTTGTTCTGAGGCAACGAGAGCCTCCTACTGGATCAGAGGCTGCAGTTTGTGGCCCGCACGCTCAGAGTTGGCTCGCCAACGAAGAAGCTTGACTGCAGCAGGATTTCAGGATGCAGTCCCAATCATGTTGTCACTTCCCTGTAGCATCCCAGCAACTTGTCTCGAGTTTGCAAGAGTAGATGTCTCAGCCGCCACATCTCTCGTCACAGCGTGCAATTCTTGCAGCTTCATCTGACTGAGTCATAACACGTAGCTGGGCAGCCACGATGTCCTACTCCCCTCGCGCAACCACCTTCGAAGCCCCTTGCAATCCGAAGTATGACGACATTCACTCGCCATTGTGGCTTCGCATGACGTAAGGGACTTCTTGATGAAGCTATCCTTGTGTGTTCCTTGCGGCCAATTCGAGAAGTTCGGAGACCAGAATCAAGGCGAGGTCATGTGAGTTGCATGTCTCACGACCATATCTATCAGCAAAATATCGGTAGGCCATGCAGGCATTCAGACTTGGACAAAACATTTCCCATGTCGTTTCGATCAGACGGCGGTCGTCGCATGTCGTCAGCACAGCTGGGCTTGGCTTGAGGGCTTGAGGGCCCGAGGCTGGGAATAACGGAGGGTTGCTGAGGGCGATTTGCAGCCGTGCAACGTACACACCTGTGAGTGTGGCAATGGCAGGTTTCGTTCTAACTTCCTTCGCACAACATTAGGTATTGGTGACGGACAAACCGTGTATCCCCACGCCGGAAACCGAACTTGCGGGAATGACCCAACTTGCAGGTTATGTGATGTGCACTGAAGACTTGGAGCGCAGCACCATCGCAGCAGCCTATTCTTATGGGGTTGATGGCCACGACCTCAGCGCCGGCTCAGTGAAGCGAGGCAGTTTACAGAGTGCCAGGCAAGCGTGCGACCCGTTGCAGGCAACGACTCCTGGGGAACGGATATGGCATCCAGATTTGGATTTTCTGTTCATGAATATGCTCATCAGCTGCATGAAGATTCTGAAAGAGATGTTGAGGTCCATGATAGACATGATTTTTGCCAGTGTCCCTGATAGGCAAAGGACTGTGGAGAACCTCGTCGGCCCCTGGTCTGCAACGGCTGCCACATGAACTTCCACCCTGCACCCCGGTTGCAGTGGAAGCCCTGGAGCTTTTAACATCAATAATTTGCTACCTACTTCGTGTTCCGAAGAAAGTGTGTGCTGTGCTGAGGACTGCACGGTGGGTGCACGTGGACCACTGGCAAACTCGAAGATTAAGACCCTCACACAGTCCACGACTCAGCTTCAAGTGATCGCCTGGGTCGTAGACTGCTGGAAGGACCCTGATGCATGCAGAACCTAAATAGAGGTAGACCCAGGCTGCAGCACCTTGGCCGAACGCGAGTGAAGGCGGCACTTGCACAGTATGCTGTGCTGCAGCGGCGGCTCAAGCGTCCTCTTGTTCCTGGCACGGCTAGTGAGGTGCCGAGCTTGCTGTGCCAGATATGGCAGATGGACGCGAGAATCCAGAGGGATTCGAGGATGACACGCTGCCGGAGGAAGAGGAGGCGCCTCTGAACACCGGAGATGACGAGGAAGGAGAGGATCTCCTTGGGGACAACATGATGGACGACTACCGGGACCAGCCGGAGGAGGACCACTACGATCCGGAGATGCTCGATGATGGCCCACACGAGCCCCTGACCATGGCGACGCGCTTGGCAGCGGAGCGAGAGATGGAGGCGCGAGATCGCCGAGAAGGCCGTGCCGGCAGGTCCCCCTTGGGCCACACCGCCGACTCACCAAGACGTCCAGCGGCTGCGGCTGTAGAGACGCCCTTCAAGAAGCGACTCTCCGACTGGAACAGCTCGCCTGTGAGCGGCTCCAGGGGTGGATCAGACTTGGACGATACCTCGACCAAGAAGAGGAAGCGCACACAGCACTACGATGATGAGGACGGCCAGGACGAAGATGTGCACGAGAGCCAGTACGACCTGAACCAAGAGAGGCTTTCTCCTGGTGTGGAGGTTGAAAAGCGTGTGGCAGACAAGATCCGACTGTCCTTCCAGCAGTTCCTGATCAAGTTCGTCGCAGAGGGCCAGGTCGTCCCAAAGTACCCAGATGCCCTCCGGAAGATGGCTGAAGAGTACCAAGCCCATTTGGAGGTAAGCTTCCATCACCTGCAACAGTGGAGCGGTCCGCTTGCCATGTGGCTCTACGATTCTCCCAGACAGATTTTGCCACTCTTGAACGAGACGCTGATGTTGCAGGCTGCTCGGAAGTTCAAGACTTACGAAACGATGGCCAACGTTGGTGAGAATGAGCTTCGGGTTGCGATCAGCGGTTTCCCGGTGAAAGACACCATTCGAGGGCTTTGCTCACGCCACATGAACAAGCTCATCCAGGTGAAGGGCGTTGCGACGAAGCGAACAAACGTTTTCAATCAAGTGAGGCGGTTGTGGGTGCGATGTGCCAAGTGCAACTTTGCTATGGGGCCTCTGGATGTAGCCGAGGAGACGGATCTGCGGCCGTCCAAGTGTCTCGAGTGCCAATCGAAGGGCCCTTGGCGGGTAGATCGCCAGCAGACCATCTACCAGAACTATCAGAAGATCACGTTGCAGGAGAGCCCAAGCGCAGTGGATCCCGGGAAAATGCCCCGATCGAGGGAAGTGGTCCTGACAGGAGACATGGTTGACACCTGCCGTCCTGGGGATGAGCTGGAGGTGACCGGCATCTACAGGTGCTTGCACGATGTTGCAACGAATGCACGCACATGCTTCCCAGTCTACCGAACGGACATCTATGCTGTCCACGTGTCTCGCAAGGGCGACTTGAAGTTGGTCGAGATATCCGACGAGCAGCACAGTCAAATCTTGGAGCTGGCGAAGAGCCCGAATTTCCGTGAAAGGTTCATCGCCTCCATGGCACCTTCGATTTATGGCATGTGGCATGTCAAGACAGCGATCGCGCTGAGCATCATGGGTGGCAGGCAGAAGGAGGTAGCAGGGAAGCACCGCATCCGCGGTGACATCAACACTCTCATCGTCGGGGACCCCGGATTGGGCAAGAGCCAGTTCCTGAAGTACGTTGAGCAGATCTTCCCTCGGGCAGTCTACACAACAGGCAAAGGAGCCAGTGCCGTGGGTTTGACTGCGGCTGTGACCCGTGATGAAACAGGACAGTGGTGCCTGGAGGGTGGTGCCATGGTCTTGGCAGATGATGGCATGTGCCTGATCGATGAGTTCGACAAGATGAACGACCAAGATCGGACTTCGCTTCACGAAGCCATGGAGCAGCAGTCCATCTCGATCTCCAAGGCTGGAATCGTTGCCACTCTTCAGGCGCGATGCGCCGTCGTGGCAGTGGCGAACCCTACAGAGGGAAGATACGACCCGCAGAGGACTTTTTCCCAGAATGTCAACCTGAGCGATCCCATTCTCAGCCGCTTCGATCTCACGTGTGTCCTGCGAGACGAAGCTGATCCGGTGCAGGACGAGATGCTGGCGGACCACGTCGTGTGCAGTCACATCCGTTCGCATCCCGATGCAACCACCGATGAGAAGAACAAAAAGCCAAGGCTGCAGCATCAGCAGATGCATGCTCAGCCAATCAGTCAAGATCTCCTCAAGAAGTTCATTGTCCACGCCCGCCAGCTCTCGCCCAAAATGGGCGACGTCGATGCCGAGAAGCTCGCGGCCTTCTACTCCGAGCTGCGGGGAGAAGCAGCCCGGACTGGTGGTGTGCCGATGACAGCACGGCACATGGACTCGCTCATCCGGCTGGCAGAGGCCAATGCTCGCATTGAACTCCGGCAGCATGTGACTTCAAAAGACATTGACAATGCAATTGCAGTGATGCTGGAGTCCTTCATCCAAAGTCAAAAGCACCAGGTCGCGGAGGAGATCCGCAAAAAGTTCCGGCGATACCTGAACAGCGGACCACTGGGCGACCAGGTGTGTGCACTCTTGGAAAAGCTCTTCAAGAAGAAGGTGATCCAGCTTCAGCTTAGCCGGCCCTCCAAGGATGTGGAGCTGGCAGAAGTCTTCCTCGAGGTTTCGGAGGCTGTCCGTGCTCTTGAGCAGAACGGGCTGGCAGTGGAGGATGTCAGCAGCCTCATGGGGTCACCACGCGTTCTGCAGAGCTTCCGCCTTGAGGGCGAGCGGCTTTACCGAGTCCTCTAGTGTCGATCATGGAAGAAGCTGCCGAAGCAGGTCAGTAGAGTAAAAGATTCAGAGAACGACATGTTTTTTGGCGGGCAGACTTCTGGCAAGTCTTACGGGTTGGCCTCTGACTCATCAAAAGGTGAGTGGAGGCCAGGAGATAACGTGGAGCAGTTGAGGCTCGACCGCTCGGGGAGCGCAGAGCTGGCAAAAGAGTGTAGCGCTTGCTGTTGTCGGCCTGGGCTTCTGTTCCTCCTCTGCGATCCGACTGGGCTCTCTCGTGTCACTCTCCACCTGCATCGCCACTGCACCTCTTGACTAAGATAAGTTGTTGGACCTGCAGCAGCCTCTCAGTCTCAGGAACTTGCAGGACAACGCCGACACGGAGGACCTGGCTGGTTCCGGCAGATTGTTGAACTTGGTGGTTGAATCTACTCCATCTAAAGAATAGGCAGGAGGAGTGCGTGAGTACTGCTTGTGTTGTTTTTCCACACATGCATCCGACAACTCAAACGCGCTGTCCAGTTTGGGATCAGAAGAGTTGGGCCATACAGGATGCTCGGATTCCGAAGATGAGGCCGTAGTGGTTTCAAGCTGGCATATCCGTGTGCGGAAGGTTGCACTTTCTTTTTGCAATCCGATGCAGTCCCGCAAGGACGGAACTCTACTTCTAAAGCTGGATGCTAACGGCAACGAGTGGGAGGCTCGAGCGGCATGGAAAGTGGGGTCCGAGCCGCAACAGCTAGATCCAGAAAGCAAGAAGCAACACGAAGCAACTGTCAGAGAATGGTTTTACAAGCCACAGCTGGTGCGAACAATGACGTAGTTGAATGCCTGTGTGAGATTGGGCTGAGAACCATCGGAAGATCGTACCTGCAACACAGCAAGCCAAAAATTGCGTAAGGGCTGATAGAAGGATCCTTTTGAACGGCGCTCAAGACTCAAAGGTCCCAAACTTGAGGTTGGCACAGCAAACGGTTGGGCAGGACTTGTCCGTTCAACTCTGGGAGTCGGCATGATGGGGATGGGCAAACGCTGATAGCGCTGCCGCTGCCGGTTGGGGAAGAGACATGCTTGTTGCACAGCTGTGGCAATGTCCTTCAGGTGTTTGCAGAGGAGCCCGTGTCCACGCTGCAGAAATTTCGTCAGGCGTCCGAAGTCTGTCAGCTTCGAATAATGACAGGGCTGCTCCGGGATTCCACGTCAGTCAACATGCATGAGTCATGAGTCTTCTGTAATCGTGCATGACACTTGCAGCCAATCCCTGGCAGGTGGCTGTGAAATTCCACAAGGCTCCGAGACTCTGCCGGTCTTGCCAAAGCGTTGGCCGACTGTTGCTGAGGTCACGCACCAAGAGAAGCACAGCCTATACTTGCGGGCTGTTCGAAAACTGGAGGCAGGAAGGTCACAATGGCTTCTTTTACACTATACCGGTACATACCGGTACATTACAGCATTGCAAGATCACGCTCGCGTGTCAGACTCGCGCACGTGCTAGCAACCCCGGGGACGAGCGAGTTTCGATTCTGAGTCAAGTGCTAGACAGTGGCTGCAGGGGGAAGGTTGAGCTACTTTCTCGAGAGTGTCGACTCCGGGTATGCTGTAGTTAATTAATCTTGTCGCAATCGGAAGTTTTGACTTGGAGCTACGGTATCCACACATATGGCAGTGTTCCGGTGAGAAACAACGTTCAGAAGAAAGATTGTCTGAAGGAGTCTGGATTTGCTGTGGCTTTTCTATCCGGCCAGAACTATGGAAAGCTGACCCACTTTGAAAGAGCCAGGATCTCAAGAAGCAATCGGAGATGTGTGCTCTCGCACCAGACCATGCAGCTGTTAAGACTCTTTTCTATGGGAGCCTGCATGGAATCCCTGTATCCTAAGGACCTGCGTGACTACCACATACCCGACGAGCTTCAGGTTGTGTATATGCAGCTGCAACTTGGCTACGTGTATCTGAGAGCTGTTTTCGATGTCCACGAAACAGAGCATGCGGCACCTTCTGTCAGTTCGGTCGGCCGCAAAAAAGAAATCAAGTTCATGGACGCTGTTCAGGCCGTCGCAAGGCTGCTCTCAAGAACTAAAGTATCGCGTGCCTGATGAGATCCCAGATATCGTGCCAGAGTCTTGCTTGCAACACCTTCTGCTGTCACACGTCCAGTGAATGATGCCTGATACAGTCCATCGGCATTATCGGCATTGGCGACAGCCTGCAGCTGAGGAGCAAACTGTTCTTGAAGAGCAACTTCCAAGCGCATCAGGACACGTGTGAAGATAAATTATAAATTTCGTAACATATTCGTATTACTTCTAATTTCGAAAAGATAGGATATGAGATACATGAAACGGCTGAAGTTTCAATTATATAGTCTTATTTGATTCTCCATCGGGAATTTGATAGTCTAGCGTCGAAACGATATTAGTTACTACATTTCAATGATATATCGAAAAACTATTATTTGATATATAATTGAATGGTTTTTAGATTATAACAATGCTTCAAAGAAATGCCGGCGTCACTTGCGGTTCTGGTGGTTCTTTCTTAGTCCTCTTCTAGCCGTGGGGCGGCTCAAAATATTCCGAACATTCGGACCTTGGAAAAACTAGAGATCCTAAGTGAGCCGAGCATTTTGGGAGCCTCTCCTCCTACTTTCTCTAAATATTCCGATCATTTTGGGAGTTTCGCTCCGTCGCTGCTTCTTCCCGGCTTGGATTATATTAAAGGATCTGTGGAATGATAGGGATTTATAATATCTATAGAATTCGTGGGATTTGCATATTCCGCGGGGTTCGTGGTAATATTTATTTCGGAATCGATATTATTATTACTTCTATTTAATTTCTAACAAGAGAAATATCGTCTATAATTCTACTGGCTATATTTATATTTTTTCGTCTTCTATTTCGTAAGTTTCTCATTATTTTCGAAAAGATTAATATCGTGATAGTCTTATTAGCTTAAATAATTCTTTCGGCTAATGTGTTAATTAGATGAATATATATATAAATAGATATTTGGATAATTAATTAGAAGAAACTGAGAAATAATGTATCTCGAATCTACTGTTATGTTTAAATTCTAGGAATATTAATTAATTCCGCCAAATTTTCTGGAAATATTAAAGAAACTTATATATGGAATTAAAGACGGCATAGAGATTATCCGAATATTTTTTCTATCAATAATAAAAGAGGTATCATTATTTAATGATATATTACTATTCAGTTTTTTTGATTATATGATATTTTGAAAATTGCGAAAATATTACTTTTTTCATTTAAAAAATAAATATTTAGAAATTATATTTTATCGCGGAAGTTTGTAGATTCTAAAATAAATTCATAATTTCAGTAGTATATATATGGCTTAAAAAAAAGAGGCCTCAATATTTAAAATATGGATATATATGTTATTTCTTATAATCTAATTTATCTATCTATGAATTCTTAAATCCAAGATAAAAATCCCAAATTTAAATTCTAAAATCTCATATTTCTTAGTTATATAAAAATTCTAGGTTATTTCTTTCCAATCGATCCAGAATTTTTTTAAATGATCCGAATATATTCTATACGTGTAGCGGGATTAAGTCGTAGCAGGGCGCGTGACGCTCGAGCCGCATTTAGTCGTATTATCCGTATTTAAGCATATCAGATATTGTTCATGGGCACACGGCCCGGAGGTGGATTTCACTACATGTAGCGAAATTAGTAGCAAGGTCGCGTGCCGCAGGTATTCGTACGTATTTTGTACTCTCATCGCCTCGTTAAGCCACATTAGGAATGTCGAAATCCCATGTGGGCGCCGCCCGGAGGCGGGTTTCAATACATATAACGAAACGAGTGAGCTGTGCACATGCCGCAGGTATTCGCACCTATATTGCACTCATATCACCTCGTTTCATCATATCAGAAACACCGAAATTCCGTGTGGACGCCGCCCGGATGCGGATTTCAACGCATATAACGAAACGAGTGAAGTGCTACAGATATTCGTGCCGTTCAATTAGGGGACCTCAGTTATATTAATTTGCGCTGGAAGATGCTACCAGCAATTTCTTGGCAGATGCGATGGGGTCATATCATGAAAATATCATCCAGGTGCTTATTAGGAGGAACGGATATATAGAATATCAAAAGTATCGAGGCAAATATTATGAAAATTGCGCAAAAAAAAATCTTTTATAAGGGATTTGGACTGCCGTGCCCAGGCGCACGAGACTTTAGGCAAACCAGGTCTTTATCTCGCGAAAATATCAAGATATCCAGCCGTTCTCCATATGGACGTCCGTTTTCAGAAGCACCCGCTCAACAGAAACAGCCGTAGAATCCCAGCATTTCAAAACCAGCCATTCCCCAACTACACACTCGATTTCCGAAACACCCGCTCAAGACATCATTGGCATCTCAGCACAACCAGCCATTCCCCATGCATACGCTCGATTTCATAAGCACCCACTCAATACGAGCAGTAACTGAGCAGAGATCCAGGCCGGATTTTCGTATTTATATATATGGATTGAACGATATCCGGTCGTATATCAATAAATGGGGATGAGCGATATCTTCCGGAGCGATTTGAAGTCATATGTCCATCAGGGACGATCTCGCAACGCAAGAAATTGTCGGATGCCCATCCATGTAGATGCTCGATGCCAAAAGTATCCGCTCATGACGCACGTCAGGGGCAACACAACATATCAGAAATAATCATTTCCAACGGACGCTCGATTCCACAAGCAACCGGTAGAAATATATATAAGTATAATCATAATGATCACTAGTAATATCACGGCACATCAGACCAGCCATTCCCCATATGGACGCTCGATTCGACCGGCATCCGCTCGAGACGTCAGTGGTATCAGAATAATCATTCCCCATATAAACGTTCAATTTCGCGAGCGCCCGCTCCCAGACGCCCATCAATGGCATCCCAATATATCCAGGCCAACCGTTCCCTATAGAAAATGATCGTTTCCAAAAGGATCCGCTCATGATATATATCAGGGATAGCACAGCATATCAAAACCAGTCATTTCGTATATAGACGCCAGTCATCTCCATATAGACGCTCGATTCCATAGGCAGCCAGGCAGCCGATCGAATCATAAGTGATCGTATATCAACTAGCCATTCTTCATATAGCTTCATATAGACGCTCGATTCTAAAAGCACCCGCTCAGGACACACGTCGACGGCGACATAGCACGCCAAAACCAGTCATTCCCCATATGGACGTTCGATTCCATAATCAAGCGGGGGAGGCCCATATATATAAATATCCATTATGCTCAACCATAATATCACAACACGTCAAAACCAGTCATTCCCCCTGTGGGCGCTCGATTCCGCAAGCAACGACTCGAGATATCAGTGTCATCGCAATCCATTAAAAGTATAGCCTTCCCCATAGGGACGCTCGATTCCACAAACACACGTAATAGACATATATGGTCACGCGCTCCGCAGACACCCCGCCCTCCCCCCCCAAAGGTCAATGCTCCGGATCCCCCCCTCCCCTGTGGTGTGGGGTGTGGGGTTCCTTTTCCTCCTGTGGGGTGGTTGTGAGGTTTTGGGGTTTCGGGTTTAGTTTAAGCTTTTG